CACGCTTACCACTTTCTTTTTCAGCACTCACTCGATTCATTAAAGTCATGTTCTGTTGCATTAAAGCTGTCATTGTCGAGATCAGCTGATTAATGTCAACAGTAGCAGACGGAGCCGCATTTACCTGCGGTGGAACAAAATATGCACCTTGATTCACATTGCCTACTATAGATGGCGTCCTATTCACTGGATTTTCTAACTCGACTCTTTGCCCGTCTGGCCAAATCACTGATCCATCATGCATATGCATTGCTTCCTCATTCCGAGGCCGTCCCAAATTCAACAATGCCCGAGCAGCAGATTGATCGTCAGACATTTTGAATTTTCCACACTCAACACAAAGATTTACAGTTCATTTATCACTTCCTCTTATACAACTTCCCTGATCCGACAAACACATTTTGATTTTCGGGTATCCCACTTCTGAATTGTTAGTCAGGATATTTCCCTATTAATAAAACACGGCATCTTTAGTTAAAGTATAAGAATAGTAAAATGTTTATTTAAATAATGTGAATACAATGAGTTCAATACGCGACTGGGATACGCACTCGCACTCTTCATAAAAACAACGTAGTCAAAACTATCTTCCACAAAGGACTCTTACGATCTCACGGCGACGCTCGCCAAAACAGTACAGTTCACGAACTCCTCGTTCACAAGCACTAATGCTCTCTCTCTCTCTCTATCGCCTCGTCAGGCTGACCCACCTCGAACATACAAAGACACTATGCAGCTCACATCCCCAGTCGTACCAACACAAACAGATTCTCACGAATGCAAACACACAATTTCTAACACGTGTAATAATTTTGTGCAAAGGAACACTTTATGAGAATATACAAAACTTTCACTTGCATAGAAGTAGAGTAGAGTAGAGTAGAGAACGATTAAGAAACATGCGCTCGATCTAGTAAAACTTTACCTTGTTTCGTCGTAATTACTGCATGCTAATTACTAGTTCAAAAGGTCAGTTCACCCTCAACGTGTATACTGAGAGTGAATGAAGGCGGTCTCCAAACTATCTCTTGTTTCCGAGCTGTTGATTGTTGTCACAGTAATAGGAATGTTGTAAGTTGCAACAAGTTATATGGACATGTTGCTTGAGAGAGGGTGTAATTATTACAATATCTTACTCAGAGAGAGAGAGAGACTCTATGAGTTTCAAAGTCGCACGGAAACTTATCATCAGGACGTAATTAAAGAGTAAATTAAGTCCTGCATTTCATGCAAAATCGTACTTCACCGTTTGTTCCCAAACTTATATTATCTTTTACTCGGAATTGCAGATTTTGAATTCACATTATTAAAGACGCATATCAAATAAGTCCGAAGCTTTTCTGATTAAAAGTCTCTTTTTAAAGAGAAATGAAAAAAAGGTACTCCAACTTTAACGCGCGACTCGGATGCATTATGGCACTTTTATTTTTTAAGGAAAGTAGATCTTTTTAGAATCAGTGCTTTGTATAATGGGAGGATGGGGAATGCTGCTGACAACCCTGCGAGAGCTCGAAAAAAAAAGAAGATTTTCCCTTTTATGCGCTTCATCTGGTTTACCTGATTAATAATATGGCTACAATTAAATTTCTCACCCGTACAATTTTTATATTAAATATTTTTACAACTCCATCTGCAGATTGAAACGATATTCTATTTCTCTTATATGACTAATCAATACGAGATGTGCAAGAATTTTTTTAAAATATTTTTAAAAATTCTTTAAATATTTATTTTCTGCTGCTAATCCTGAAATTATCTTTTGTAATAAAATTCTTGTCCGAAATTAAATTATTTTCAAAAATTCTAATAAGATTCTTAACCAAAAATAATTTAATTCCCAAACTCTTTTCAACATGTCTCCAATAAAACTTCTATTGTCTTCTATTATCCATTTTTTTAAAATCTCAAAATATTTTTTAAATTAGTAACAGAAAGAACAACATTTTTCCTATGATTACATGCAATTAAAATCTTTTTCAAAAATTCCTCCTAAACTGTCCAGTAAAAAATTTTCCGTTTTCACGAGTTGTATAGTGTAAAATAACAAATTCCAAAAGATGTTTTTTTCTTCAAAGAGAACATCGTATATTTTCTGCACACACACAAAAAGGAGAAACAAAAAATAAACACATTTTTAATAAAAACAAGCGGAATCGGCATGCGGAAAACTTCAATTTGAGTCACCCAGAAAGAAATCAGATATAATTTTTAGAGCGTGAGAAAAGTCTGTCACAAAAATTTGCGTTCTCTATTTAAAAAATATGATCTTCATGGATATGATTTTATATGGAAATATATACATATATCTACTTCTTGATATCAAGTATCTAATGTGCCATTATTCATTCTCGTGCTGCTTTTTAACTGACGGGAACTACTTAACATAAAATATGTTTTCAGTTAGCTGGAATTACTATATTAGTTGAAAGTGTATGTTATTATTAATATTAACGTGCAAAACTTTTAAACCCCATTCTATTTGTTTCCAACAATAATAAATTACATTATAGTTTCATAACTGTATTATAATTTAATATTTTCAAAAAAAAAAAAAAAAAAAAAAAAGAAAAAAAAAGTATTTCAAAATGTAGATTGTATAATAATGATTTAATTAATAATGAACTAAATAAATTTAAATTCTAATTTAAATAATCTGCATATATTTCATTTCCAGATTTCGCAATAGTTTATTAATTAATTTTGGGAAAATGAAATTTTTTTATATTAATTATTAAAAATGACCGAGTTTCAAAAACTCAATTATTTCTAAAAATTCACGCTTTAATGTTTTTAATATTTAATTATTATCTAAAATTTTAGTTAAAATACACTTTTAAATCAATTTTTATTAGAAAATTCTACTATCAACAAATTTTTAAAAAATTGAATTCTTTCAACAAATTTAAATTTTTATTAAAAAATTCTATAAAAATTCAATTATAATTAAATAAAAGAAAATGTATTGAATAATTAAATGTTTCTTAATATTGAATTTTTATTAAAATTTTTATCAATATAGTTTAAAATAATTGAATTTTTGTGATAATTTCAATAAAATTTTAAGGAATAATTAAATATGTCTAGTAATTTGATTACAAATGTATTAAAAATAATTGAAATTTCTGCAATGAGTTTTATTGATTATAAAAATAATTGAATGTTTGCGTAGAATTTTATCAAATTTTTTTTTTAAATATTTCAATTCTATTAATTAATTTTATTAAAATAGTAGATATTAAAAATCATTGGGTTGTGGAAAATTTTTGAAAATAATAAATAATTCCATTATTTATGAAAATAATTGAATGTTTGCTTAGAATTTTATCAAAAATTTTTGAAAATAATTGAATTCTTTTGGAAAATATTATTAAAATAGTAGATATTGAAAATCATTGAGTTGAGGAAAATTTTTGAAAGTAATGGAATTTTTGACAAGAATTTTAATAAAACTTTTGAAAATAATTGAATTTTGAAAAATAAATTTAATTATTTGCAAAGATAATTGAAATAATGACAAATTTTTTTTTTTTAATTTTTCAACATAATTGAAATTCTGAGAAAAATTTTATTACTTTTGAAAATAATTGAATTTCTGCAATTATTTGTAATTTTTCCAAAATTCAATTATTATCTAAATTTTTTACTATAAAATTTATTTTTAAATCAATTTTTATTTGAAAATTTAACGAGAATTTAATTATTTAAATGCACAAGTAAATAATTTATTGAATAATTGAATGTTTCTTGAAATTTGAATTTTTATAAATAATTTTATTAACAAATTTTTAAATAATTGAATTCTTTCGACGAATTTCACTAATATTCTTAAGAATAATTAAATTTTTCGAGGAATTTGATTACATTTTTTAAAGGTTTTATTTAAAATATCATATTAAAAATAATTGAAATTCTGCAGAGAATTTTATTATTTATGAAGATAATTGAATTTCTGGGAAGAGCTCTATTATTAATAAAAAATAATTGAATTCTTGCGAAGAATTTTAACAAAATTTTTTTAAAATAATTGAATTTCTAAGAAGAGTTTTCTTTATTTATGAAAATAATTGAATTCCTATAAGAAGAATTTTATTATTTATGATAATAATTTAAATTCTGCAATGAGTTTTATTGTTCATGAAAATAATTGAATTCTTTTGAAGAATTTTATTACAATTTGTAAAAATAATTTAATTTATAAGGAAAAATTTTTTTTATTTATAAAAATAATTGAATTCCTAAGAAGAGTTTCATTATTTATGAAAATAATTGAATTCTTTTGAAGAATTTTATTAAAATTTGGAAAAATAATTTAATTTCTAAGAAGAATTTTCTTTATTTATGAAAGTAATTGATTTCCTAAGAAGAATTTTCTTTATTTATGAAAATAATTGAATTGCTAAGAAAATTGTATTAAAAATAATTGAAATTCTTTGATGAGTTTTATTATTTATGAAAAATCAATATTTTTATTAAAGAATTGAATTTGAATGGGGAAATTTCATTAAAAGAGTAGATATTGAAAATCATTGAATTGAGGAAAATTTTAGAAAATAATTGAAATTTTGACAAGAATGTAATTAAAATTTTTGAAAACAATAATTATTTTCAAATTATTTTAATTTATTATTTATTCAATAATAGTTTTCAAAACAGATGAGTGCGAAGCCTATATTTCTTCACATTAAAAATTTTAAAAAAGCCGTTTCACGTAGAAAATGAGACCGTTATGGATACCTTTAAAGTTTATTAATTACCTCCCATAAATCATGAGGGATGTGAAAAATATCATCTATTATTTATCTAATTCACAAAGTCAATATTTAGGAAACTTATATTTTACCAATCAGATCGATAAAGTCCTTGAGTGTTGAACAAATAATTTTTTTTTACTTCCTTTTCAAGTCATTGTTTGCACTCGTTGTCATGGACAACGTCACAAAGAATTGTATTTGAACCTGCAAACAGTCATTACCTAGTGAACTTGCTTTCGTTTAAGAGAAAAAAAAACGCAAATTTTTAAGAAAGAATATACTATGTACAGATTCTGTTAATTAATTAATAAGTATAAAACAACATCCAACTATTATTTTCTAGCATGGTATTATAAAATTTTTTTGCATTTAATTAATAAAGCAAAAAAAAAATACTTATTCCACTCGTATTTTATACGATCTTTTTTCATAAACTACATGTGTGGTATAATTTATATTCTCAGATACAGAATGATTGACTTTTATTACTTGCCAGCGAGTGTACCATGTCGAGCTGTTATGATGCTTGCTAAAGCAATAGGTGTTCGATTGAATTTAAAAATTGTTGACATTTCAAAAAGAGAACAATTGAAATTCTCATTTATTAAAGTATAACAAAGATATTGTTTATTTTTCTTCACTGTGATGAGTCAATGCAAATATTCTACAAACTTTTTTTTTTATTTCAGATAAATCCTCAACATACTATTCCAACATTGAATGACAATGGTTTTATTTTATGGGAGAGGTACGTAAATATTTACTTTGAAGTTAATTAAAATAATAAAATATCAATATAATTGATATTAAAGTTGTAATATTACTTTTTTTTTAATTTTTGTTTTTATTTTCGATTATTTTTTATTTATCAATCGACTTTTCAAATTTCTCGTTACAGTAAAGCAATTATGATATATTTGGTAAGTAGATACGCTAAGAATGACACTCTCTACCCTAAAAATCCACGAAGAAAGGGTATTGTGGATCAAAGACTATATTTCGATATTGGGACATTATACAAAAATGTTTACAACTCCTACGTAAGTATTTTTCGTATTTTTCAATATTTTATGCACTTTTCTTAAAAAATAGATTGAAATTTTTGATTCTTTACATGAAATTTAAAAAAAAAGTTAAATATGATAATATTTTATTAAATATTTGATAAAACATAGATTTCTAAAAAATTTTAATTATTCAACTTCTAAAAAAAATACTTAAATTTCGTAAAATTTATTTAATTAATTATTAAAAATAATGGATTTATAGAAGAATTTTAGGTAAAAACACTAAAAAAATTGAATTTTGGAGAAGTTACAAATGATTGCAGAAATTCAATTATTATTTTCAAAGTAATCAAATCCTTCACAAAAATTCAATTATAATCAAAAATTTTTAAAAATCTCTTCAAAATTTCAATTATTTTTGTAAATAATAAAATTCTTCTCCGAAATTCAATTATTTTCGAAATTTTTAATAAAATTCTTTACAAATTTCAATTGTTTTCAAAAATATCACTATTTAATATCTACTATTTAAAAAAAATGTTCAAAAGAATTGAATTATTTAAAAAAAAATTTTGAAAATTCTACAATTTTAATAAAACTTAAGACAATTCAATTATTTTAAAAAATTTTTAATGTAATTTTTCACAGAAATTAAATTATTTTCAAAGATTTTAAAGACACTCTTCATAAAAATTCAATTACTTTTAAAAGTAATGAAATTCTTCACTGGAATTCAATTATGTTCAAAAATTTCAATAAATTCTTGTCAAATTTTTAATTATTTTCCAAAATTTTAATAAAATTCTACTCCAAAATTCAATTATTTTCAAAAATGTTAATAAAATTCTTGTCAAAATTTCAATTATTATCAGAAATTTTCCTGAAATCAATAATTTTTAATATCTACTATTTCAATAAAATTTTTCAAAAGAATACAATTATTTTTTAAAAATTTTGATAAAATTCTACGCAAAGATTTAATTATTTTCATAAATAATAAAATTCTTAAACGAAATTCAATTATTTTTAATACAAATTTTAATAAAATTTCTCGAAATAATTCAATTATTTCTTAAAATTATTAATAAACATCTTTATTAAAATTCAATTATTTTCAGATTTTGAGTACAATTTTAATAAAACTTGAAGTAATTGAATTATTTTTAAAACTTTTAATATAATTTTTTACAAAAATTTAATTATTTTGAAAGATTTTAATGACATTTTTTATAAAAATTCAATTATTTTCGAAAGTAATGAAATTCTTCGCAGGAATTCAATTATGTTCAAAAATTTCAATAAATTCTCGTCAAAATTTCAAAAATTTTAATAAAATTCTTGTCAAAATTTCAATTATTATCAGAAATAAACAAAATTCTTCTTAGAAATTCAATTATTTGTAAAACATTTATTAAAATTTGTCAAAAGAATTCAATTTCTTTCATAAACAATAAAACTCATTGCAGAATTTCAATTATTTTCATAAATAAACAAAATTCTTCTTAGAAATTCAATTATTTTTAAAAGTTTTATTAAAATTCGTCAAAAGAATTCAATTATTTAAAAATATGTTGATAAAATTCATTATGAAATTTCAATTGTTCAATAAATTATTTGTTTTTCTGTCAAAATAATTGAATTCTTGTAGAATTTTCTAATAGAAATTGATTTAAAAGTGAATTTTAACTAAAATTTTACCCAATTATTGAATATTAAAAGCATTGTAACATGAATTTTTAGAAATAATTGAATTTTGAAAATATTTCAAATTAAAATCTTTGAAAATTTCAATTTTTTATACTTTTAAGTTTTAACTCATAATTCTATAGAATTAATTTTTTTGAAAAAGTTTAATTGACTAATGTTTTTATAGATGCATTTTAAACTATTTTTGAATTAATTTCTTAATAATTTTTCAGTTTGGCGTTCTGATGGGAAATGAAAAGAAACCCCCCGAGAAAGAGATTCAAGATTTGGAAAAATCCTTCGAAATATTAAACGTATTTCTTCAGGACACGAAATTTGTTGCTGGAAACTGTCTAACAATTGCTGATTTTAGTATTGTTACTACAACCAGTACTGCAGAGGTACCTATCAATTATCATTAATTTTGACCAAATTTAACTATTTTTTGTGTTTATTATTTATTGCATTTTACTTCACAGTTTTTCTCTCAATTTGATATTCGCAGAAAAACTATTTTCTTTTTTTTTTTTTATTTTAGGCGTTTGGATTTGATATCGGCAGATACGACAATGTTGCAGCTTGGTATAATCGTTGCAAACAAGATATGTCGAAATTTGGTTTCGATGAAATTAATATTACCGGTGCTAAAATTTTAGGAAATATGTATAAAAAAAATTTCACCCCTGCATGAGATCTTCCCGTCTAACACGAGTGTAATAAAAGTCTATTTTCTTCCGATACATTTAGTTTTATTATAGTTTACAATTAATATTACCGCGCAAGTATTTAAAATCGTCTGGGTAATTAATTTAAAATCGACTTAATATTTTTTAGAGAGAAAAAGTTCCATTATTATTATTATTATTTTTTTGAAAAGTGTTTTCAATACTAATTGTAAAAAGTTGTCGATTAGAAAACCGCGCGTATAATTCAACCAATTGGAACTGTTCTCGACATTAACCCCGGGCACTTCGGGCCTAACTTCAGGTTAACAATGATCCAATCATGAATAACATTTCTATTGGATCCAGCCAATCAGGACTGACTTGTCGTGCTCGGAGTAAACCCGAGACCCTGAGGCGAACTCCGACAGATCCGACAGCAATGTTGACATTATTTCGAGGTTATGTTTTGAAATATCTGACGTAAAGCACGTAAAGTGATTGGTCAATAGAAAAACACGTTTCCAGAAAATGTTTAAACAAAATGTCAAATCAATCTTTTGGGGAATTAAATAATAAAGAACAAAATTAAATTTTCGAAAAAAATGCCTGGAAATTCATAAATAAAAAAGTATCTTTCTTCTACATACTGTTAATTTCATTTTTTAACATTTCTTTCAAGGACTTTCGCCGCCAATGAGCAACAATCGTAAGAACATCTACACAGTTCACACCCACAATTGAAAATTTTCTTACTACTTACGCGTGAAATTACATATACACTCTCGACACAAGTGTGTTGGCCTGTTGGCGCAAATGTCAGCTGTCCAATCTGAAAATAAGAACAGAACCGTGATTGGATTTCTTATGGATAAATTAAACTTCTGAATAATAAATCGTGATAAAAATTTTGAAAAGGAATTGCAGTTCACAAAAGGCATGGAGGGCCAGCAGGTTAGTTGATTAAAATAAAGGGCGGAACAAGTGACACGCCGACAATGGCCTTTGTAAAAAAAATCGTGTCTGACTCACTTGTTCTGACATGCACAGCTTCATTGTTTATTATTTGAAAATTAGTCGATGATTATAATGTTTATTTCTCTCTAGGTGAGAGCCCTATATGATTTTACGGGAGAGCCAGGAACGGCAGAATTATCAATAGTAACTGGAGAAACTTTGACTGTTATGAGAGATAATGTTGGCGATGGTTGGTGTGAAGGTTATAATCAGAAAGGACAGTCAGGTCTTTTTCCTGCAGCCTATGTCCAAACAGCGGATGCTGCAGTACCAGCAGGTACACATGATTCTTGAAACCAACTTTTTATAAATATCTGAATTTTTAATATCAGTTTCGTAATTAATTTCAAAGGGGGAAAAAAGTAATGGAAATATTTCTTTTGTTCGCTTTGTAGTTATTTTTATTTACGACAATATAATGACATAAATAATCGAATAATGACTATCTGTCATTATTTTTAGAGTCGTTGATAAAAGTATAGCTTTTCACCTCTTGAAGTAATATACTTTATTTCGTATCGATTATTAATTCAGGGTTGACACAAAAAAATTAATTTTGTTTTTCCCTGATTTCCAGAAAAAATTTTGACTTTTTTCCTAATCATAAAGAAAATTCTGGATTCACTCTAAAAATTATTAGATACTCAAAAAAATGTACTACTACATTTATTTACAAATTTCTTCAAAAGTAAAATTATTCGAAAACATCAATAACTTTTTTTTAAAATAAATATTTAATTATTATTTTTCAGTAGGAATTTAAATTCTTCAAAACATTTAAATCCAAACTTTTTTGAAATTCAACAACTTATAATAATTTAAATTTCCATAAAATTTTTCATAAAATTAAATTATTTGCAAAAATTTTAATAAAATCCTTCTCAAGAATTCAATTATTTTTACAAGTAATAAAATTTTTCATAAAATTTTCAATGAATTCAATTATTTAGAAAAATGTAATAAAATTCATTGTAAGAATTCAATTATTTTCATAAACAAAATTCTTCACAGGATTTCAATTATTTAAAAAAAATTTAATAAAATTCGTTGCAAAAGTCCAATTATTCTCTTAAAAAATAATAAAATTCTTCACTGGATTTCAATTATTTTTAATAATTTTTGCAAAAGTTTCTTGAGAATTTCCAAATCCATTTGTTTATAATTCAATTTTACGAAAATTTGATTTTTCAAAAATTCTTCAATTAAATATTTAGAAAATAAAAACTTGAAATAGTTTTTTTAAAAAAATTCAATTAAACTTTTTCAAAACAGTTAATTCTACAAAATTGTTCGTTAAAAGTATACGAAAAATTCAAATTTTCAAAAATTTTATCTTGAAACCTTTTCAAAATTCAATTATTTCTAAAAATGTATGCTACAATGCTTTTAATATTTAATTATTATCCAAAATTTTGACTAAAACTTATTTTTAAATAAATTTCTATAACATAATTCTGGGAGAATTCAATTATTTAAATACAAAAATAAATAATTTATTGAATAAATTAATGTTTCACATAAAAAATTCTTATAAAAAATTTTATCAACAAGTTTTTAAATAATTGAATTTCTTTCAACGAAGTTAAATAAAATTTCGAAGAATAATATTACATTTTTTGAAGAATTTGATTAAAATGAAATTAAATATAATAAAGTTTCCGAAAAGAATTTTATTATTTATAAATAGAATTGAAATTTTAACGAGTTTTTAATTACATTTTTGAACATAATTGAATTTTAACATAGAATTTCATTAAAATCATTCAAAATAATTTATTTTCTGTAAAAAATTATATTAAAAATTTTTTAAATAATTCAATTGTTTCCAGTTTTATTAAAATTATATTGAAAATCAGAAAATAATTTAATTCAAATAAAGATTTTTATTAAAATTTAATAAAAATAATTTAATTATTTCGAGAAATTTTATTAAAATTATATTAAAAATAATTTAATTCCATACAAAAATTTGTACAGATATAAAAATAATTGAATGTTTGCTTAGAATTTTATCAACATTTTCTTTAAATAAATGAATTCTTTTATGAAATTTTATTAAAATAGTAGATATTGAAAATCATTGAATTGATGCAAATTTTTGAAAATAATTAAAATTTTGTCAAGAATTTTATTAAAATTTTAGAAAATAATTGAATTTTGAAGAAGAATTTTATTATTTACAAAAAAAATTGAAATTTTGACGAAAATTTAAAAAAAATTTTGAACATAATTAAATTTCTATGAATAATTTTATTACCATTTGAAAATAATTGAATTTCTGCTATCATTTTGTAACTTCTCTAAAATTCAATTTTTTCCATTACTTTAATAAAAATCCCTGACTTTTTCCTGATTTCCCTGACCTCTGGCAACCCTGTATTTAATTTCGTTTAATTTTTCTCGTAATCGGTCGTAATTTTCAAAAATACTTTTAATAAATTTTTGATTGTGATCCTTTTTGAAATTGAATTTGTTTTTGTTCTTAAATATAAAGTTGCAAAACCTTCAAAAGATATTATTTTATTCGTGCTCTCAATATTGCAAGTAATTTGATACTTGACACTTGAGAAGTTTTATTAATGCAGATAGTTTTAATCACGTCACATTATTCGTGTAACTGTTTCGCAGTTTATATTTTCTGCAAAGGAAACAACACAATTTTCGAATATAATTAACAATTGCTAATAAAGTAGTAATTAAATTCATTATGTAAAAAAATCTTTTAGAAATTTTTCAATCTATTCATTCTGTCGCTATTGATATTCATTATTATTTTACTTTTTGTATTTTTATTTATTTATTTACTTTTTTTGTATATATTATAGAACCGATGAAAAATTTTGTAAAATGTTTTCAGGTAGTATGACAGTTTCACAACAGTCAACAGGTGAATTTTGGGACGACGATTGGGACGATGACTCGGAGGTTGGTCAAACTCAGGCCTATGTTCCTCCAACTCATAAAAATCAAGTGATTCCATCTCAAAATTCGATTTCGAATGAGTATGGAGACTCAGTTTCAATGCACACTATCCATTCTGTTATATCCGATAAACCAAGTTCAAATGCACCAAAGAAAAACAATAAATTTTCGACTCTAATTAAATCTGGTGAGGACAGTTTTCTACTAGGGACAAAGAGTGTTATGGTTCCGGAAAATGAAATGATAATTCTTAACGAAACTAATGGACACTGTTATTGGGATTCAATAGGCGAGAGTTATAATTGCGTCGTTACCTCACCAAAAAAAGAATCTAAACTCAAGGGACTCAAAAGTTTTATCGTCTATCAATTAACACCCACAGTGAGTTAATCATAATTTTTACCAATTTAGAACAAATAGTAAAACACATTGCAGAATTTCAATTATTTTTAATACAAGTTTAATCGAATTCCTCGAAAAATTCTATTATTCTTAAAAATTTTATTAAAATTCATCGAAAGAATTCAATTATTTCTAGAAACTGTGAAAAAATTCTTCTCAAGAATTTAATTATTTGCATAAATAGCAAAATTCTTCAGATTTACTAGATTCTTTTAAATATCATTTAAAAAAAATTCTTCACAAGAATTCAATTATTTCCATAAATTTCCATAAAATTCTAAAAAACAATTCAATTATTTTCAAAAGTAATAAAATTCTTCGCAGAAATTCAATTATGTTTAAAATTTTTTTTAAATTTTCCTCAAAATTTAAATTATTTTTATAAATAATTAAATTGTTCTCCACAATTCAATTATTTTCAAAAATTTTAATAAAATTATACGCAAACATTTAATTATTTTCATAAATAATAACATTATTTGGAAGCATTCAATTATTTTCTAAAATTTTCATAAATCCTTTGAAACAATTTCAATTATTTTTTTAAATAGTAAAATTTTTGCAAAAATTTAATTATTTTCAATAAAATTTTACAAAATAATTCAATTTTTTTCTTAATTTGTTATAAAATTTGTCAAAAAAATTGATTTATTTTCTAAACTTTTAATAAATTCTTCGAAATAATTCAATTATTTTTATAAATAGTAAAATTCTTTGCTAAAATTCAATTATTTTTAATACAATTTTAATAAAATTTCATGAAATAATTCAGTTTTATTTAATTTGGAATATTTTTCGAAAAAATTTAATAAAATTTTATTAGTAAAATTGTTAATAACAATTATCAACAAAATCGATTATATTCTATAAATGAAAGAAATTTTTTGAAAGAATTCAATTATTGTCAAAATTATTTATTAAGAAACACGATTATTTTAAAAACTTGAAAGAAATTGTTCATAAAATTCGATTATTTTCCAAATTTTCAATCAAAATTATGAAACAAATTTCATTATTTAAAAAAAATTCAAAGAAATTCTTTAAAACAATTTAATTATGTAGGTTCTTTAAAAGTTTTTTTTAAATTCTTTGCGAGGATTCCGTTATTTTTATAAATAATAAAATTCTTCAAAGGAATTCAATTATTCACAAAAATTTTGATAATATTCTTTCCAAGAATTAAATGATTTTCATTACATTAATTTTAAAATTGGAAATATTTAAAAAGAAAAATTTTTAAAATGTCATAAATAATAACATTCTTTGGAAGGATTCAATTAGTATCAATACATTTTAATAAAATTGAATTAATCAAATTTTCAATTTTTATTATGAACAGACAAGATTTTTTAAAAAAAATTGAAAAATTCTTTGTTTAATTCAATTATTTTCCAAATTTTTAATTAAAATTATTAAAAAAAAAACATTATTTTCAAAAAATTTGAGGAAACTCGTCAAATGAATTTAATTATTCATAAAAACTCTAATAACAATTTTTGAAGCAATTTGTATATTTATTTATATTCGAAATAAAATAAATTTAAATTTGATGAGAAAAAAAACCGAAAAAAATTAGGACAAAGCTGGAAAAAACCAGGAGTTTTTTTGAATGAAAATAGTAGACACCCTGTAAATAAATATTCAATATTTAATTATTTCTCTTTGTATTTTCAGTTTAATAACATTCAAGTTTCTCGAAGATACAAGCACTTTGACTGGTTACACGAGAGATTAGAGGAGAAATTTTGCTTTATTCCAATTCCTCCACTGCCGGATAAACAGATCTCAGGACGTTATGAGGAGCAATTTATCGAGCACAGACGAACTCAATTGCAAGAATTCGTTGATTATGTGTGCAGGCATCCAGTATTATCGAAAAGTCGAGTTTGGGAGCACTTTATAACGTGTACGGACGAAAAACGTTGGAAGGCAGGCAAACGACAAGCGGAGAAAGATGAATTACTGGGTGTTAATAATTTTAATGCAATTCAATGTCCGGACACACCGTTAGATGCAATTAAATTCGATGTGAAAACAGATGCATTCTCGAGATTTATAAATGGATTAGATCCAGTGGTGAAAAATTTTATGGCAATGGCTGTTGATCAAACGAAAAAACATCAGGTTCTTTATAAACGGGAATTTCAAAAAGTGGGACAATGTTTTGTATTTCTCGGCAATGCATTGGATCCAAGTAGTTTTCAAGTAGAGGAGAATAGCAGAAATAAATTGACGGAGGCGTTGAAAATAACGGGAGAAGCTTATAATGAAATTGGAAGACTTTATGAAGAGCAACCAAAGTTCGATTGGGAACCACTTGCCGATAAATTTCATATTTACAGGGGAATTATTAGCAGTTTTCCTGACGTTATCAGTATACACAAGGTAATTATTGATTTTTAATAAAAAACTATTATTAACTTACACAAAAAGTAATTATTGATATATTGTAATTATTACTTTATCAGGATTGCTACGAAAATTTAATTTTTTTTACTTATTTACAGACAAAATTGTGATTTTTTTCTGACCCTAGGGAATATTCTGATTCACTCTAAAAATTATTAGATACTCAAAAAAATTTTCTAATACTTTTATTTGCAAATTTCCATAAATGTAAAATTATTCGAAAACATTAATAACTTATTTTCTAAATAAATATTTTATCATTATTTTTTTCCGAAGGAATTAAGATTTCCAAAAAATTCAAATTCAAAACCTTTTTAAAATTCAACAATTTATAAGAATATTATTAGAAAACATGAAGAAATCGATCATTCCGAGTCTTCGACTCGGAGTGATCGATTTCTTCTGTTTTCTAATAATAACAAATGACCGAGTGACAAAATCATTATTTTATATTATCAAAAGAATATTGTTACTGTTACTTCTTCAAAAATAGTTTTATTTCCACATTATCTAAAATTTCAATTAAAATTAATTTTTAAATCAATTTTTATTAGAAAATTCTATGAGAATTCAGTAATTGAAATATAAAAATAAATAATTTATAGAATAATTGAATGCTTCTTAAAATTGAATTCTTCTAAAGAATTTCGTCGAAATTAAAAATAATTAATTTCTTTCGACGAATTTTAATAAAATTTTTAAGATTAATTACATTTTTCGAAGAAATTGATTAAAATTGTATTATTAAAAATTATTGAGTTTCGAAGAAGAATTTTATTACTTATAAATATAATTGAAATTTTGACGAGTTTTTTTATTAAATTTTTTAACATAATTAAATTTCTGCCAAGAATTTTTGAAAAATTTTCAATTATTGAAAATAATTGAATTTTTACAAAAAATTTCATTAAAATCTTTGAAAATAATTTAATTTCTGTAAAAAATTATATTAAAATTTTCTTAAATAATTGAATTCTTTTGGCAAATTTTTATTAAAAAGTAGATACGAAAAATCATTAAATTGAGGCAAATTTTAGAAAATAATTGAAATTTTGCTAAAAAATTTTATTTCAATTTTTGAAAATAATTGAATTTCAGAGAAAAATGTTATTACTTTTGAATATAATTGAATTTCTGCGATGAGTTTGAGTATTTAAGAAAATAATTGAATTCCTGTAAGAAATTTTATTATTTATAAAAATAACTTAATCCCAGTAAAAATTTGTATTATTTATAAAAATAATTGAATTATTGTGAAAACATTTATAAAAAATTTGTAAATAATTAAAATCCTGTGAAGTATTTTTTATTTATGAAAATAATTTAATCTTTGCGAATAATTTTATCAAAATTGTATTTTAAGTAATTGAACTGTTTTGGAAAATTTTATTAAAATAGTAGGTATTGAAAATCATTAAATTGAGGAAGATTTTAGAAAATAATTGAAATTTTGCTAAGAAATTTTATTTAAATTTTTGAAAATAATTGAATTTTGAAGAATAATTTTATTATTTATAAAAATAATTGAAATTTTGGCCAAAATTTAAAAAAAAATTTGAACATAATTGAATTTCTGTAAAGAATTTTATAAAAAAATTTGGAAATAATTAAATTCATGTAAAATTTTGATTATTTATATGAAAATAATTAAATTTTCGCGTAGAATTTTATTAAATTTTTTTTAAATAATTGAATTTTTGAAAATAATTGAAACTTTGCCAAAAATTTTATTTAAATTTTTGAAAATAATTGAATTTCAGAGAAAAATCTTATTATTCATATAAAGATAAATGAAATTTTGATGAGAATTTAAAAAAAATTTTTGAACATAATTGAATTTCTGTGAAAAATGTTATTATTTTTTAAAATAATTGAATTTTTACAAAGAATTTTATTAAAATCTTTCAAACTAATTTCATTTTTCTGAAAAATTATATTAAAAGTTTTGAAAATAATTGAATTGTTTCGAGTTTTATTAAAATCGTACTATAAAAATCTGAGAATAATTGAATTTCAAAAAAGATTTTTTATTAAAATTAAAAAAATATAATTAAATTCCGTACAAGAATTTCAATGTTTAAATAATTGAATTTTTGACGAGAATTTAAAAAAAAATTTTAATTGAAACCTTTTGAAATTCAATTATTTATGAAAATTGTAAACGCAACACTTTTGTAAAATTCAATTCATTTTAAAATATTTAAGTAAAATTATTCATTAAATAATTTATGAGTAATAATTATATGATTGTTGTTCAAGAATTCAGTTATTTAAAAAGAAATTATTTTTTCCTAAATTAACTGAATTTTCTGACCTGTGAAAATCTTGTTTATTATAATTATTACAATATTTTGATACTGCGAATTAATTGAAATTACTGCCATAAAAAACAAGAAACATTATTTCTTTAGAGTGCAGTACAAAAGAGACGAGATTGCGAAAGGCTAGTCAGTGAACACAAAATGGAATCACAACAATTACGTGAACTCTCCCATCGAACAGATATAATAGCACGAGCACTAGGAGCTGAAGAATCTCATTTTCTTTCCGAACGAGAGGTTCACATAAATCAAGCTATGAAAACTCACCTAGTAGAACAGATTAAATTTTATCAAAATATAGTTAATAAGCTACAAGAAGCGCTGCACGCTTTTGATGGCTGATAAAAAAAAACAATCATTCTTGCTTAAATTTTTTTTTTCATTTTTTTTTCTTTGAATAATGCAAATGTGATGTGCATTATTTCGTAATACATTATTAGCATAATTAATTCTAACAAATGTACATCGTACATTAATTTTTATTCCAACTATTACAATAGGTATATCAATTTATTTTTTAAAAAAAGATTAATTTAATTTTGGCGATTAATTAAAAAATTGAATACTTAATTAATCCAAAGTTTTAATACTTTGGTTAAGTGCGTGGTATTTATTTTTGTGAAAATTTTAATATTTTCAATGAATTTTCTACAGTTTAGATACACAAACCAAATGAATATATAGTAACTGTGTTGTTCTTCCAGGCAGCTGGCAACTCTTATTTAAATTTGTTAATAATAATAATAAATAATAATAATTTTTTACAATTATTAAATTAATTTTTATAGCCAGTGTCTTGTAAGTATGTTTTTGTAAAAATATTAATTTATTAGTTTAATGTTGAAGTGTAAGTTTTTTTGTATGTGAAAAATTTATTGGGTCACAAGTGAAGCACGTGTTTAACAATTTTTTTGTTTAAAATGTGACTTTTTAATGATATAGTCTAAAATGTGTGCCTTCATCTTGCGCTTTCGTTGTAACGACATGATATTTCTCTTTTTATCATGTATTTATATATAAATTTTAATTGTAAAAATAAATTAATGTATATTGAATGTAATAACGATGTGCCTCTGACAATCGGGCTTTTTTCAATCTATTTTTTTTTTTTTGGAAAAAAATTGTATCTCGAATTATATATTAAATTACTATTTAACAGCAACTAATTTAAAATTTACTTGTGTAAAAAGCAGAATTTATATACAATGTAATATTAATATTTAAATCTGCTTTTTATTTTAATATTTCATTTATTTTCAATTACACGAGTTGAAAAAAATCATGTCTCGAATAAGGAGAAATCAGTTTTTTTGTTTATAATATTATTAACAAAAATCATTCTTTTGAATGGAATAAATTGTTTTAAAGTATCAAAAAAGTACTTTATTTATTATCACTTTGGGAAATTTTCAGAGAATCGTGCAGTTATTAACGAGAAAATCTGTTTTTGCTGTTCAACAAAAGAAAGTTTGAACGTTTTTGAATTTTTACAGCAATAATTTTTCAATTACACATTTCAAAAATTCTTTTAAAAATTCAATTATTTTCAAAGAATTATATTAAAATATTTTTAAAAACTACTATTAAAAAGATTTTACAAAAATTCAACTATTTTAAAAAGATTATACTAAAATTCAATTATTTTAAAAAGATTTAAACAAAATTTAATTACTTTTGAAAGATTTCACTGAATTTCAATTATTTAAAAATTTGTTTTTAAATTCTATTATTTTTAAAAGATTTTATCAAAATTCAATTACTTTTTTAAAGATTTCACTGAATTTCAATTATTTTAAAAAGATTTTACCAAAATTCAAAACATTTTTAAAAGATTTTACTAAATTTCAATTATTTTAAACAGATTTTACCAAATTTTAATTATTTTAAAACGATTTAACAAAAATTCAATTACTTTTGAAAGATTTCACTGAATTTCAATTATTTTTAAAAAATTTACCAAAATTAAAATATTTTATAAAGATTTTACCAAAATTCAAATATTTTTAAAAGCTTCTATTAAATTTCAATTATTTTTAACAGATTTTATCAAAATTCAAATACTTTTGAAAGATTTCACAGAATTTCAATTATTTTAAAAAAATTTACCAAAATTCAAATATTTTTAAACGATTTTACCAAAATTCAAATATTTTAAAAAAATTTCACCAAAATTCGATTATTTTATAAAGATTTTACCAAAATTCAAATATTTTTAAAAGCTTTTACTAAATTTCAATTATTGTTAACAGATTTTACCTAATTTCAATTATTTAAAAAGGATTTTACTGAATTCCAAAGATTTTTAAAAGATTTAACCAAAATTCAATTACTTTTGAAATATTTCACTAAATTTCAATTATTTTAAAATAATTTTACCAAAATTCAAATATTTTTAAACGTTTTTACCAAAATTCAATTATTTTAAGAAGATTTTGATTTTAAAAGTTCAAATATTTTTAAAAGATTTTACGAAAATTCAATTAGTTTATAAAGATCTTATCAAAATTTAATTATTTTTAAAAAATTTAACCATATCTGAATTGTTTTGAAATTTTTTAATTGTATTGTAATTAAAAAAAGATTATTTTTACAGCAATAATTTTGCGTATCTATCAAAAAAATTAATTTTAGTTTCTAAATATAAATTTTGAGTTTTTAATTTTTATTATTCCAATCAGTAATTTATTTTAATATTTTTAATGAACTGTTCGTTTATTTGAACGTTCAAAACTTGCGTAGTTCAGCCTAAAGTTATAAATTAAAATAATTTTCTAAACTTACAGTAGTCATTCTTAGCTTATACTTAATATCCACCTTTTAGCTACAATCGTAAAAAAACACCCACTCGCGATTTTAAACGTACACTCCCGAATTTCGTGTTAATTTTATTGTGCAAAAGAAACTTTTAATAACAACATCCGATTGGGATTTAAAACATTTACGAGCACTTCCGATTTTACCGCACTCTACATTCGATTTTAGGTTATGTAAAAAGCACTCACTACACTCACTCGCGGATGTAGAAATTTCCTTTTATTTTACAACTAAAAACAAATGGATAACAATTAAAACTACCTGCTACTCGATATAGCGATTTGAAATTGTTGTTCTATTGTTTAAATGTCCCCTTGCGACTAGGAAATTAAACCAACTGTTTTACAGAAATAACGTTACCCACTGTCGGTAACAGACTTTTGTCAGGAAACGTGATTATCGGCTTCACACCCTCCATGCGCGAAAGCAACGCTGATTGGTGGAATTTGAATATTAGAAGTGACCTTCTTTCAGTAGTTACAAAAAATTCCTGCAGAGTGCGTTTCACAGTGGAAGCAGCGCCACCACTACCGATTTCTCAGTAGATCGCTGACACTTTGCTTTGATATGTCTAACGTTTTTTAATATTCAAGTGTTTTTATTCTTGTAATTCTATTAATCGCGTGTAATTATTAACTCTTGTAATTCTATTATAAAATCTACCGATGAGTTCTAGTGAATTAGTGACAATTGTGACAATCCGGCAGAAGAGTTTTCAAATACGTAATTAAAGGCCTAAGCACAATAAGTTCGCGAAAGTCGTTCGCGAACGCAAAGCATGAGTTAGAAAAGGACAGAGATATATTTGTGTCCTTGTCTATCTCATGCGTCTCGTTCGCGAACGACTTTCGCGAACCTATTGTGCGTTGGACTTAAGAAGAAAATAGCTCCTATCTCCGTCCTCTTTCTTTATTTCTCCAAACTGTAAGTAATATTATTTTCAACACAATTATTTCAGGTTACATGAATAAGATGATATGAGTAAAAACAAATAAACCAAATATATTGCAAATAAAAAGTATTCTACTACAAAGTGATTTTTAAAACGCGTTTAGAAAGTAAACTCAACTTTACATAACCTCAAAATGTTTATTGCGCGAATAAAGCGTTAAAGTAAATAATCTCCATTTTTTCAAGAATGTGTGATTTTTATTAATGTCTAATTTTACATTTCCCTCCAACGTACAAATCGCACAGGAGTTTTAAAAAAATAATGGTACTTCGTTGCCTGTTTGTCTTTATAGAATTCCTACACATGTTTCACATCCACATAAAAACGTGTAACGTAAATATATTTTTTCATATATTTATATATAATATATCTGGTTCTTTTTTTTCCTTTAGTTTCTTTGAGTAAGACTTAACGTAGGTCAGAGAAAAAGTATGTAGACTCGATATAACAATATTTTTTAGCACTCTTTTTAAGTACTATTCAATTCAAAAGTTCTTTTACATACGGAAAAATATATTATTTCATTATTGAATTTATGTATGGCACATTTCAAAAAGGCATTCGAGAAATTAAATCAACACTAATATTATATGTACAGTAGAATGTTTGTTTTTTTTTTCAATACAATTTTTTTTTCAGATAGTGAAGGAAATATAGTATAGAGTATATAGTATTTTCTCGAATTCCATATAAACTGAATAACGTTTAGAGTTTTGCGATTGAAAATATCGTATACGATATATAGAGAAGTGCGACAGTTATAGGAGTACAGTAAATTTGGATGAATCCAAGTATATATTTACAGAATAATTGTAATAATATTAAGTACCATAAAAGACAAGGGCAACGCGAAGCAATTTGAGAAAAGTGTGTTTTGAATTAAAAGTGCTCTTAAAACTGTGCGCATACAAATTTCCTCTTTACCATCAGACTTTGACACTATTTTTTTTTTACATCTAAAATGACTATTTCACTTTCTTTGAAGTTTTGATAAACTTGAATTCTTTCGTTGGAAAACTTAAATTCCAGTGTTAACTAAACTTCTTAGACATTTTTTTTAATATTGAAACAATTTAAATAAAAATTAGACATTTAAATTTTTTTAGGTTATACTTTCACCGTAAATAACTAACTTCAAAGCCTTCAAAGAAAGTTCTAAAGATCTAGTACGGATCTAGTCGAAATTCCCCTTTATCCCCACTTGCAGTTTTTCTGCGATTCAATATTTTTTTTGGGAGCTAAATTGGTAGAAAAATTTAGATATTTTTTATAGAATAGTGAAAAGACAATAAATCAGTTGATCACCGTGAGGCCGAAAAGAATTTCAGTTAAAATAAAAATTTTTGAAAGAAAATCCAAAAAGTGGCGTAACAATGAACAACTGATTTAATAATACATTTTCGAAATGTGCATCTTATCACAATAGAATAATGTCATGGAAATATAAGCTGCAAATTTATTTCTTTAAAGACTGCGGCTAATTTTGTCGCAATATATTGAAATCGCGTGCAGGCAAGATTCTACTTCGTAAACTAAAATAAAATTCTATAATCCGTGGATATACACAAGGCCTTAACATTAAATTGCGTTTTTTTTTTTTTTTTAGAACTTCGCGTTGCTAAAATATGAAAGTGCTGAATTCCAAAGATTGAGCGATTTTCCTGATCCTTTAAAAAGCATTAAAGTTAATAGATCAGAACATAATGGTACATTAAGGCTGAAGCATATCCTTGCCTACAAAGTGCAATAGTTTTGTTTCTTTTATTTTTTTTCTTTTTTTTTATAAAACATGAGCTTCATTTACTTGTAACTCTTGATTTAGTCTTTAAACTTCCCTGATAATAAAACGCTCTCTATTTTAATGCACGATAAATTAAAAAAAAAAAATAAATCAAAATCAAAACAAGCGAAATAGTGCCGCAAAACTAAAATTTAGCACTTTTACCGCTAGCGAGAGAAATATTAATTTTATCGAACATTTTCAATAGAGTATCGCGCCGTCTTTTTTTTTTAAATCGTCATCCGTTGGCATTCAAATATAACGTTCCGTCTTTTGCGCGATGAAAGACATGCAAATCGTATATCAATTTATAATTAGGTACCAAAGTATTTCGATAAAAGTGAATAACAGTTGCAAGCATATATATATTTATGTAATTATATATGTTTTAACGTCATCCGTGCGCGTTATTTTCCTATATCGATTTAGCTTGTATATAGACATACCTCAGAGCGATTTAATAAAAGAATATTTATATCTTATTGAAGATAAAATTTAATTAAAATAATATTTTTTTTATATATTCGAGTCATATTTATAATAGTCAACTAATAAAATCCATTCGTACAATATTCTTGTCCGACTTCGTGCCCGACTTCGGACGGACGTCTACTGTAGTTTTTCAAAGAATACAGCAAAGATTTTTGCTCAATAAGGAGCATATTTTATTCACCAAAGCTTCTTCATAGTTTAATTGTATTGCTTCACACCGGTTACTTAAAAAAATATATTAGAATATTTGTTTTTTATAAAAATCTATCTAACAAATTATGTGACGCTCTGCGAAGAAAGGAATTGAAGAAGAAAAGTATTTTAAGGTTATGTCATTTTCACCTAAAAATTCAGTTAAATTTTGTAAAAATAAAATCAATTATTGAATATTTTGGATCTAATGATGACTTAAACTAGTAAGTTATACTGAAAATCGTTCCTGTATTTTAATTAAAAAATTTCGAATAATAACCTCAAATTTATCTTTCTTCGGAGCGCGTCGCAATTTTTTATTCATTTTGACCCATTTCTTCGAATAATTTCAAATTGTAGAAAATAAACTATTTTTAATCTCCGTCGATTATAATAATATCAGCGTTTAATACAAATACAGCGAGTTGTGTATATTGAAAAATTAAAATATAAATTCAGGGTGGCCACATGTCACTAAAGTTAGAAAAATGAGAGGAAAAAAAATTGTTTGTCAGGGAAATTAAGAAACTTAAGACTTTTTTCAACTTATTTTAAAAAAATTGCGACCTTTTCGACTTTTTGTCCAAATATTGCAACAAAATATGTACCACAATTTTTATTAAAAAAGAGCAACTTATTTTTTCAAAAATTATTTTTGAATAATTTTTCTAATTAATTTTCGAAAAACAGAATTAAACAGATTGTGAATAATTGAAATTTTGTAAAGTTTAATTGAAAATAATTATTTTTTTTTCGCAAGTTTTTTGTTACAATTTTTAAAAATAAATTTTTTAAGAATTTTAATTGCAAATTTTTAAAATAATTAAATTATCAAAAATTTTAATGAAAAATCTTTAAATGTAAATTTAAAAATGAAAATTAATGAAAATTAGCTTCAAATTTTTTAACATTCAATATTTTTAATTATACATTCCCGAAAATACAAATACACACAAAAAATAATAACATTTTGGAGAAAAATTAATGTTAATCAAAATTTTTAATTTAAATTCACCAAACAATTAATTAGTTTTTTTAAATTATACAAAAATTCTTTTAAAAATTCAATTACTTTCGAAAAATTATATTAAAATATTTTTAAAAACTACGTCTTAGAATTTTTTTATCATAGTTTTTTAAAATTTAGTTATCTTCAAACAGAGTAAATAAAAATTTTCAAAAATTTACTTTTTTAGACTTATTCAAATTTTGGAGAAATCATGGTCATATTTATCATTAAAATTCTACAAAAATTTGATTATTTTTATTTATATTTTTAAAAAATTCAATTATTTTAAAAATATTTTACTAAAATTCAATTATTTTTTCAAAAATTTCACTAAATTTCAATTATTTTTAAAAAATTTAATCAAAATTCAATTATTTTAAAAATATTTTATCAAAATTCAATTACTTTTTTAAAGATTTAACTGAATTTCAATTATTTTTACAAGATTTTACCAAAATCCAAATAATTTTGAAGTATTTTACTACATTTCAATTATTTTTAAAAGATTTTACCAAATTTCATTTATTTTAAAAGGATTTTACTAAAATTCAAATATTTTTAAAAGATTTGACCAGAATTCAATTACTTTTAAAAAGATTTTACCAAATTTTAATTATTTTAAAAGGATTTTACTAAATTCTAATTATTTTTGAAAGATTTTATCAAAATTCAATTACTTTTTTAAAGATTTAACTGAATTTAAATTATTTTTACAAGATTTTACCAAATTTCAATTATTTTAAAAGAATTTTACTAAAATCCAAATATTTTTAAAAGATTTTATCAAAATTCAATTACTTTTGAAAGATTTCACTGCATTTTAATTACTTTTGAATGATTTCATTAAATTTTAATTATATTTAAAAATTTTTACCAAAATTCAATTATTTTAAAAAAATTTTACCAAAATTCAATTATTATAAAAGTTTTTATAGAAATTCAATTACTTTTAAAAAGATTTTAACAAAATTTAATTATTTTTAAAAAATTTAACCAAATTTCAATTGTTTGGAAATTTTTCAATTATATTTCATTAAAAAACAATTATCTTTTAAAAATTATTTTAAAATAGCTTTAAAAAATTAATTCCAAGAATTTTGTTGATTATATTTATTTGAAAATATTAAACCTTAATAAACTGAAGATTAAATATAGACAGTTACAATTATTATTATAAAAAATTGAATTTTTTTTATTTAAATAATTGATTCATCGAAGAACTTTCGGAAAATTATCTAAAAATAATTGATTTAGAGATGAAATTAAAAATTAAAAATGGAAAATAATTTTAATATCAGTAAATTGTCAGGGATATTGTTAAACTTTAACTTGTATCCTCCCTAAAAATGAATTTTAGAAATAAAATCTCAGGATTTATTCTTAAATATTTTTTTTATATTAAACTATTTTATTCGACTCGACGTTTTGATTGTCAAACAAAAAAACGTTGGCATCCTCTTCAAGAAAAAAAATTAGTTAATCTAAAAATAATAATACTAAAAATTATTAATATTTTTGTTTTTAAATTTCTAAGAATTAATTTTCAGAATAAATCCCAAGATTTAATTTCTATGCAATAATACGTAATAAACTGAATTTTTAACTACGATAAAATTTAATACTGCGCATTTACTAATCCGTTCGAAACGAAATGGGTCAAAATATAAATCAAATAATTGTTAAACATTTACATATTTCGATATGTTTATAGATTTAAAAAAAAATAATCGCAATTTTGAAATCAAAAATAAATGTATGCACACTCGTATAATATCAAATTTCTAAAATCATTTGTTTTCATTTTCTTACTGAGCGAATAAAAAGAGTAAGAAAATTGAGAACATTCAATGACATACAGTTTATAAGAGATTCTGGTCCCGGAAATATACGCTATTTGTGAAAAAATCGAAAAAATAATCATTTTCTTCGACGGGAAAAAAAGAATACGAGAACATTTATTGTCTCTATCAAAAAGACCCTAAACTAATGTTTCCCTCAGATCCTAAGTTTTGTCACTTTTTACACTTTGTCATCTCATTTATATTTCTTTTATAAAACTGAAAAATTAGAGAGCTTATTTACATACTATATACCTAATAGCATTTCAGGTACTCTAAACACACTGACATACATTTATTTTTGATTTCAATAAATCTATTTCAAATTATTAGAATTAATAGATAAAGATATTAGCTCTGTATTAATTTTTAATTGAAAAAGAAAAATTAAAAAAAGAGTTTTAACCTATTGATTGTTTAATTCTTGTCTATTATCAGTATCACAATGTTTTACATATTTTGGAGATTGTTTCAAACTTTTTTTAAAGTCAGAGATAAATAATTAAAAATCTATAGAATGTTTACATCACAGAGTTGATTGTAGTCTTTTCTGTCTTTTTCGATCTTTTTTCTAAAATAAAAACTAAGGAACAGAGACCGGTGTGAGCACAAACAATATTATTCCTTTTACCTTGTTTTCTATCTACCAATATTCGAGTTCTAAAAATAACAGTTACTCCTGCATAAGACTGTTTAATCGAATACGCAATATGTATCTGTATCTCTCACGATCAATAAATAACTGCAATTAACATTGAATTTCATATAATACCATCAAAAATTAATTTGACGTTTCACCGTGCAGAAACTTTCTATATAATGATTCTTATAACTTGATAAAAATGTTAAAGAGTAAACAAAATGGAGAAAAATAACAAAATAAAATCTAAACCCAAAGAAAAACAAAAAATATTAAAAAAAGATTCGAGAGAATTTCATGAATTTCTCTTAGCTGCTGAAACATAGACTGCTTTTTTTTCTCGTTATCATTTATTTCTTCCTGGAAAATAAATGCCTCTCAGTACTATGATATAATTTTTGATTCTTTTTCAAAATTAGCATATTACTAGCTATACCGTTCTATTTGTCGCAATTGGCAAGAGTCTCGTGTCTTTGTCTCTATTTCGCGCCTGATAAGGAAAGATGATTTATTTCTCGCTAAGCTACTCGAGTGTTGAGTAGATTTTGTTTACGTATATCATCAACTCTTCGGAGAGTGTAAATTTATTCGTAACATGACTTTCCGTATAATACATACGTAAGAGCTTGTTGTGTTCAGCTCTTTTTATGCTTTCGTTGTCTCCTGAGATATGAGACGTTCGATTGAAAGAGAGTCGACAGAGCAGTTCTGGTATTCCCCCAAAGTTTGAAGCGTTTATTGCGCAAGTAAAGCGGTGAGCTGGTAGCGCCTTGGAAAGGAGGAATTGCAGCCACCAAATTTGATAGTGTTGTTGCTGTTGTTGTCGGTGGCTCGGAATTAATCTTCAATTGCAATTGGTCGGTGGTCCCGATGTTCTGTCCGGCTGCGGTGTGAGGTTGCCGGTAGAGCGGCCTGTCGACCCTGGTCCGTGCTGCTGATGTCCGCTGTTGAGGGCCAATCGTTGCATCTGCCTGATGACCGTGGCCGCGTGATATGCTTGCTGCAACCATGAGACAACAGGGAGTCTTTCCTATGGAGCCTGGCGAGCAAAACATTCCGGTCAGAGAATGGTTAAATACTTTTTGATACTAACCTTCCACCTTGACTTGGCAAAGTTCTTTTTAAGTTGTTCCGATACAGTACCATGGATATTTTTATTGCTAGCCGCATTTCCAGATATCCTGCAACAAATGAGAGTTTTAATAAAATGAACAATTTAACATACTAAACTCCTTAACGGCGATTTTGGATTTGACGGCCAAAATATTCGTCATCCGCAGTTAAGGGGTTAACATAATTAATACAATAAAACCAATGGAAGTGAATCTACTTCGACAAACTAAAATACAATTTGTCAAATTGATGAAAAATAAATTTATACCAATTTTTTGTAAATTGCTCCTCATTTTCTCAGCAAAAATGTTTTTAAATTCAATTAAGTGCGGAACTTAATTTTCTATTTCGAAAAATCGTTACAAGATTGACACAAAAATTAAATTTTGTTTTTTCCTCACTTTTCCCTGATTTCCACAAAAAATTTTGACTCTTTCCCTGATCCTAAAGAATATTCTGATTCACTCTAAAAATTATTTGATACTCAAAAAAATTGTTACATTTATTAACGAATTTCTTTCATTATAAAACTATTTGAAAGCATCAATATTGAAATTGTATTAAAAATAATTGATATTCTGCAATAAGTTTTATTATTTATGAAAATAATTAAATGTTTGGGTAGAATTTTATTTAAAAAAGTAGATATTGAAAATCATTAAATTGAGGAAAATTTTTAAAAATAACTGAAATTTTGCTAAGAAATTTTAATTAAATTTTTGAAAATAATTGAATTTCGGAGAAAAAGGTTATTACTTTAAAAAAAAAATTAAATTTCTGCGATGAGTTTAATTATTTAAGAAAATAATTGAATTCCTGAAAAGAATTTTATTATTTAAAAAAATTATTGTATTATTGTGAAAAAATTTATAAGAAATTTCTAAATAATTGAATTCCTGTGAAATTTTGATTATTTATGAAAATAATTGCATCTTTGCAAATAAGTTTGTCAACATTTTTTTTAAATACATGAATTCTTTTGGAAAATTTTATTAAAATATTCAATGTTATTGAATTGAAGATAATTTTAGAAAGTAATTTATTCTTTATAAAGATAATTGAAATTTGGCAAGGATTTTTTTTTATTTTTTGAACATAATTGAATTTCTGCGAAGAATTTTATTAAAAAAATTTGTAAATAGTTGAATTCTTGGAAAATTTTTATTATTTATATGAAAATAATTAAATTTTCGCGTAGAATTTTATTAAATTTTTTTCAAACAATTGAAATTTTGCCAAGAATTTTATTAAAAATTTTTGAAAATAATTTAATTTTGGAGAAGAATTTTATTATTTATAAGGATAATTGAAATTTTGACGAGAATTTTTTTAATTTTTTGAATATAATTGAATTTATGCGAAGAATTTTATAAAAAAAAAATTTGTAAATAATTGATTTCCTGTGATTTTGTTATTTACATGAAAATAATTGAATTTTCGCCTAGAATTTTACTAAATTCTTTTTAAATAATTGAATTTTTGAAATAATTGAAATTTTGACAAGAATTTTATTAAATTCTTTTTAAATAATTGAAATTTTGAAAATAATTGACATTTTGCCAAGAATTTTATTTAAATTTTTGAAAATAATTGAATTTCAGGAAAAAGTCTTATTATTCATAAAGATAATTGAATTTTTACAAAGAATTTCATGATAATCTTTTAAAATAATTTAATTTCTGTGAAAAATACTGAAAATTATATTAAAAGTTTTGAAAATAATTGAATTGTTTCCAGTATTATTAAAATCGTACTATGAAAATTTGAAAATAATTGAATTTCAGTAAAGATTTTTTATTAAAGTTAAAAAAAAATAATTGAATTTCGTACAAGAATTTTATTATTTATAAAGGTAATTGCATTTTTGACGAGAATTTAAAAGAAATTTTGAATTGAAACCTTTTGGAAATCGATTATTTATAATAATTGTAAGCTTAACTATTTTAGAATTCAATTAATTTTGAAATTTTTAAATAAAATAAATTATTCATTAAATAATTTATGAGTAATAATTTTCATGATTGTTGTTGAAGAATTAAGTTATTTAAAAAGAAATTATTGTTAGAAATAGAAAAATTTGAAAGTTTTTTTATTAGAATTCGTGGAAATTTCATAGTTTGTATAAGGCAAACAAAAAAACACCAAAATTCATAATTTTCTTATGAATTCTAAAAATTTAATTTTTTCCAATACTTTTAATAAAAATCCCTAACTTTTCTTTGACTAATTCTACTTTTTCTGACTTTTTCCTGAATTCCCTAATTTCTTTGACCCTGCATTAGTTTCAAATTCGAAACACTTCCATTTCCTTGTTTCTTAAACATCAACACACAGGATAAATGTAAAATACATTGAACTCTACAGCGTCATTTAAATTTAATGCACAATTTATATTTACGGAAAAATCGATAGTGCGAATGTAAAGACGAGAAACTTTTTTCCTTAAAGCATGAATGCAATGAATGCAATTGAGTCATAAGGGGAAAGTATGTAGGTATAGTGTTTTGATTGTTAAAACACAAATGTAAAAAAGAAATGAAGAATTCGATTTTCTCGGCTAAAGAACTTTAGACAAAAAAAAAAAAAAATCTTTCAAGGTACACGTGCAGTTTAAAAAAAAGATAATTTTAGAAACTAGTTTACATTTTCAAGTGGTTCTTAAAAAAACAGAATTGAATATAAACAGCTTACCAAGGATGCGCTAGGGCTTGTTTGCATGTATAGCGCTCTTCCACGTTGACACACATAAGTCTACTTATGAAGTCCTTAGCAGAGTCGCTGATATCGTCCCAGTATGGAGAATCGAATTCAAATTCACCTACAACAATCTGGTTAGCTTTTTGCTATAAAGAGTAAGATTTCGTTTGCTGATTTTTATATTATGGAATTGAAACATATTCTATTATTATTAAGTCGGCTAATTGTAAGACACACGCCACATGATGTTTATATATAATTATACATAATACAGTGATTATATATAAGTACTAAGATCTTATCTTTAAGAAACATTGGAAAAAAATGTACACACGAAAATCTCACGCACATCAAATCCATTACTTACTACCCTAGTACGTTTTAATAATGCTGCAATTGTAAACTAGAATTGTACCTTAAAAATGAAATTATAAAATTAACACTTTTATGTACAAGTCAAATGCAAGTTTAAATTTTTTATCTCCCCCAATTTTTGGTGCAATGAAATTGTTTGACTATGTACATAAATGGAATTCATTGTTTGAGTTGTGCATGCGTTACCTTTTAGAATCTGAGCAAAGAGATTGGCGTCATTTTCGTCATAGAAAGGAGGGTACCCGCACAATAGGATATATGAGATGACACCTATACTCCAGACATCCACTGCTTTGCCGTAAGGTTTTTGCGCCAACACTTCGGGAGCTGGAAATAATCTCGGTAATTCTATAGCTTTGTTTTTAAAATCAAAAAATTCCAATGGCACACAGTTTTCTTGCATTGGAAACTTACCTACATAACCGGGAGTGCCACATGCTGTGGCCATTATTCCAGAGTCCTCCATTTTTGATAGACCAAAATCGCTAATCATTATTTTACTATCTTCATCTGGACTGTAATAGAGAAGATTTTCCGGCTTCAGATCTCTATGTACAACTCCTTGCTCGTGCATATAATCCACAGCTTCGAGAACTTGTCTTATCAAATCTGACGCATCTTTCTCTGTATAGGAACCTTTTTCTACAATTCTATCAAATAATTCACCTCCGGTAACTCTATATCAAAAATAATTTACAATGAGTCATTTTCCAGGAATATTCCGCATAATTCAGGACTCGAACTAGGTTTGTAAATTCCGTAAAGGTCCGTTAATTTGCTTCAAGTTCGGAAAAGTCAAGCTTTCTTGAAAAAAGGTCCGTAATTTGATTAAAAAGAACGAAAAAGTTCGTAAATTGGACGATATAATTTGGAGAATTTAGAAAAATTACAAATAATTGCAGAAATTCAATTATTTTGAAAAGGTAATCAAATTCTTCGCAGAAATTAAATTACAATTATTTTCAAAAATTTTAATAAAATTCTTGTCAAAATTTCAATTATTTTCTAAAATTTTCCTCAAATCGATGATTTTAAATATCTACTATTTTAATAAAATTTTCCAAAAGAATTCAATTATTTACAAACAAATTTTAATTATAATCTACGTAAATATTTAATTTTTTTCATAAATAACAAAAATTCCACAGGTATTCAATTATTTACATATTTTCTATAAATTTCTTCGAAATAATTCCATTATTTTCATAAACAACGAATTTTATTAAAAGGAATTCAATTATTTTCTAAAATAATAAAACTCATGAATAATACAATTTTTTTTAGGTATTCAATTATTTTCGTAAATAAGGGAAATTCTTCTTAGAAATTCAATTATTTAAAAAAAATTAATAAAATTCTTCAAAAGAATTCAATTATTTTTATAAAAAATAAATCTCTTCGCACAATTTAAATTATTTTTAATATAATTTTTAATACATTTTTCGAAAAATGCAATTATTCTCAAAAATTTTGTTAAAATTCTTCGCAAAAATTCAATTATTTTTATAAATAATAAAGTTATTCCCAGAAATTCAATTATTTTCATAAATAATAAAATTCTTCATAGGATTTAAATTATTTTTAATACTATATAAATTATTCAATAAATTATTTTTTTTTGTTTTTAAATAAATGAAATCTCGTAGATTTTTCTAATAAAAATTGATTTGAAAATGAATTTCAGTTAAAATTTAAGATTATAATTGAATATTAAAAGAATTATAGAGTGAATTTTTATAAATAATTGAATTTTGAAAAGTTTCAAATTAATTTCTTTGAAAAAGTTTAATTTCGGATTTTTTTTGAAATTATTTTAAGTTTTTATTTTCTAATATATATTTAATTGAATAAATTTCAAAAAATTAAAATCTTGTAAAATTGAATTTTAAACAAATGAATTTGAAAATTTTCAAAGAACTTTTTCAAAAATTATTAATAGTAATGGATTTATAGAATTTTAGTTTAAAACAGTAAAAAAAAAAATTGGATTTTGGAGAAGTTACAAATAATTGCAAAAATTCAATTATTTTCAAAAGTAATAAAATTCTTCCCAGAAATTCAATTATGTTCAAAAATTATTTAAAAATTTTCTTCAAAATTTCAATGATCTTTATAACCAAATAATAAAATTCTTCTGTAAAATTCAATTATTTTCAAAAAATTTAATAAAATTCTGAACAAAATTTCAATTATTCGAAAAAATATTCTTCAATTCAATGCGATTTTCAATATTTACTATTTCAATGAAATTTTGCAAAAGAATTCAATTATTTTTATTAAATTTCAATAAAAATCTGTATTTAAATTCAATTATTTTTAGATTTTATAATAATTTTAATAAAACTCGAAACAATTAAATTATTTAAAAAATTTTAAATATAATTTTTCACGGAAATTAAATTATTTTGAAAGATTTTAATGAAATTCTTTTGTTAAAATTCAATTATTTTCAAAATTAATAAAATTCTTGGCAGAAATTCAATTTTGTGAAAAAATGTAATAAAAAAACTCGTCAAAATTTCAATTATATTTATAAATAATAAAATTCCTCTCCGTGACTCAATTATTTTTAATATAATTTTAATCGAATTCTTCGAAAAATGTCATTATTCTTAAAAATTATATTAAAATTCGTCGAAAGAATTCAATTATTTAAAAATTTGTTGGTAAAATTCTTTATGAGAATTCAATTTTAAGAAACATTCAATTATTTATCTTTGTATTTAAAAAAATAGAATTCTAGTAGAATTTTCTGATAAAAATTGATTTAAAAATGAATTTTAGTTAAAATTTTAGATTGTAATTGAATATCAAAAGCAATATAGCGTAAATTTATGAAAATAATTGAATTTTGAAATTAATTTTTTTAAAAAAGTTTAATTGAATTTTTTTAATATCATTTAAAGTTTTTATTTTCTAATATATATTTAATTGAAGAATTTCCAAGTAATTAAAATTTCCCGTAAAATTGAATCGCAAACAAAATTTAAAAATTCTCAAAATGAACTTTTTTGAAAATTATTAAAAATATTTGATTTAAAGAAGAAGTTTAGTGTAAAATTCTTGAAAATAATAATTGAACAATATTCGTATAAAATAATGATTTTATCACTTTGCCATCTTTGAAATCGATCACTCCGAGTCGAAGACTCGGAGTTATCGATATCTTCATGTTTTATATTTATGAAAAATTTAATTTCTAGTTTTAAGTAAAATGTTTTCTTATATTTGACTCGAACTGGTTATATTTTTGTCAGTAATTAGTCCGTAATTTTTAAATTTTTGGTCCGTAAAGTCCGTATATTTATTAAATACTTTCACTTGTTCGAGTCCTGCATAATTTTCATAATAAATTGAAAACATGCGATAATTAATTAACTTATTCAACAACTTGTTTGCTAAAACTTACAATTCCATTATTAGGTAAACTTTATGTTTATCTTCAAACGTTTCCAATAATCGAACAATATTAGGATGTGTTAACCTGAAACAAAGTGAATTTTTCTTTTAGTGCATCTCATTAAAATTTTCTCCCAACTCATGCAGATGGGAGTATTTAGTGTTCCCTGAACAATCATGCGCTAATTATTTTCCATTAAAAGCCCCCTTAGAATTTTTTTTTTCAATTAAAACACACATAAATTTCCTTTAATACATTATCGAGTGAGAAAAAAATATTCAAGTATATAATTTGCTTTTTGTCTTATATACGTATAATATAGTGTTTTATTTTTATCAAAGAAATATTTTGTTAGGGGCAGAGAAAGACATTTTTAGAACAAGTACTCAATCAGTGAATCTATCTGAATCAAGTTGAAGTAAATAATCTTCAGCTTTAATCTTATAAATACAGTCACACTTGTCTAAACTTGACCCCAAAATTAATGCAGATTCAGAATCTAAATAGGGTTTCATGAATATAACTTTTTCTTATATATATTCCCCTCCCTATCTTCATTCTAGATCTCTTTATACATATTTCTTTTCCAAAGGAAAACTTCTATTTAATAATACACCCTAGCTAGGAAATTAAAAAGTTAATTCAATTATTTTCCTCTTTATCTTAATTTAATAAAACCGAAAAGCAATTTATACAAAAATGTGATTTCGAAACAATAAGTAACTAGTTAAAATTTAATTGGAAAGTGTTAATTGGAGTAAATTAATGACACCCATATATATGATTATATACATATAGTTCTGCGAAAAAAAAACGTGCATATTTTTAAACTATATCGAACCAATAACCAGCTGACAAGAGTCTACTTGTTACAGTATATAACTAGCACAAAAGCTATTTTTTATAATAATAATAAAAAAAGCTTTATAAAAAAGGCAATACGTGAGACAATAAGTTAATTGCGTCAGTATATTATGTTTATGTAATATGAGAGAGGCAAATAAATGTTTATACATTCACATTAAAAGTCTTGTTAAACAAATATGGTTAGCCAGATGCTTGATATGGAATTGAAAAATCCATCAATATTGTTAAAAAAAGGGTTATTGAAATGCAAAGTAAAACGCGAAACACCACAACATAAGCACCTGGTTCCCAGCTGAAATATAAATTTCAAAAATACTAGACACCTGAAGACGATGTCGTGAATAAAATGAAGAGTACGATTTTTGTTATTCTAATTAGCATCAAATTAGAAAAATGTCATACAGAATTATTTCAATATTTTATCATTTTATAATTGGCCCATTATATACCATATTTCAATTTATGAATCGTTATTAATTTACATGATTATCTAATGTGTGTTCTAATGAATTTGAAAAGTGAAACTGGTTTTTAAAAGTAAAGCTATTTCTAGATTTTGATAAAAACATAATATTATTGGTTTTGTCAAGTATAGAAATATTACAAAAGCAGTAAAAAAAATATTCTTTATATTATAAATGTTTGGTTTTTCGAAAATAAATATAGTACATAGGTAATATAATAGTAAAAATGAACGCTGTAAAACACCAGCTGTCCACAAGTTGCAGAAACTAATTAAAGATAGACTTAAAACTTCTATTTTAAGATAGAGTAAGCAGGCATAATTATCATATTGCAAATGGAGTATAAACAAAACGTGCTAAGAGATAATCTTTGATAATATAGTGAGATAGTAGGTCGCAAAGAAAATTGCCACTTTATGCAATTGAAATTCTAAATTGTGAACTGTTTGTATTATATATACTGTGAAAAGAAAAATTAAATTCACTAAAATCAATTATATTGTACAGGGAAGATTTTCAATTTTAGTGCTTATTTCTAAAAACAAAAGTTGAAGAATGTTTACTAAAATAATAATAATAATAATAATAATAGAAATACACACAGTTTTGGAAATTGTTCTGCACTCGTGTATTAATTTTTAATATAGTAAAGCATTTTCAATTCTCTAAATCTGAATTATTCAGTTCAAAAATACGATTATTATTTAAAAATTCTAAAAAATTCTTTTAATTTAATTCTAAAAAAAACCTTCTCATGTGATGAGAATCTAAAATATTCTTAAAATTCTTCAAAATATAAAAATTAGTTCAATTTATAATTGTTTGACAATTTTTCAATTAATTACTTTTGGGAATTTGTTTTTTATCTTCAAAAATGAAAAAATAGCAAAATTTTTCAAAGAACATAATTTTTTCCGAATTTTCAAATTCGATTATTTAAAACTTTAATAATCTTGTTAAATAAATATGTAAATAGGTACATTTTAAAATATTTTAATTACAAAACTTTTGAAATTTTATTACTTTTGTAAAAATGTATAACTCTTACAAAATCCAATATTATTTTTTAAAATTTTGAATAAAAATCATCCACAAATTTAATTTTAATCAGAAGTTTGAAAATTGTTTTTAAAAATTTCTACTATAAGTCAAAATTCAATCATTTTGAATAATTTTTGGAAAATTCTTCGAGAATTCAATTATTTTGATTAATTTTTTTAAAAAGTTCTTCGAGAATTCAATTATTTGGAATAATATTTAGAAAATTCTTCAAGATTTCAATTATTTTGAACAATTTTTAGAAATTTCTTCCAGAATTCAATTAGTTTTAGATAATTCTTCGAGAATTCAAATATTTCGAATAAAATTTGTAAAAAAAAATATGAAAATTCAATTATTTTGAATAATTTTTATAAAATTCTTCAAGATTTCGATTATTTTGAATTTTTATAAAATTTGTTAAGAATTCGATTATTTTGAATCATTTTTAAAAAATTCTTCGAAAATTCAATTATTTTAAATAATTTAGAGAAGAGTTCATCGTAATTTCAATTATTTTGAATAACATTTTGAAAGTTCTTCAAGAATTCAATTATTTTGAATAACTTTTAGATAATTCTCTCAAAATTCAATTATTTTGAATAATATTTAGAAAGTTCTTCAAGAATTCAATTATTTTGAATAATTTTAAGAGAATTCTTCAAAAATTCAATTATTTTAAATAAAAATTGTATAAAATTCAAAAATTCAATTATTTTCGAAAATTTTTAGGAAATTCTTCCAGAATTCAATTATTTTAAACCAAAAATTCAATTATTTCAAGATATTTGTAACAATAACTCATGATTTTTTTTTAACTTTGAAAATATGTAGACGAAAATATTGGAAAAACTTGATTATTAAAAAATTATAATAAGAGAATTCTTAAAATTAATTTTTTAAAATTTATATTTTGTAGTTTTTTGAATTTCCGAAAATATGTAATTGAAAATATTAAAAATAATTGAATTTTAAAAACTTATTATTTGAGAATTACTTTCTTAAAGAATAATTTAATATAATTTTTAGAATCTAATTTTTTTTATTTTCATTTAAAAATTTTCATTTGAAGATTTTTTATTAAAATTTTTATAAAAATTCAATTATTTTCAAAATTTGTAGTTAAAAACTTATTTAAAATTATTTTCGAAAGATTTTTGTATTTATTTTTTACACTATAAATTTTTGAAATAAGTGATATTTTCTTGCAATATTTGTAAAAAAAAGTCAAAAAAGTCCAGAATAGTTTATGTTTTTAAAATATTTTCAAAATTTACAATATAATTATATAATTTTTGAAGAATTTCTAGAAGTTTGGTGTTTTTTTTTTTTAATATTTTGGTTGAAATTTCTAGATTTCCCAACCTTTGAAAACTCTGTTATTGTCGAAATTCATTAAATTATAAAAAAGTCTAACTGAAAATTAAATGTCGAAAAATACTTAAATCTAAATTTTTGAAATTTATTTTAATGAATGATAATTTAATTACTTTTTAAGAGAAAAAATCTGTTTTATGAGCTAAAAGACTTGCCAAAAAATGTTTGACACTAGAGAAAAGGATTTGACTAAAGTTGTTTTTTATACTTTTTGGAAATCAAAGTAACTAGCATTTTATATTAAAAAAGAGGTATTTTGTTGTAAAATTCGGAAAAAAGGTCGAAATTTTAGTCGCTTTTTAGTAAAATAAGTCGAATAAAGTTGCATTTTTTGAAAACAGTAGAAAAAAAGTAAACAAAATATTATCCGATGTCTGATACTTTTCTATTAATTCAGATTTAGAGAGAAAATGTCAATTTTCATTTGATATACTCAATAAACATGAATGTTGATCAAATAAAAACAAAAATTTTCTTTCCCCGCAAATCTCTTTAAATATATATAGATAAGAAGACTATAAATATTGAATAACAAACTTTAGATAACGAATGTACAAATAATAAAATTCAAATGTAATCTTGTAAGGTTTGAAATATAAAGGTATTAGACGATAAGTATTATATACACTATTCCTTGACCTTTAAAAAATAGAAATTTTTTTGGAATGTTACGAAATCCCCGCACGTGTTAATTCTCTATGTATATTATTCCTTTTACTGGCAACTTATTAACAACTTGAAAAGTTGAATGCAGGCAATAAAATTTCGAGGCCTGTATTTATCATCGTAATTTAGTCTAAGCTCTAGGTTCTAGCCCAACTTTCAATGGTTAAAATTAGCCCAGCTTTTAATGATTAATGATCAGAAGGTCACTTCTTTGAATATATGTATATATTTGAAACCATTACCAAAACTGTGTTGCATGATAGAAAAAAGAGAAAAAAAAATGGGACGTGCATGAAATTGTTATATGCAAATATTCCAGCGTGCTATTCAAGTTTTGATACCGATAGTTGTGGGGCTCAAAGAAAAAGTGGTATAAAATAACAGTGCGAGCAAAAGTGAGTTAACTTTTCTGACGGGTAAGAATGGGCCAGATGAATGCTGCGAGGAAAAACAGAATTTCTTTCGAGCGCGAGCAAAAGCGGGCTAAATGGCTATCCCATTTTTGCTCTTAGTCAAAAGTTGATCCGCTTTTGCTCGCACCGTGAAGTCTATAGTAATGTCGAGATACGAGCCGTCGCTACATTTTGACAATTTGACGTTTGATTCCATTTCGTTTATTTTACTTTTATTTAATTGTTTCAATGTGTGAATAATAAAATATGAATAAATAATAAAAATAATAATAATAATGTGTGAATATTGATAGAATATTCCTTTAAAGTGAACAGAATATTTCTTCCAAAACTTATTTTTAATATTTTGTTGTTTTTGAAAAATTTGTTAGTTACATTAAAAATATGATCATGTTATTTATTTATTTATATGTAGATAAATAATTTCCTAATATTTTTCAAGTTTTTAACATGCTAATTTTTACTGGAAAACTTTTTCATTTTTCTCGAATATTTTTCTCGAAAAATTATTTTCAAAAGGTTGTTAAATAACAAATTTTAATAATTGAAATTAACAAAAAATTTCAAGTCAAAATTCCTAAACATTATAACTCTATTTCTTCCAAAGTTCAATTATTAAAATTTTTTTAATAAAAGTTTAGTTTCATAAGTCAATTTCAATTATTGTAATAAAATTTTTTAGAAATTCAATTATGTTTAAAAAATCTCGCATTAAAAATTCCTTAAAATGTAATTACTGACCTAAATTTGTGAAAAAAAGTAAGTATTTCAAATATACAAAAATTTGTATTTCAAATTTCCTACATTTATATTATTTACAAACTTTTTAACAAAAATTATATTTCAAATTAATTATTTTCAAAAAATTATAGTATGAAATTTAAGGCAAATTTTTAGCAATTAAAATTTACAAATATTCGTAGTTTAATTTTTCTAAAATTCAATTTTTATTAAATATACATTAGAATTTAGATTGAAATTTTAAATAATTAAATTTTAATGTGCCTGAAATTGCCATCGATGCTCAGCATCGAAATTTTTTTTTCATCAGACCATCAATTTTTTCGCATTTTCGTACTCAAGTAGGTACCCAATAAATACCTAATAAGTTTCGTCCTATTATCGATAGGGGAAAGTTGTCAAATCAACCCCTAAATTTAAAAAAATAAAAAAAAATAGGAAAAAATTGTTATTTAAAAACTAATAACGAGACCATAAATTTTATTGCATAAAATGCATTCACTCGATGCCCAATGAATACAAAAAAATTTTGACCCGCAAGTCGATAGGGAAAAGTTGTCATTTTCAACCCTTAATATTTAAAAAATCGAAATCCTTTGACCAGCAATTTTCTTTTTGTTTATTGTTTCTACATACTCCACTAATAATGAAAAATAATTTCAGAAAAATCGCCGCCCGGAAAACTTGATTTTTCTGCCCGTAAAAATTAAAAAATTGAAAAAAAATTAGAAAAAAATTTGTGAAAATTACAATTATCTTTTGACCAGGGATTTTCTTTTTGTTTATTGCTTCTACATACTCCACTAATAAGTAAAAATAATTTCAGAAAAATTGCCGCCCGGAAAACTTGATTTTTCTGCCCGTAAAAATTAAAAAATTGAAAAAAAAATAGAAAAAAATTTGTGAAAATTACAATTATCTGTTGACCAGGGATTTTCTTTTTGTTTATTGCTTCTACATACTCCACTAATAAGTAAAAATAATTTCAGAAAAATTGCCGCCCGGAAAACTTGATTTTTCTGCCCGTAAAAATTAAAAAATTGAAAAAAAATTAGAAAAAAATTTGTGAAAATTACAATTATCTGTTGACCAGGGATTTTCTTTTTGTTTATTGCTTCTACATACTCTACTAATAAGTAAAAATAATTTCAGAAAAATTGCCGCCCGGAAAACTTGATTTTTCTGCCCGTAAAAATTAAAAAATTGAAAAAAAATTAGAAAAAAATTTGTGAAAATTACAATTATCTTTTGACCAGGGATTTTCTTTTTGTTTATTGCTTCTACATACTCCACTAATAAGTAAAAATAATTTCAGAAAAATCTATTTTTCAATTATTATTGTTTACAACAATTTAAAAAAATTATTATATGTTTTATTAATTGCCTAGTGGTCTTCTTGGATTATCTTGAACTGATTTAAATCATGTGCAGTAACGGAATAAGAAATAAAAGTCCATTTTAAAAAATTGTATTAATTTGTTAACTTTGATTAAACTAAAAAATTATAAACAATTAAAATCTCAAAAATCAGTCTCAAGGGATGTCATAAGAATTTATTCCCCTTTAATTTAAATACAAGAACACTCAAATCGTTTAAAAATTGTAGGCTGAAGACATTTTTGAAAAGTAAATTGTAAAAAATCCCACTGTGTGTAGGACCAAAATGTCATTTGGTAGTCCCTATTCGATTTTCGTTCGTTGTGCTAAACGTGGAAAGCAACGTAGCGAGTCTTTAAATCTCAAGGTAAGCCGAAAATTGCCGAACGCACCCGAGCTAGGACCCAACAGGCAAACACTCAAGTTCGCGGAGAGAACAGGCGACGTTGAGAGTTTGTGTTGGAGAATTACTTCGGGTGTATTCGGGTAATCACGTCTTCCCGTAGGATTTAAAGTATCGCTGCATTGGCCGAGCACTGAACGAATGCCAAAAGAAGACACGATAAATAAAAATCTCCCCTTGAATTGCACAATTCGGACAAATGGCAACTGTGATTTTAACAATTTTTTTTCTTATTTTTTTGAGTTTTACTAATATTTACGGGCAAAAAGTAAAACTTTCCGGAAGGCAATTTTTTTAAAATTATGTACACATATTAGAGGAATATGTAGAAGTAATAACAAAGAAGAAAAAATCCCTGGTCAAAAAACAACTGTAATTTTTACATTTTTTTTTTAATTTTTTAATTTTTTCATTTTTACGGGCAAAAAATCAAAGTTTCCGGTCGACGAATTTTTTGAAATTTTGTTGATACATTAGGGAAATATGTAGAAGTAAGAAACAAGAAGAAAATCTCTCGTCAAAAGAAATTTGTAATTTTCACCATTTTTTTACCTATTTTTTCTTAATTTTTTTGTTTTTACGGGCAAAAAAGTCAAAGTTTCCGGGCGACAATTTTTTTGAAACTGTGTAGATACATTAGGGGAATGTGTAGAAGTAAGAAGAGGAAGAAAATCTCTGGTCAAAAGACATCTGTAATTTTTACAATTTTTTTCTTATTTTTTTTTGTTTTTATGGTCAAAAAAATCAAGTATTCCGGTCGGCGATTTTTCTGAAATTATTTTTATTTATCATTGGAGTATGTAGAAGCAATAAACAAAAAGAAAATCCCTGGTCAAAAGATAATTGTAATTTTCACAAATTTTTTTCTAATTTTTTTCAATTTTTTAATTTTTACGGACAGAAAAATCAAGTCTTCCGGGCGGCAATTTCTCTGAAATTGTTTTTACTTATTAGTGGAGTATGTAGAAGCAATAAACAAAAAAAATCCCTGGTCGAAAGATAACTGTAATTTTAACAAATTTTTTAGTAATTTTTTCTTCAATTTTTCGGGCAGAAAAATCAAGTTTTCCGGGCGGCGATTTTTCTGAAATTATTTTTGCTTATTAGTGGAGTATGTAGAAGCAATAAACAAAAAGAAAATCCCTGGTCAAAAGATAATTGTAATTTTAACAAATTTTTTTCTAATTTTTTCTTCAATTTTTCGGGCAGAAAAATCAAGTTTTCCGGGCGGCGATTTTTCTGAAATTATTTTTGCTTATTAGTGGAGTATGTAGAAGCAATAAACAAAAAGAAAATCCCTGGTCAAAAGATAATTGTAATTTTAACAAATTTTTTTCTAATTTTTTTTTAAATTTTTTAATTTTTACGGGCAGAAAAATCAAGTTTTCCGGGCGGCGATTTTTCTGAAATTATTTTTACTTATTAGTGGAGTATGTAGAAGCAATAAACAAAAAGAAAATCCCTGGTCAAAAGATAATTGTAATTTCCACAAATTTTTTTGTAATTTTTTTTCAATTTTTTAATTTTTACGCGCAGAAAAATCAAGTTTTCCGGGCGGCGATTTTTCTGAAATTATTTTTACTTATTAGTGGAGTATGTAGAAGCAATAAACAAAAAGAAAATCCCTGGTCAAAGGATAATTGTAATTTTCACAAATTTTTTTCTAACTTTTTTTTCAATTTTTTAATTTTTACGGGCAAAAAAGTCAAGTTTTCCGGGCGGCGATTTTTCTGAAATTATTTTTACTTATTAGTGGAGTATGTAGAAACAATAAACAAAAAGAAAATCGCTGGTCAAAGGATAACTGCAATTTTAATAAAGTTTTTTGTAATTTTTTTTCGATTTTTTAAATATTAAGGGTTGAAAATGACAACTTTCCCCTATCGACTTGCGGGTCAAAATTTTTTTGTATTGATTGGGCATCGAGTGAATGAATTTTATGCAATAAAATTTATGGTCTCGTTATTAGTTTTTAAATAACAATTTTTTCCTATTTTTTTTTATTTTTTTAAATTTAGGGGTTGATTTAACAACTTTCCCCTATCGATAATAGGACGAAACTTATTAGGTATTTATTGGGTACCTACTTGAGTAGGAAAATGCAAAAAAATTGATGGTCTGCTGAAAAAAAATTTTCGATTCTTGTCTGATTGTAAAGTAATTGAATTTAAATTTAAATACCTAAAACTTGAAATAATTATATTATTCTTAAATTAAAATTTTAAAAAATTGAATTTGTTAATTAATTTTGAAATAATATCATTATAAGTATTAAAGTGGTAATAATATAAAATATATGGGAAGAGTGAAACAGGCAAAAATGAATCTTAAAATGAGTGCGGGCAAAAACGGAATATATCTGTATCCCTTTCTTGCGCGCAGTGAAATCTTATCCCGCTTTTGCTCGCAGCCAAAAGTAATTCGTTTTTCCTCGTAGCGTAACATTTGTTTCTTTCTTCCGCGCTTACGAAAACTTGACTCACTTTTGCTTGCACTGTTATTTTATACCACTTTTACTTTGAGCCCCTCAGTTTTGCATAGTAAAATGATAAAAAAAGAGTGTGTGTGTGTGTTTGGAATGGTAAAGGTAGTTGGTGCCTCTTTAAAGGGCCCACACTTACCATTCTTTCTCGCCACTACTATCCGACTTGAGCGACCCATTACCACTCTGTGTCACTGATTCACTGAACCTACGAATTACAATAACGCCATACACAATAATTAGAATTTACAATTCGCAAGTAGTATCGCTTGCTTTTGATTTTTACAAATATAATTTCAATTTCTTACTCCGGGGCCTTCCATATAGATATTAATTATTTATTATAGATAAGTCGCGAATTTGTGAGAGATATACTGAAACTAATATAATAATATAAGAAAATAAGGTGTGTGGAAAAGCGTACTCAGATATAACTTTAGTGCATATAATGGCTGTGAATGATCGTCTTAAGGTCACCAGGTTTTTCTTATTTTTTTTTTATTTTCTAAATACTCAAAGATTTTTCATGATCAGAATGAATATCATTTCTCATTTCTCATGCGCACTAAACGTGCAAAAAAAAATCAAAAAAAGTTCACAAATAATTCTACTATATTAATTTTGAACGAAAAGAATTCATTTAGTGAAAAACACTATAAAAAGAAAAGCTAAATTAGAATTTGTTACTTGGGGAAACAAAATTTGTTACAATATCTGTTAATTATATTAGCATAATAATTACTCCAAAGTTTATCTGAAGGACGACTTTACAAAAGGGTAAGGGATTAAAATAGAAAAAAAACACTAATGCAAGCTGTTGGTAGGTGTAAAATAATACCTGAAAATAAAAAATTCATTATTATAATTGTCAATCATCAAATTAGAAATTTATTTAGAATAGAATAAAAAGTACAAAAAGAAATAAAAAAAGGAATCTTTTAGTGTTCTGGTATATTGTAAGCTTGGAGTATTTTATTGAACAATGTAGGACGATCAAGTTTAATCGATAAAAGAAACGTAAGCATGTCTGTACTTACATCGTTTATATATTGTAATTCTATATAAGAATAAAAAGAAAACTAAAAGATATAAGAGAAAAGAAATAACAGTAGTGCCAAATTTTATTATAAAAGCACACTAATTATCATGCAATAATGTTTGTATAAAAAATCAGGCATAACTCTCATATCCTCTCCAAATTCATCATATATAGAAATATTGTTTAATAATTTAAAAAAAGCAGCTGTAGCTATTAAAAAAGATTAAAATATGTTTTCATTAATTCTCATATCACAGAAATCAAGAATCGTACCTTCGTAAAACTTTAATTTCATTTTCTAAAGAATCTTCCTTTCCTTTGAGCGCTTTTTTGTCGATGATTTTTACTGCATACAAGTCGCCAGGTCTTTCTTTACTCTCAGCCAATCTTACCTCCGAAAAAGCTCCCCTTTAAAAAAAAGAAACATTTTTATTAAATTTTAATAATATACCTTTTTCATTAATTCCTATGCGGAAAAAAAGACAACAGGAAATTAATTTATGATTTGCGTGAAGGAATAAGAATAATAAATATTTATATAAAAGGAAAAATTAAAATGTAAAAAAAAGAAGTTATAACTTCTTATATAAGTTAAAAGCAAGGCCAAAATGTTGATAAACAAGTATTCTAGTATTATAATGATTATGGCAAAAATTGACAAATATTGGATTATCAATATTTCAGAATCAGAATATATAAACTTCTTGTGTACTTTAAAAGAACACGTTGATCTCAATTTTTAACATCACTGTTTGTGAAATCATTTTTAACCGCGTATTCTGTATAAACGTGGATAAGTCACGTTTTTTTTTATTTTTAATTTCAAAACATATTAAGATGGCACGAATGCCGTTTTCTGAAATAAAAAAAAATCGTCTTAAATATATATGTCGATTATTGAAAAAGGATAAAGAGGGTCGTGTCCTTCGATCAAATTCATAGAAATCAATCAACCAAAAATGGGCACCCGAAGAGGGACAAATGTTTCAAGTTTATTATTTTTCAATCTCAGTCGCAATTTCTTACTAAAACAAAGAAGTTTTTTCAAAAATACGATTTTTAACAAAGTAGATTTTTTACTTTATGATGAACAAACAAACAAAATTTAAAATCAAATTTTTGAATTTGAATGCATATCGTTTCTAAATATTTATGATTCTACAGTTATGAATGTTCAAATGAACGAAATTTTTTAATTTCCTACTTCAAATTAAATTTTTTTTACAATAATTTTGCCTCCCTATCAAAGAAATTTATTTTTAGTTTTCTAAATGTAAAATTGAAGTTTTTAATTTTTATTGCAATCAGTAATTTATGAAAATAGTTTTATATTTATTTATAGTTTAAAAAAATTATTTCGTTTATTTGAACGTTTAAAACTTGTCGATTATAAATATTTACATAAATAAAAATTAAGTAGACGGAAAAATATTAGATATGATTTTTAGTTATAAGGAAGAATCAAACAAAGAATCGGAAAAATACACAGAAAAATATTGATTTGATTCGAATAACGGATTACTTGCGTCTATTTATCAAATAAATATTTACTCGAATCAAATAATTTTTTATTTAAGTCAATTAAATTGTAATTGAATCAATAAAATTGTGACGCGCTTCTAAGAAAAGTAAGAAGCGAATGAATTATAGGTTATGTTTGTGTTTGATTTATCTTATGATTGAAAGTTCCTACTTAATTATGTAAATTTGATTCCTGCTTTTTAGAATATTTTTGGATGTAAAGAAGTATTGATTATCAATCATTTTTGATAGGAATTGATTTTCTTTCTGTATTTTTACTCTGAAAATTATAAACATAACCTAAAAATTTCTTGCTTCTTGGCTACGATTTAATCGATTTTATATTTTTTAAATAAAAATTATTTGATTCAAGTAAATATTTGTGACGGGCTCCAAGAAAATTTCCCTAAAAGGCAAACAATTTTAGGTTATGTTTACAATTTTTAGAGTAGAAATACAAAAAGAGAAATAATTACTATCACAAATTATTGATGTTCAACTATTCGTTATACATCCAAAATATTCCATAAAAACTGGTTTCAAATCAAAGTAAATAAAAATGAACTTTTATTTAAAATAAATCTAACACAAACATAACCTATATTTCTACTCATGAATGTTATGAATGAACTGAATTAAATTTTAAATTCGATTCAGTGGAAGCGTAAAGAATTTAATTTTCAACATTTTAATCAATTAAAAGTTTCATTTGAATAAAAACTTGATACAAAACTTTATGAATAATGTAATAAAAACAAAAAGAAAATTGTAATTTTGTCAATGAGAAATTAGGTAAAAATTAAGGTAACATAATCTAAAATTTAACAAATATTTCTTACAGACAAAAAATTGTATAGTTTTCAATTCAAATACAATTTTTAATTGTTATACGAAAAAAAATTAAACTTTTAGATTTAGTGAAAAGAAATCTATAATTTTAAGAGAAATGAAAAATATTTTTCGTCTAAAAAAAATATTGTCAGTAAATAAAAGAATCGAAAGCTTCGATATGTAAGTACTTATCGTACTTATGTTATGTTTTTGGTTACACGAAACCAGTTCATTTAACACCAAGAGCGAATCGCGTGTTCTGTGCGCCCCTATTTTTAAAAGATAATGATAATTAGAATATAATGTCATAATACGAAAAATTGATTTAATTCTCTTGCCTAATAAAAAGTTGAATAATAAACGTGAAAGAAGAAAAAGAGCCGAAAGTAAAGATTTATAAATATTACGTGCGAATCAATTAAAATTTAATTAATAACTGTGTCTAACTCGGGGCCCCAATGGACCCATTATAGTTACGCCCTTGAGTCTACACGTCCTTTAGCTTACAGTCTACGAATTTTTCCTAACCAGACTACTAAATTTTAATTAAGAAAACTTTTTTAAAAATAACTTAATGGTATTTCTGGCTCACCGCATTAATTTTTGATAATTTCTTTCCGCCCCAATTTAGTAAAATAACCGACAGGTTATTTTACTAAAATTATACATAGCGAATTTAACAAAAATGGATCAACAAATTTATTTTTCCGCACATATACAAATAGAAAATATTATGCTATTTTCTTATGCAAGAAAATAAGTATTGAAAATAAAAATAATTCATCATTAATGTTTCTGATAACAACAAATGTAATGTGTTTATTGCTTTTTGTTCAGATAATCATTATATATATATATATATATATATATGGGCACGTGTCAGTTAAATGGAATCGACGTTATGAAATTTACGAAACAAAAACTATATTTGAGACTTAAAATTACATATGAGTAAATTAAGTTCAATTGTATGATTAAATAGCCGTGGAGATTAAAAATGATACAAAAAAAAGAGACGAGCGCTGGCATAGACTACTTTTTTATAATTCTTTTTTTTTCTTCTTCTTCTTCTCATATTCTGCATGTGTAAATATGCCTAATAATATATTCTGGGGTACTAAAAGTCAATAGCTTTTAATCAGAAGTGAATCTGTATATAAACCGGTCTTCCAAGCCATATGAGATATATTTATATGTAAAAGATAATAATGTAAAATTCGAAGAAATTGAATTGAATGTGCATATATAAATATTAGAATACCACAAAAACAAGAATTGAGAAATTTAACGTTGAACCCTTGATGAATATTTCAAAATTAGAAATTTCGAATCATTTACCATCAAAATGTTTAATGCGAAAATTATGCTTGAATTAATTTAGAGATGATGATTTTTATAGGCTAAGAAGGAGGGGAAAAAAGATATTTTACAATTGCATTTTTCTTTTGTTTTATACTGATAATAATTTAAGTCGATGAAATTAGCGTCGACGCTCGACGTAAAAAAACGTTGTTTTTTTTCGCAAAACAATTTTTTTACTATTTTCGGACTAAACCTTATTTTAACTTCCGAGGTGAATGAAAGAAGTGAAATTAGTGACATTTTCATCTCTAAAACCCCCCAAAAAACATCCCTGAAGTTAGCGTAGACCGAGGGTCAAAAAAACACGTTTTTCACGAAACCGAAAAGAAGCAAATTTTTTCCAAAGTTTTATATTTTAAAAATAGTTTTTAAAAAACTGGAACTGCCATAAGTACATAATGATTTTTAAATATCGTGATGCAATTAACAATAATCGGAAGAGGAAAATTTATTGCAAAACCTTATTTTAATAAAGAGAAAAAAAATTTGCTCTGTTAATTGAAATTAAATGACTTATTTTATCAGGAAGTAATAATTTTCTCGCTAGAGGGTATTGGTTATTGGAAAGTGATTATTCAAGTAATAACTGTATTAGAATATAACTTAGATTAAATGAGACATGGTTAATATCCGTTTATTGACGATAGTCAGAAAATCAGTTTCATTATATTTTCTATACAATTAGGATAATAAAATAAAAATTATTTTCAAAATAATCAAACAAAATTAATTGATTAAAAATAAAATATTATTTGCAAAAGATAATGCGCATAAACGATTAAACATTTAATTCAGAATAATTTATTTTGTATTTCACAAAAAAGACCTGAATATGTGAAAGCTTCTGATTTGGAAACAAACCAAACTTTCAAGTACAATGCTGCATGAATTTGAAAGTTTCATTTGGAGTGAATCCAACTTTAGGTGATTTTAAATTTTAAAAGTGAGGAAAATGGAATTTTTTTTCAACTTGAAATTTCATTTCATTGAATTTTTTTTATTAAATTTAAGATTTAAACGAAAGTAGAATCTTGGAAGTATTTCTATTAAGTTTAAAGTTGATTTCAGTACACGTATGCGTTGTGTGTTATATCGTTGAGTTTTTCATCACAATATTTTTTTTATGACAAATTTACATCTCTATCACTATCACTGATTACGTAAACTCTAAACAATTTCCAGCCTAATATAGGTCAACTCATGTCCGTTATTATCGTGCAATCAATTTGCATTTAATTTTGCAAAAATCCTCGAGTCTTTATTTCATAACAAGTCAATGAAATAAAAATGAAAGAGATGCTATAAAAACATCTTTAAATAAGCTAAGCTAACTCGGACAGCTTCAAAAAAGAATGAAAAATAAGGCGTATGTCAAAGGTCAATCTCTGAAGATCTCTCTCACTCAGAATTTCCATAAGGTCGATTGGAAAAATACAAATACATAAAAAGAGTTCTCTCAACAGGTTCATGTTTATTTTTCTCTCTCCCCCCTCTTTTTTTAATCCTGTTTATTACTGAAAAACGAAACTTTGACAATTGTAAAAAAAATAAGTGGGGTAAACCAGCTGTCCAACTGTCAAAGCTATATAAACGGAATGAAAAATAGTAACTGAATATAGATCAACATTTTTTCCTCTTGACGTGCATAATAGCAAAAGCAAAACAGAAATGACGTAATAAAATAAAAGAAAAAAAAATGAATAATTCTTTGTTTTGCAATATATACTTACGTTCCGAGTAATTCTTTAAGCGTGTACTTGTCATCGATGGAGGGCGATTTGTCATCCTTGCCATCCTTTTTAAGTTTTTTGTTTGAATCCTTTTTCCCGAAAAGCGGCATTTTTGAAAGTTTACGTCGGACTGCCTTTCCCAGACGGTCAACCTGGCGGTCCTGAGCCCCAGCTGTTAGTCCGTCCGGTCTGTCTCGAAACAGTGACAGGTTGTATATTTTGTCGGAAAAAAAGTGACAATAAAAGAAACTCGAGTTCACAAAAGGTGAGAGACGATAATAAACAATCTCGACTTTGGAAGTGACAAATCACTGACAAATTGCTAATTGTAATTTCAAATAAATTTCAATACGCGATTTATTGTGTGCGATGCGCTCCAAATGACTGTACACAACTAACTTGTTCTTAAATTCTATTCCTTTAATGGATGCTTGCGCGTCGCGCTACCTACAACACTTTTTAATTCACTCGATTCACTCTATTCGCTTGATCAATCTCTATCCCTCTCTCTCTCTATCTTTCTCTCTCTCTCTCTCTCTCTCTCCCTTTTGACAGAAAATCCCACGAGTCTTAAAGCAAACTATGCATGTCCTCTTGATCGACAATCAGGAAATCCGTTCTTATTACAGACTCAGATGAACGAGTCTCGTTGCTTTGGCACGTACGACTAACATTAGTCTCCGCTGAATTCTACTGAGTTTACTTGTGAATCGAGCTCAGGGTCGCGGCCTCGCGCCCTCGCGGAACTACTGATAGCAAAGAGACTAACCCCTTATCCTTCTTATCATCATTAATCAAAGCTTTTCTTTCAATTTATCGTTTCTATTCACAAAAAGCTAATTGTACATGTTTTCAAATGAAAAGTGAAAGTCGAGTAAAAAAAATTATTAATAATATGCGGAGAGAGGTATAAGCGGCACCTTGCGTCAAAAAACCGATCTTGATTACTGATACTATAAAATAAAAGTACGAGTTTAAGGTTCAATATGTAGAAAGATTTTGCTCCTGGTGGAGATTGCGTACTACGAAATTATGACAGTTCTCCTGAGAGAGGTTATGTTTGCTTTCAACGAAAAATATAACCACTTTCACTGTATACTTGAGATACTTGACTAATTTGCCGAATTCTCAGCGATGTTATTTTAAATAAATATATGTAAATTCACTTGATAACTCACTAGATACTAATTGTTGAACACTAATAACCTTGAACGATCAAAAGGATAAAACCGATAAAAACTGACAGTTGGGATAAAAACCGACAGTGCGAAAAATTTACACAACTTTTCTCACTAGTAACGTCCAATTGTAAATAAACAAATTAACTTATACAATCTTACTCTGTTGTCCCGATTTTCTCTGAATTTACTACTTTTTCCAATAAATACCATAAAATTAAACAAATATTTACGTTTTCAAGTTTACTGAAGTTTACTGTGTGTGCAGATGTCGTTATCATCTGCGATGTGAAGTTAGCTGATTACAAAATTAAATATTACATTTACCATTTACATTTCCTTCTTATCGGTTTTATCAAATAATTTCTATTTCCATTTTAATTAATTAGAAATTACGTAACTAATACGAATATTCAGTTAAAATAAACAACTATTTAGTATTTTTTTTATAAAAAAAACAAATATATCAGCGCATTTGTTTTTACGCAACTTCTACACAGTGGCGCGAAAATTCAAACTGAAAATAAATATTCGTAATAAAAAACTACTATATTCTCTCGTTTGTTATTAACAACAGTGACAATATTCTTTAAATTTAAAGTTTTTAAACACACTTTTTTTAAAATATTTTGTGATAATCATTTCTTTAAACTAAAAAGATTTTTTTTGTTACGTGCGGATTTACGTTATTTACGCGCAGGCGTAAAATCCGCGATTTGATTCGATGTTCAATCTTGGTTTAATCCTTTGAAAAGGAAGGCGGAAATATTCAAAATAAAACAAGTTAATTTCCGTTAAAACGGAGGGAAAAACCTCGAAAATAAGAAAGATCAATTAATAATTAATATTAATATCAATTAATTATTAATCCGACTCATTTCACGAGTAAACCCAATACATTTATTATATATTAAAGTCAAACATTACACAAGTCGAAGTTATTCTTAAGGCTATTTTTGGGACTACTCTGAAGTCCGTTACGAAAGAACTCCAAAATAGAACTGAATTCGTGAGGGAGCATTTATCCCTTGGTCCATGGCAGAATCTTTGCGCATGCCCTGTTATAGAGTTTGTAAAGTCTATGAAGTTTTTAGAATCACAACACTAACACTGCACTGCACTAATACACGTATAAACATACTCTATGTATTGAAAACATGTATCACAACAAGTGAACATAACCCTTTTGCATTCACACTAATTACACAATTATTAATTATTTACATCATATCTAGTAACAATAAATCTCTTATACTGCACTCATCATATTTAAATATAAACAACAATTATAACGATAACCAATTTGATAATGTATCATAATATAATATTATTATTATATCAATACGTTACAAACATATATACACATATATATACACATACATACACATATACATACATATATATACATATATATATATATATATATACATACATATACACACATACATACATACACATACATATGTACATATCCTATACCATAATATTACAACAATCAATCAGATAAAGTTTACTAATAATATCATTTTCAAATAATACATTCATGCTGCACTATTAGCAACAATATAATATTGTTGTTAATTGTTCATAACGTTCATATTATACAATTGATAATTAAGTTTCGTCGCATAATGAAAGTCTATGTGTACGTGACTTTTCGAAGCCATTTCTGTGGTCACAAGTATGGTAAACACATGTTGCATTGTCCTATAGAAAAGGACACTTGAGATATTTTTTATATTCTTTTCGAGGGTTTCTCGGTTTTATGACACTAAAGAAACTAGAGATTACATTTTCTTTCGCTATTCTACTTGATTTATGACAATTCTAAGAAATGTTGATTTTCAGATACATATTCGGAATTTGGGAACTATTAAACCGTGAAGTATTATATTTTACAATAGTCAAACTTTCTTGTTTAGTCTCGTCAATATTTGTCTAAAGTCGTGAGAAAATACTAAAATAATTGAGTTTATTAACGAAATGTTATAATTTCGCGCTTCGATAACTCGTAAATCGATATATCGAAAGTTAACGAGCGAGATGGTAGTCGCTCGTAACACCTTCCCCCTTAAAGAGAATTTTCGCAAGAAAATTATAAAAGAAATTTCGCTTGGGTATTTAAAAATTTTTTTGTTTATTTTAAATTTGTCTATAATAACCTAAAATTTATTTTCTGAAACAATCATAACTACAAAAATTGAGATATAATTATTAGATTGATTCTAACTTGTCTTTTAAGTTCAAGAATAGGAGAGAAGATCTAAAAATGAAAGGAAAATTTTCTTTTTATTTTACTGTAAATATTCCATAATTTTTAAAATAATTTCATACAGAACATCAAAAGAAATAATTTTCTTTTCTACTTTTTCACAGTGAAAATTTTTGAGGGGGTAAGAAAGAAGGGAAAAAAGGTGAAAATTGAAAGACATGGTACGAGCAAGTCCCAGTTGCTCGACACCCCCTTCCCCCTTAAAGAGGATGATGAAAAAAAAGAGTCCTGTATTGCAGGTAGTTAGCCTGCTGACACAGAATCGGTTTTATAAAAATGTCACTGACTTAAGAAAATGTCTTCGTTTATACAAATAGTAAAACGGTCATAAAGAAAGGGCTTTTCTTTTTTAAAAATGAAGTTCAAAACTAAGTTTATTTAGCAACCTCTCTTATAGTTATGGAAGCATTTAAAATAACATTGTAAATTTTCTGATTAGGGACCAATACCCACTTTACGTTAAAATACTTTTCACGATTTCGACAAACACCATCCCCATCCTCACCACCCTTGACCTCTAGGCAACACATGCCATGTTCGCAGGTGGTGGATTCGGGTGAATGTAACTATTAGAAAAATGTTCTTATTTTACAAGGAGAATTGAAAGGTTGAAGAGAGAGTTATGAAAATTCCAGTTTCCTATTACAATTCAAATTTTCATTTTGAATGTTTATCAATGCGACGGCCACTCAACCTTATCTGGGAACGAAACCACGAGACGACCCTTTTGAACACTGGCCCTTTTGTTCTCATGTCTTTCCCGACCTCTGTAGCGTGACTCCCGGCTAATGCTATCCACATCACCTTTATTAATTCTAGTAGTGTGATTACTGGCCAGACTCACCACTACCCTGTGACTCCGTGCCGAGGCCGTCCTCATCAACATTCTACCTTTTGTCTCGGTCTCGCGGTCACATATCCCCAGAACCAATAAACCGTCCATTGCATCAAAACCTTAAATTGGTTCGCTAATTTTATTTGACTCCGAGCAATTGCATGGTTCTACCCGGCCTTTCGTCCTTCGTCATGTTTTGTAAAAATAATTAATAAAACACAGGTGTTTTGTTCATAGAACGTGTCACCTCGTGCAAAATAAATCCAAACTAATTGATTTTTCTTTTGTCAAGTCGTTTGTTGTCAATTGGTATACCATGCCAAGTAGAACACACAATTCGCAAGGGTCTCACCGAAATTGCAGGGTGTCCAGTGAATTTTGACTCTAGAATTCTCAGATTTATTTATTAATTTCTAATATTCTAAATATATTAAATTGAGTATTAAAACAATAAAAATTAAAATGAGGATTAAAATAATCGTACCTAATTGAAAAGATTTTAATTTTAGATATATTAAAATTTTAGATAAACTTAAAAACAATTATTTTTCTCAACATTATTCAAACCTTAATGAGAGAACAACTTTCTTATCTCGGTGAAATTGTCTAGATTTAATATAGTTTAAGTTATACATAAAACAGGTATACTTTTAAAATGAAAAAAAAAAATATTCTTTAATTCATATATAACTCAAAATTTGGTGCATAGAAAAGCAAAACATATGTTTGTTTATTTCCTCTGCAAAACTAATTATAATATGTTTATCAAAACTTAAAATGTAGACTGAAACTTAGTTTGATTGCTGATATATGTTTTCTTAAAAATTTGTTGAAGAATATAAGGCTTAGTATAAATGTTCTTAAAATTTTTTTTTTTTTACAAATTAATGAAACTTTTCAAATTGCATTTATATTTAAAATTTCCGTCAATTTCTAGAATTTTCTGTTGTAAATAAATTCTCACACGTCAGACACCCCGAATTATAAAGATTCAAATCTTCCAAAATGATACCAAAATTGTCAACAACTCTCCCCTCTTCAAAGTACAATTTTCAAATTTTCTTATTGATTTCAATACGTTTAAAAAGAATAAAAATCTTTCTTTAAACTTTCTTTCTTTACTTAAACAGAAGGACTTATTAGATCTCGCGGTAAGGAATATTTTCCCTCGTTCGTGTGTCTCAAGGGTGGAAGATCAAGGATAATTTCTTCATTCTGAAACCCTAAAGGAGGCAGAATTCTCGTGCAAAAATTCCATTCCCAAAATTTCAAATGAAGAAATACCAAAATCCTCGGTATTAATATGAATAAATTGCCTTTCTGCCATATACATGTAATACAACAGACTTTCAAGGTTTCAAAACACCCTTTCTAACACCCATTAAGTGGAAAATAATAACGTTGAAGCGCATTAAAACAAGAGAAAGAGAGATGCCCTTTTTTTGTGCAATAATCAGGTTCTTTGCATGTAAAGCAGTGCTTATCTTTTAAAAAGGAAATTGGTATGTACTAAACAAATTTTCATTGATTAGTCAGGTATTTTCGTGACATTAAGGGTTGAATATTTCGGACAAAGTTTTAAAAATTAAATTGACACTTGTAGAGATAGAGAAAACAGCCGTGGAAGTAAAAGAAATTGCGTTGTTGCCTTTAAAATTGTCTGTTTAAAAATATCATAAAACAGTTCAAAAATATGTCTGTCTTTGTCATGTCACGTCATTTTTACATTACAATAAAATTCCATTATTTGCATTAATTTCACCACAATGTACGGAATATTCACAATCATATATTCATTAATATTATTCACAAAATTTTTAATTCATTCACACCATTTGTCTCTTCTAGACTTTACCTTAAATCAATTATATACAATCGTAAAAACAATTAATTCTGACAACTTAAGAAAAATACTAAAAAAATTTTAATTAATTCAACATTTTAAATACAACAATCTATTATTTAAATTAATAAGAAAGATGTTAATTCACAGAATTAAAAATATTTAGAAAAACTAATTCGAAAATATTGTAGTTACAAAAATGAGAATTAGTGTCATTTTATATTATTAAAATATTTTAAAGTACTTCGTATTATACAACAATTGACTAAATAAAAATGTAAACATAAAAATATATAAAATATTTCTTAATTTATAAGTATTCTAATTATTCAAAATTGAAAATAAACCATTTTTATCATTTTAAAAATATCAATATTAAATTTTCTATATCTTAAATAATTTGACAATTAAATATTTAATAAAAACAATAATTATTGCCTAATTAGTTTGACTATATACTAACTATATCAAATTTTTAACTAACACAACACATTTAATTTAGACTCAACAAAACAATAATATATTAATTATTATAAAATACATATGTCAATTATGAAATACTCAATTATCACAAAAATAAAAATGCATCTAAATAATTTATTAAATAGCAAAAATAAGAAAACTAATTGTTTCACACGGAAATTTTAAAACTTTCCAAAAAATTTCTTAATTATACCTTTAAATAGTGTAAAAATCATAACCTCAGAAGAGACAAATTATAATCTATAATTTCATAATCATACGCTAACCATACCTTTATTTTATTATTCCAAAACACTACGTTTCACGCACTTCACAACGAAATGACCATAATTTCAAAATTTGAAATTCTTTCGCGCACACACTTTTCCACTATATTCTTCTTACTTTTGGAAACAATTCTTCTTGTAGTTGGTTGACCTTGCAGAAGTCCGCTCAAAAAAAAATATTGAAAATCCAATTCATTGGTTCAGGAAAAATCAGGTATCAGCATCTCTTCGAAGTACAGAACTCAGGAAAGCAGGATAACAGGATACTCCCAGTTGAATAAAGTTTTTTAAAATTTATTTTTATTATTAAAATTGACACTCGTTCGACGTCCTAATACAGCAACAATATTTAATCCACCACAACAATTTGAATTTGTAGTTTGGTTCTCCAGATGAATTCCATGATGTCCAAAGTAAAAAGATTGAATATTTCACTTCCATTTATATCACTGATTAATTCATTAGTCTCAAATTTTTCTCGAAATGTTCATGGTACACAAAAATGTTAATATTTACACTGTTTTATAGTTTATTTTATGAAATTCCTTAAAATTTTAACACTGTTAGATTTACAACCCGTAATATTTGTTATTTTCACTATTGTTCTTTAAAGTTCAAATTCACATAAAATTTCGAATAAAAGTCACAAAATTTGCAAAAATTTAAATTTTTCCGCACCAAGATCCCGACGTTGAGCCCCCAATTTGTTACGTGCGGATTTACGTTATTTACGCGCAGGCGTAAAATCCGCGATTTGATTCGATGTTCAATCTTGGTTTAATCCTTTGAAAAGGAAGGCGGAAATATTCAAAATAAAACAAGTTAATTTCCGTTAAAACGGAGGGAAAAACCTCGAAAATAAGAAAGATCAATTAATAATTAATATTAATATCAATTAATTATTAATCCGACTCATTTCACGAGTAAACCCAATACATTTATTATATATTAAAGTCAAACATTACACAAGTCGAAGTTATTCTTAAGGCTATTTTTGGGACTACTCTGAAGTCCGTTACGAAAGAACTCCAAAATAGAACTGAATTCGTGAGGGAGCATTTATCCCTTGGTCCATGGCAGAATCTTTGCGCATGCCCTGTTATAGAGTTTGTAAAGTCTATGAAGTTTTTAGAATCACAACACTAACACTGCACTGCACTAATACACGTATAAACATACTCTATGTATTGAAAACATGTATCACAACAAGTGAACATAACCCTTTTGCATTCACACTAATTACACAATTATTAATTATTTACATCATATCTAGTAACAATAAATCTCTTATACTGCACTCATCATATTTAAATATAAACAACAATTATAACGATAACCAATTTGATAATGTATCATAATATAATATTATTATTATATCAATACGTTACAAACATATATACACATATATATACACATACATACACATATACATACATATATATACATATATATATATATATATACATACATATACACACATACATACATACACATACATATGTACATATCCTATACCATAATATTACAACAATCAATCAGATAAAGTTTACTAATAATATCATTTTCAAATAATACATTCATGCTGCACTATTAGCAACAATATAATATTGTTGTTAATTGTTCATAACGTTCATATTATACAATTGATAATTAAGTTTCGTCGCATAATGAAAGTCTATGTGTACGTGACTTTTCGAAGCCATTTCTGTGGTCACAAGTATGGTAAACACATGTTGCATTGTCCTATAGAAAAGGACACTTGAGATATTTTTTATATTCTTTTCGAGGGTTTCTCGGTTTTATGACACTAAAGAAACTAGAGATTACATTTTCTTTCGCTATTCTACTTGATTTATGACAATTCTAAGAAATGTTGATTTTCAGATACATATTCGGAATTTGGGAACTATTAAACCGTAAGTATTATATTTTACAATAGTCAAACTTTCTTGTTTAGTCTCGTCAATATTTGTCTAAAGTCGTGAGAAAATACTAAAATAATTGAGTTTATTAACGAAATGTTATAATTTCGCGCTTCGATAACTCGTAAATCGATATATCGAAAGTTAACGAGCGAGATGGTAGTCGCTCGTAACATTTTAGGACCTAGTGCGCAATCTAGTGCTAACTTCACGAAGTCCTGAATCAGCTGATTGCACAAGTGAACAGAAGAATAGAAAAATTAATTTTTTCTACATTAATAAAAAAAATAAAATAATAATGTCAATTAAATATTTTTGTCAAGTCCAACGATTATAGAAATCTATTAGTGTCTAGTAGATTATCACCATTCCTGATGAGACGGTATGAATATTGTATTAATACTCGAAAGCCTCGAACCTCGAAAATTATAAATATTGTTGATATTTTTTGTTAGCAGTTTTTGGAATAATAATTTTGACTTTAAGAAAAGTCGAATTATTCGAATTATACGTACCAAATTGAACAATGACAATATTTCTGGAGGATAAAAGGATATTTTCTTCTTAAATGACACGTAACGATATAACCTCAAAAATATTCTTTTTTGTTGTTTGGGAAAAATAATTTTGCGACAGAATTATAAATCGAATTATTTTTTCGTTTTAAAATTATGACATAGCGAATAGAAGGGCTTTTTTTAGAGAATTCTATTAGAATGTCTAGTTTAAAGAATTTAATAAATTTAGACTCTGTTATTCATTTTATTAACGATGTTATTTTGTACTGGTGGTGGTACATAACTGAGATCTCGTGGCAACTTTTAATAGCATTCGTAGCTTACATCTGCACTTGTGTATTTCTTTATTTTGTTTTAAAACAAGTGAATCATAAAGCATGGCAAATACCAGGTCCACCAAACAGATTATTGCTCGTAATAGCACATCCTGACGATGAGGTCATGTTCTTTGGACCTCTCATTTACTGGTTGGTGAAAATGAAAGCTAGCCAGATTTATCTTCTTTGCTTTACCACTGGTAAGTAGTTTCAAATTTTTTTAATATATTAATTTATAAGCAAGAATTGAAATTAAATTATTATTATTTCTTTCTGTTTTTAAATTGAGTATTAAAATTTCGAGTTTTGTTCTTTCAGGTGGAAATAAGAAAAGAAAAGAGGAGCTTTGGGCTTGTGCGAAAGAATTGGGTATATCAGAAGCTAATATTACAATTTTAATGTGAGTTATCGAATCCAATTGTAGAATCCTGCTTTCTTTTTCTTTTTTGCTTGCTCTTTGAAAGATCATTCAATTTTTATTGAGTTGGAAATTAACTCATGAAAAATGTTGTAAATAGTTTTCTTCTTTCGCTCATAAAAAATGTCTTCATAAGTTCGTAAAAGAAACCTGTTACAATGCAAGTACTGTTTTTGACACTATTTATTGCTTCTAGCTATAATATAGTCGCAGCTATTTCACTTAATTTTGCTGAAATTAAATTCAAAAGATAAAATTTTAATTACTTTCAGGTACACAGAATTACCTGATGATGCAAGGGTACAATGGCCAGAAACTTTGGTGGCAGATAATATTTTACACTTTATTGAACTCTATAAAATAAATGCAGTTATAACTTTTGATAAATTTGGAGTTAGCAAACATAAAAATCATATATCTCTTTTCTATGGAATGGCATCGTTGTGCATGGACAAAAAAGTTCCCGCCTGTTAGTATTTTATTTCTACAATTTCAAAATTCAAAATTGATTTTTCATAACGTATTCTGATTCTAATTCTAAATTTAATTTTTCTAGATTGTAAATTATACGTGTTGGAAAGTGTAAATATTTTAAGAAAATATACACAAATACTCGATCTGCCAATTAGTTTGCTGTCTGCTTCCTATTGGTATATAGTGACATATGATCAAAGACAATACATAAAGGTAAAAAATTTAAATTTTTCCCCAACGCAGGACTCGAACTAGGTTCATAAATTTGATAGAAGTCTGTAAAAGTCAGTTTTTTTGAAAAAAGTTCATTATTTTCATAAATAATAAAATTCTGCTCATGAATTCAATTATTTTTAAAAATTTTAATAAAATTCTTCAAAAGAATTCACTTATTTTAGAAAATTTTTTTAAATTCAAAAGAATTCAATTATTTCTATGAATAATAAAATTCTTTTCAGAAATATAATTATTTTTAAAAAATGATATTAAAATTCTCCAAAACAATTCAATTATTTTCATAAATAATAAAATTTTTGTCAGTAATTCAATTATTTTTAAAAATCTTTTAAAAATTCATCGCAAGAATTCAATTATTTTCATAAATAATAAAATTCTTTTTAGGATTATTTTCACTCATCGCAGAATTTCAATTATCTTTAATACAATTATTATCAAAGTTCTCGATAAATGTAATTATTCTTAAAAATTTTCTTAAAATTCGTCAATAGAATTCAATTATTTAAAAATTTATTGATAAAATTCTTTATGAGAATTGAATTTTAAGAACCATTCAATTATTCAATAAATTATTGATTTTTGTATTTAAATAATTGAATTCTAGTAAAAATGTCTGATAAAAATAGATTTATTTATTATTATAAAACATGAAGATATCGATGACTTCGAGTCGAAGACTCGGAGTTATCAATATCTTCATGTTTTATAATTATGAAAAATTTAATTTATAGTTTTAAGTAAAATGTTCTCTTATTTGACTCGGACTTATATTTTTGTCAATAATTGGTCCGTAAAGTTCGTATTTTTTCATTTTTGTTCCGTAAAGTCCGTATTTTTAAATACTTTCACTGGTTCGAGCCCTGCCAACGAAAAAAGTAAACTAATCTTCTTCTCCTTACAGAAAGCCATGAAACAACATAAATCTCAATACGTTTGGTTTCGTAAATTGTACATGATTTTCTCGAGATATACTTTAATTAATACATTTCAAGAAGTGAATTTTCTGGACTTAGAACTTGACCTTCAATTCGAAGAAGACTAATTTTTATATTAGTATATCAATATTTGTAAATAGTTGTCAATTTGTCATTTCTGTAAATCATTCTGTACAAAATAAAAAATTATGTTTACTTAATAAATGAGGTTTTTTTTCTTTATTGTAAAACAATGAAAAGTATAGAAAAAATACTTGTAAAAAAATTTTTGAAAAAAGAAACTACATTTTTGCGAAAAAATACTTGTAGAAAAATTTTTCAAAAAAAAGAACTTTCCATTTTTGAGAAAATTATTTTTATTGCAGTAAACTTACAATAATTTAAATATGTAAGCATAATATAGTTCTTTTTAGAAATCAGTCCCGATACTTGATAGATTTATCTAATAATAAACAGTATTCGTATCGGGAGCGATAAACGCACATCTGCTAACATTTAAATAATCCTTTCATAGATGTATTAAAATAAACAATACATAATTTTTTATATAATCGATATGTTCGTTCTACAATTAACATTATACCATTCATTCCTATTATCTAAATAGTCTTCATAAATTTGAAGTGTTTTACACTTGCCCGAAAAAAACAAACAATTACAAAGAATATAATTTTTTCATATAGACTTAAATCTCAAAGATTTTCTTTTCCGTAAAATTTTGGCACAATTTGTGCTTAAAAAAAATCTTGAGCGCTTAATATTGTCAAATTTTTTTTTTTTGAGCGAAACAATTGAAATGTGCTATAAACGACGAAACTTAATCTAATGGTGACGTTCTAACAATATATATAAAAACGTAAAAAGACACACTTAAAAAATTATTCTATAGATAAAAAATAATGTATATATAAAATTCTCTTTATCAAATGATTTTTGTTTTTCAAACACAAAAAATTTAGTTTTTGTTTTTTTACTACATTAAAAAACTATAGAATCGTTGAAAAAGACTTTCGACTTTTTTTTATAGACGAAGTATCGTTTTCGCTGTAAGCTCACAGTTTATCACTTATCGTAAACAATGGAAAAAGTTGATTTCTTAATCTCAGCTATGGAATGTATTTTCGTTTAGGACTCAAGTTATTTCTAACAGGACAAGAATTTTACGCTGGAAAAAAATTTATTTTATTCAAATATCCGATTAATTGACTATTATCAATTAAATCAATTAAATATTTACTTGAATCAAATAATATTTATTGGAGTCAATTTAATGGTTCAATTCATATTTGCTTCAAATACTGAAATTATTGGTTCAAATATGAATTAAAGCATTTAATTGTCTCCAATAAATATTATTTGATTCAATTAAATATTTAATTGATAATAGTCAATTAATCGGTTATTTGAATCAAATAAATTTTTTTCAGTGTCATTCTGTCAATGAAACTGTTAATACTGAGTAAAAAAAATAAATTGATGCAAGCTGCTCAATATTCAATCTGAAATTTAAATGCGCTTGTATAGGAAATGCAACAAATTGCGCCAGTGAGTGTTCAATTGTTACCGAATAAATCGATATGTAACCTTATCAAATATTGGCGCTTATATACATATATATTATAATTTTTATTTTAGAATATTAATTTCTTTTCAAATAGTCTCAAATAATGGACGGCATTAAAAGTGTTCCCGCAAGATCCTCTGGTTAGTGAAAACACCGCAACAATTTAGCGACCTATGAGCGGAGTTGAATTTTTCCTCCACTGGTTGAATGATATAACAAAAGTATTAACCAAACACATTAACTAATTTATTTTCTTGTTTCGTTTTTTTGGTTCATTTTGAATATCATACAACCCCATAGTTGTTTTTTTTTTGTTTTAAACTTTCGCAAAAATAGCGCAATCGGAGATAATAGAGTGTAGAGAGTGATAGAGAGACAGATCGATCGCTAAAGAGCAACTCACCCTTAAATCCTAGAAGAGTATTTAGGCTTATTAGGGATTCATGAAGATCTCGCGGGCCGTATCCTAAAATCTATCTTTATCACGATGATGCGAGCTCAAAGTTCCCATTCCTGGTTGAGGAGAATCGGGATCACTGGGATCTTGTAGAAATTGAAGTTCTTGTAATTCTTGGAATTTTTCGTGATCACGAATATGTGCATAATTCGCCGAGAGGCACATTAAATAATGTATTAAACTCAAAACGACCAGCATTGCTGCTACTGTTGCCAAAATGAACATTGGTACCGCCTTCTCCACGTAATCTTTGCAGAATAGTTTCATTTCCTGTGCTCCACACACTTTTAAATCCTCCGGTCGTATTTTACTCGGAAACATGAAACCTAAAAAAAATCATGATTTAATAATTTAAAAAATTCATGGTAAAAATACTTTTGTCGAAAAATAGTAATATTTCTCACGAAAATTCAATTATTTATAAAAATTTAAATAAAATTCCAGACAAGAATACAATTATTTTCGAATAAATAATAAAATGCTTCTTAAGAATTCAATTACCTGGTTTTAAAAATTTCAATAAAATAATTCTTTACAAGAATTCAATTATTTTTCCAAATAATAAAATTCTTCACGAGAATTCAATTATTTTCCCAAATAATAAAATTCTTCACGAGAATTCAAATATTTAAAAAAGAAATAAATAAAATTCTTCGAAAGAATTCAAATATTTTCATAAATAATTAAATTCTTCTGAGAAATTTAATTATTTTTTAAAAAATTGACAAATTTTTTCTTTAATTCTTCGCAATTATTCAATTATTTACACAAATAATAAAATTTTTCACAAGAATTCAATTATTTAAAACAATAAAATAAAGTTCTTCGCAAGAATTCAATTATTTTCATAAATAATAAAATTCTTCTAAGAAATTCAATTATTTTTTCAAAAATTGATAAATTTTTGAATTCTTTGAAGAATTATAAAATTATTCAATTATTTTCTCAAATAATAAAATTTTACACGAGAATTCTATTATTTAAAAAAAAAATTAAATAAAATTCTTCGCAAAAATTCAATTATTTTCATAAATAATAAAATTCTTATCAGAAATTCAATTATCTTTTAAAAAATTGATAAATTCTTTCTTTAATTCTTTCCAAGAATTCAATTATTTTCATAAATAATAAAATTCTTTTAAAAAATTGAATTATTTCTTGAAAAATTAATAAATTTTTGTAATCTTTGAAGAATTAAAATTCTTTACAATTATTCAATTATTTCCCCAAATAATAAAATTTTCACGGTAATTTAATTATTTAAAAAGAGTTAAATAAAATTCTTCGAAAGAATTCAATTATTTTCATAAATAATAAAATTCTTCGAAAGAATTCAATTATTTTCATAAATAATAAAATTCTTCTCAGAAATTCAATAATTTTTTAAGAAATTGATAAATTCTTCTCAGAAATTCAATAATTTTTTTAAAAATTGATAAATTCTTTCTTTAATTCTTCATAATTATTCAATTATTTAAAATAAAAAAAGTTATATTTAGAGAATAATTGAATATTAAAAGCTTTCCTAGTACGATTTTTTTTTAGAAATAACTAAGTTTTAAAAGATTATTAAAATGGAAATCGTTGAAAATTTTAATTGTTGCAAAACTGTAGTAACATTTAAATTTTTACATTGAAAAATTATTTATTAATTTTCTTAATTCGTTGACTTCAATACTTAATTATTTTTTTAATTTCTGTGAACAATTAAAATTAAATTTTATTCAATAATTGTATTTGTTTACTTTTAAACACAATCGCATTGTTTAGGATAAAAATTTAGAAAATAATTGAATTTTTCAAAAATTTAGAATTAAAGTTCTCAGCAGGATTAGAATAAAAATAAATAGTTTTTATTGAAATCAGGAAACAGTGAGGGTAATACTGAATCAAATTTTTGTGAATCGACCAAAACAATTTTTGTTTTTTATTCGTTAAAATTAATTTTCGATAGCTACTTTTTTAAGTATTATTAAAGTTACTTTTGGATACTTTTTTAAAATTAATTATTGAGTGTGAAGCCTGTAATTAGTGAATATAATATTTCCCGATAATATACTTACTGAACTGAGAGAAATCAATGCATTGTTCCAAACTTTTCACACGTTCGTTACCACACAAATTCCAGAAGGTCGTGAAAACAAAAGTGGTGATCACCATGAAAGCAAAAATCAAAAGCCAACCCAATTGCAGAATGTAGGTAACGGTCATGAACTGAAAGAAATAATCAAGAAAATTAAATACTTTTAATGAGAATGAGAAATGTAAAATGTAAGAAATGAGAATAAAATAAGAATAAGAGGTTTTTGCGACCTATATAAATATTTAAAAAAAACTTACAACTGCACAGGAGATTCTTCCGCCAACTCTAGATCTCCAAGCACGATATACTTTATGTCTCGTCGCTCCAGTGGCTAGGCAACCAACACACAAGATCATAAAGCCCAAGGCAGCCATGCACGCTCCAATCGTTGCGAAAATTAATTGCACAGCCTCCAGCCATCCGAGCCGAAAATTGAAAACCTGTTTTCAAAAAAGAATAGTCAGTTTTCTAAAAACAGTCATTTTTTTAAAAAAAAGAAAAGAAAAAAAATTCGTTTATTTGTAAAAAAACAATTACCTGGTCCATCATCAGAGATGAAAGCGTAGCACCTCTGTACATTGTGCCACAAAATATTCCGACACCCAAACAGCACATAATTGTGGCTATAAGGGTCGCGTAAGGCACGCGAGCCATACAATCATTGCACATATTACCTGAAAAACACCATTATTATTAATATTAATTTCAATTATTATTATTATTAATTAATCTTAGTTTCGAAATTCATTAAACTTTTCAAAAGTTTAATGTTCAATTTAAATAAAAGAATTAAAGGAAGAAAATAAATTAAAGAAACTGTAAAACAAGGCGAATCACTCAAACTCACTACAACTTTTTTCTGGCCGATATTCAGCGTGAAGACTATACTCTGAAAATCTATCAACACTAACAGAACTAGAAAATTTTTGCCGAAGGGGCATTGTACCACTTAAATCTAAAGTCTGAGGTCTTCGATAATTATTTCGACTAGCCATTTTTAAACATTTAAGATTGTACAATTGAAATATAAAATACAATAAAGGAAATTTAATTACATTTAGGAATGAAAGCGATGACTGACACGCTATGAATCACTGTATTAACAAGCGAACTTGTATTCTCTCTTTCGTATCATCAGGTGAGTAAGATAAGGAAAAAAGATTATAGGAAATACAGTCCTACACTTATTTAACACTTTAAACGTAACCTTATGTCAAAATATTAGGAAGTGAATAAAACTTACCCATTTTTTCTAAAAAGCAACAGCTTTTTAAGGTTATGTTGACACTGGAACGAGAGTTTCGTAAATAAACCCTCGTCTGCAAAATAAACTGTTAAAAATCTCTTTGAATCTCTTCAATTAAGGCAGTAATTGGACGTTGGAGTATCCTGGTTAGTAAATGACATCCCACTCGTAAATTAAAACTTTTTGGCCAGACCCAATCTTTCTTTGTCACGTCAAACCTGTAAACAACTCTTTGTTTACCTCGAAAAGTCACACACTCACGTAATTTACAATTACAAGACTTCGTTTTTAATAATTTTTACTCCTTTTTCTCTTTTTCACTGTTTATATATTTTTATATTATAAAATTTTCAATTTGGAAATAATTGAAATTCACAACATTGACGCTACAAAGTTAACAAAGACAGGTTTTTCCATAGAAATTCCAATGAATGATTTTCCGAGTTTCTGTCACTTTTCTTCGTATATACTTTTTCTATTCAAATACCTTTTGATTCTTTTCAATCTCTTTAGTTATTTGTTGTTCGAAATTCTCTTCTCCATTCACTTCATTCACTTGCTCTTGCAATGAAGAGCAGAACAACATAACATTCCACTTCCACACCATTAAACTAAAACATGGCGGTGTGTTTTTTAATTTCATCACTATATAGACATGACATGACATTCCATATAGATTACGAGAGAAAAAAAGGAAGCAAAAAGAGTGGGATTTTAAACCAAGTAATCCAATATAATTATTAATTAATTACACAAGTGCACGGAACGGCATGTTAATAATTGTACCTAAATATATAATAAACAAGGCAGACCTGAAACAAGGTTACAACCTTAATTATATCTAATTTATTTCAGGATTAAATCATTCTTTATTAGAGATGAGTTCATTTTTTTTAAACCATAACTTATTTAAATTAGATAAAAAAAATAAAAATTACATTAGTCACTTTCATTTTATTTCAATGAGTAGATAGGTACATTTTTTCAGGACTATAAAATAAAATAAAATTTTTTTTAAATTATGTTAAAATGTTTACTAATTGAGCACAACACAATTGTAATTTTTAATTAAAAACTACAAAGTGTTTATAGTTTAAAAGAAAATTTTCATTAAATCTTTTCAAATTTCAGAATTTAGGAATGATTATATACAAATTCTTTGTTTTCGAATATAATTTTGAATTTTAATTTAATTTTTCTTTTTTTTTTGAAGATAAATTAAAACTATGTTAATAAATTGAAAGAATTTGTTTAAAATTATTAAATATACAAATTTTAATATCGATTTGTATTATTTCGGAAATATTTTTAACACCATTTTATAAAAATGACGTGAGAATTTGTATAAAAAATTCCTAAATTCCTTACATCTTATTTTCAATTAATTTAAACAAAAATTGATTTGAAATATAAAAAAAATACGATCAAATGAAAATCACATTTTCTTTTTTCATTTTTATAAATTCGCTATCTCTGGTCTCGTGTCTTCTTTGCTTGCATAATATAAAAATAACAATTATTGATATCGCAAGACAATAATGCACATAAAGTTTTACCAAAAAATTCATTGGTAACGAAAAAAAATACGAATATTATAATTTCAATCAAACTGTCAAGGAAAGTTAAAAGCGAACTGCAAATAGAAAACTAAAATTATTGTCTTTATTGTTATGTGGCGCAAATAAAATTAAATTACGTGTATGGTAATTTAATCCATTTGCAAATTTAAATATATGTATAAAATCACCTTTCTCTCGAAAAAAAAGATTGTATCTATATTAAAATAGATTGTCTTTCTTCATATTTTTTTTTTCATTCGTTTTTGATATCTTCAGTTACTTATTTCTCGAGTATTATTTAAAAATAAAAAAATAAAGTTCTCGAGTATTTTTTAAAACTATTTAAATTAGATCTGACAGTTTTTACTTAAAATCTACCTTATTGTTTTATGTTTAGTCTGAACGAGGCACTTAATAACAATTGGCAAATGTTTGAGCTTTTCCCTCACAGTAAATGGTATATCTACATTTTGTCGATTGTGGTTGTACTTTGTTATACTTCCATTGCAGCTTTGGTAAATAATTCCACTTCCAAAACTTTGCGGACTGGCCTAGGATTTAAGAGAAAAATTCTATTAAATTCAATATTAATTTTCAATATTATTTTAAATTACAATTATTAAATTAAATATTAATTTTCAATATTATTTTAAATTACAATTATTAAATTAAATATTAATTTTCAATATTATTTTAAATTACAACCATTAAATTAAATATTAATTTTCAATATTATTTTAAATTAAAACTATTAAATTCAATATTCAAGTAAATTTATGAATCAATAGTTTTCACTGAAAGATACTTACAGTAATAGCAGATCCATCCTTGTAGTCTATTCTGATGTCACCTGACGGTAACTGAGTCGTTACTCCAACACCTGGGACCATAACTTTTTTTACGTCCGAAAAGGACATTTGAACCGAATTTGAACGTTTTGATCGGCTCACTGTTGTCGATGCCACAGAACAAGTTGCATTAAAAGAGGGTATCTGTAAACAAAAAGAGAAAATTAAGAAAAAAAATTTTGTACCAGAAAAAAAAATATTTTTCTACTCTTAGCGACGATGATAACATCAGAGCAAATTTAATTAATTCGAAAAAATTAAGACAGACACTTACGACTGGTAGATTATTCATAGCAGTAGATACATTTTCTTTGCCCCGCAAACAGGGCGAGTCCGTCAGTGCCGATGGTGGTTTACGACCAATAATTGCAGGAAAAAAGGAAAATCCGGTCGCATTTTCCAAAGAAGTAAAATTTGCTTCCACGACAAGGCAATGTTTGTAGCAATCTGAATAATGATTCAAATAATTTTCTAGGTGTGGTGGAACTTTTGTTTCTTCGTAAATCGTTTCTTTTTCTTGTACTTTTATAATACCATTCGCTTGCAGTACCTAATATTGAAATAATGAAATATATTTATTAAATAAATTTAAATATTTATTAAATAATTTTAAATATTTATGAAACAAATTTAAATATTTATTTAATAAATTTAAATATTTATTTTATTTAATTTTATGTAAAGTATTTAAAGTAGATTCGTACCTTAATGCCATCGTAGAAGTGTACTTCGCAATTCGGATTAGGACTGTTCTCCATAAATAAGCACTTCGATTTGGCAGTGTAAATGGTTAGTTTAGGAGTTTTTGCTTTAACTATATTTACGTAACGGGCAGCATACAGATATTTTTTGTGATGCCGTAATGGCAATGTCTCGTAGGAATAAATACTGTCCACTCCTTGAGGTGGCATTGGCAAGGGCGACGATTCCGCTTCTTGATGATCGACACTGTATAAACAAATTCGCAGTCCATCGTTCGATATTCGACACACTTCGGTTATTTTCTCCTGAACAGAAAATTAGAAAAATTACTTTTCTTCAATTTAAAAGTAAAAAAAGTGAAAAGAAATTAAAAAAGGAAAAAAAGTGAAAAGAAAGTAAAAAGAGGAAAAAAGTGAAAAGAAATAAGAAAAAGAAAAGTCAACAGGAATTTAAAAAATTAAAAAAAAAGAAAAAAAATTAAAAAATAAAGTAAAACCTTACCGTTAATCCTTTTTTCTTCAAAAACTCAATGCACACTTCTCCATTTTCAAGAATAGTGAAGAGACCTTTGTTTGTCTTGTGCCTGGTCGGAGGAAGTCTTCGTGAATCGAGAGGAGGGACTGACAATTTACTGGAACCATTCTGACTGGATTCTCCAGCTTCTTCGGTTGCACGTTCCTTTTTCTTTTGCTTCTGACTTACTTGAACATTTCTAGGTTCTTGCATTAGACCACTGTCGTCAACTAGCGAGAAAATTCTACTTTTTGGAGGCAGAGGTATTCCGGCAAGAACGGAATTTTTCACCTGACAAGAATCGGAACGTTTAAGACGATTGGAAGAATGATTTTTGCCAACAGGTTCACTGGTTGCACTTGATCCCCGGCCACAAGAAAAATTAGGTAACAAGGGAGTACAGGAAGTTCTTTCCTCAGATCGCGAACGCAGTCGCATTTGTCCACTTGCACAAGACATTCGGCCTGAAGAACCGAGACCAGAGTCAGAAGACATACTTCCTTTACCCTAAAAGTAATTTTATCAATTCAGTAAAACATCAGAAATTAATTATTAACTTATTAATTAATTGAATTATTCAATTATTAAAATACATTAAAATATTTAATTTTAAAGTTTATACTTTATATTTATGTTTAATTTTTTACGAAACTTGCCATTTGGGTTCATTTTAAAAAACGTAACTTACACCAAATATTTTAGACTTTGCAAGAGTCGCTATAAATGGATGCTTGGAAATATCTCGCAATCTAATTCTCTCCTTTGGATTCTTTTTGAGTAATTTATCAATGAGATCCTTTGCATTTGCCGATAGGTGAGAGGGGATTTTATAATCTGCCATAACAACACGAGTCAATGTACTTTTAACAGCGTCAGTGTCAAAAGGCGGTTTGCCCACTAATAATGTGTACATCATACAACCCAGTCCCCATACATCCGCTTCTAAACCGTGTGAAGATCTCGTAGCCACCTGTAAATTTAAAAAACGATTCAATTCGATAAATTTAAATTTAACAATTTTTGACAATTGTTTTTACAGCGATAATAAAAAAAATATAATTATTTACCTCTGGCGATATGTAGTTTGGAGTTCCACACATTGTCAAATGCTTCTCATCCGGTCGCACTAATCGCGTAGCTAAACCAAAGTCTGCTATTTTCTGTTTGAAAAATTAAATAATTAATTAAAATACTCATTTTCAATTTTTAAATATTAATAAATTTCAATTGTTAACTTCTTATCCTTTGAAGAATTTACGATTAGAGAATTAAAGTTTAGAAATTAAAGTTTTTCAATGATTTTTTCCATTAAAATTGTTTTAAAGATTTTGTTTTAAATTAATATAAATACTTACAACTTGCATATTCTTCGTCAACAATAAATTTGATAAAGACATGTCTCTATGAAGTATCTGATGAGAATGTAGGTACAATAATCCTTGAACAACTTGTTTAATTATATGTCCAGCTGCAAATGAATTTTTATTTATAAAAAAAACTGTGAAATTCAATTTAATTATTTAAGAATTTACAAATGTACGAACCACTTTCTTCATTCAGGGGAAGCAAGCCCTGCATTTTAAGATACCGTTGTAATTCTCCATTGTGACACAATTCGAGAACTAAATAAACGTAGTTGGAATTCTCAAAAAATGTATATACTTCAAGAATTGCAGGATTTTTTAGACTAGAATGAATTGATACTTCCTGTTGCACTCTACCCAGCATCCCAGCTGCTTGCATTAGATTTTTGTCGATCTATTCAATTTCATTCGATAAAAATTAATATTCATTTAATTAAATGTAGTATTTATAAGTTTTTAGTTCTAGGAATATAATTCTACCATCAGAGACGGTGCTAAATTTAGTATTTAAATTTTCTTTCAATTAAATAGTTTCACTGTTAAGAAAAATGCCAATAAACATAATTTATCGATCGCTCAATCAACAAGTGCGATTGAAAAAAATAGCCTTGACAGTTGTAATTTCAAGATAATAAAAATATCGTTCTCACCATTTTGATCGCAACTTCCATGCCACTTCGAAGGCATTTTGCTCTGTAAACACTGGCAAAACCACCTTTTCCCAATAAATTTAGAACCTCGTAATCCTAAATAATAAAGATGCATATTAATGTTTTTATTCTCGGAATAAAAGAAGAGCATAATTCAAAATCTTAACCTCTATTTGTTCACCAAATCCGCCCGACAGCACTGGCATTATCATAGTTTCCTCATGAGTCAAATAATATTGTTTAACACTTTTTCACAAAAAAGCACTTAACTTAAATATACTTTCTGACCATACCCAGAAAGGTAGTCTGTTTATTTATAAATTCGTTTTGTAAACAAAAACTACATGCACGCGCCAATCGCCATTGAACTTGAACGTCAAACCTCAAACGGTTGTTGCATGTAGTGAACATATGCACAATATGCTACCAACCTTGAAATCCGTATCGTCCGTGACTCCGTGTCAAAATGAATTGTACCCCTACTTTTCATATTCTAAGAAAATTATCCATATAATCACTAATTTATTCCTATTATTTCTTTATTTCCATCTAATTATTTATATGAAAATAAATATTTAACATAAAAAGAAATTTAAAATTTAGCACCCCCTTGTTGGCTAACCTGATTCAAATGAAAGCCGAATCACGATTGAAATATAAAGGTAACTTTTCAATAATGCAGACTTCTGATTGGTTCGTTATAAATTATTAATTTGCTCTATCCAATGGCAGTAATTTTATAAAAAAAAGTTTCCCAATTTTCGATTTTTGACATATCGATATTATTAGGCAAACTTCAGAGTGTAATTACATTCCTATATTCATTTTGCTGCAATTCTCTTCTTACTGCTATTTCCCTCGTTTGTGCTCGTTTGTGGTTGCATCGTATGATCGTATGACATTTTGATTTTGTGTGAGGTGCATATTTAACACCTTTTATTCTCAAAAGTACAATTAAATTATGCCTAAAAGAAAAAATAATGCTCTCATTGACTCTGACAGCAGTGGAAGTGGCTCTGGAGATAGTGGCTCTGATCTTGAGAATGTAAGTTCATAACCTGCATTTGACACAAGCCTTTTTTCCGCAACAAAATTTTCTTCACAAATATAAACCAATAGTCTATTATTATCATTAGGATACTATATTTAATTTTACACATTATTTAACAATTCAATCGCAATAAATGGAAATTCTTACTTGCAATTAGTATAATGTTAAATGAAACGCTCACCATAGGATGATGATGGTATAAAGTTTGTAAAGTTTATCAAGAAGGGAAAGAAAAACCGTAGGTTTATCGTTTGTTTATTCATCAATTAGTAGTTAAAATTATTGAATAAAATAAACTTATGTTCCAACGGGAAAAATTTGTTTCATGAATAATTAAAATGATTCATCAAATTTAGTTTTAATGTTTTTGGTTTTGTTTTCGAAGTATTGATTATGTTTCTTACGTTTAATCATATACAAGTTTGTTATAGTTTTTCTATGTTGGGATTCTACGGAACATTAAGAAAAAATGGAATAAACATTGCAAATCAATACAAAATAGATTTGAATCGAAAGTATTTCATTATATGTACTAAAAGTTGTATAATTATATTTTGAGGTTAGAATTTCATAACTTTTTGTAAATATGAAAAATTTTAACAGAAAATACAAATTTAGAAGAAGTGTTTAAAAAAATTTTAGTAAATAAAAATAATATGCTTGTAAATAATTGTTTAAGTATTTGGAGTAGAGGTTTTTGGATGAAAAAAGAAAAAATTAATTTTTCTTTAAATTAGGAACTTTTAACTTTGTCGAAGAAGAAAAAGAATAAATCACAAAGTGAATCACCCGTTGAAGATGATTCATCAAAGAAACCTGCCGATTCTGAGACATCGGACTCTGACGATGATTGGGGTGCGAAAGGTGGAAAGGCGAAAAAGAATAAAAAAGCTCCGGCCAAAAGATCTAAGCGAAAAATGACCAAATCTAGTTCAGAAGATAGTGACAGTGAAAAAGAAGAGTCCAAAGTCTCTGAACTTGAAGAAGGTAAGATCATATTTATTTGAATACAAAATTCTTCAAACATTAAATTTCTTAAATATCTTTTAACTAATTTTTTTCACATTTTATTTAAGGCGAAGTATCAGATTCCGATGCGAGTGTTTCTGACTCAAGCCAAGAGGAATTTAACGATGGCTATGACGACAAACTGATGGGCGATGAAGAAGATCAAGCTCGACTGGCACAAATGACTGAAAAAGAACGAGAACAAGAAATTTTCAAGCGTATAGAACAACGTGAAATAATGAAAACAAGATTTGAAATTGAAAAGAAGCTGCGAATGGCTAAAAAACAGGAATTAAAGAAGCAGAAGGAATCGAAAAAGAAAGAGAAGGGAGGAGTCGATGAGAAGGAGAAGAAAATTGAAAGGGCACCAGATCCAAAAGAACGTAGCAAAGACAGAAAGAAAACAATCGAGGAAAAGCAGGATAAAAAATTCCACGCAATGTCTCTACTAAAGGCAAGAAGAGAAGAAAAGAAAGAAAGAGGTAAAAAAAAATTGTGCCGAAAATTCGGATCTTTATAAACTTCTTTTAATTGTTACGCGAGGTTATTTTCCATTTTTCAGAGGAAAAAGAAAAACAAAGGATAGAACAACAACAGGCACAGTCCAAGGATGAGGAGGAAGAATTGGAAGACGATCATAAAGGTGGAAATAAAACGAAACTCAAGGCTTCTGATATTTATTCCGATGACAGTGGATCGTCGGACAGTGAAGCGGAAGATGATTCATCAAAACAAGTTTCCAATCGTAGATCATCTTCCAGTGATGAGAAAGATTCAGACTCTGATAACGATAAAAAGTAAATATTTTAATATTTGTTTTTTCTTTCCCTTTATATTCAGTTACTAAAAGCATATCTTGAAAATTCCAGATCCGTAATGAGTGCAAAAACAAAAATAAAGAAACCAATTTATGTAAGTACAAAAGAGGATCTAAACAAAATTCGTCTCTCCCGCCACAAAATGGAAAGATTCGTTCATCTTCCATTTTTCGATCGAGTTGTTCAGGGTTGCTTCGTGAGAATTGGAATTGGCAACAATAATGGAAGACCAGTGTATCGAGTGGCGGAAATTAGTGGTGTTTGCGAGACCGGAAAAATTTATCAATTAGGCGGAACTCGCACTAATAAGGGTTTAAAACTTCGACACGGTGCTCAAGAGCGTGTTTTCCGATTGGAATTTGTCTCGAATCAAGAATTCACAGAATCGGAATTCTTCAAGTGGAAAGAGACTTGTGCACTGCAGGGTATATCTCTTCCAACTTTTGAAGAAATCGACCTTAAGACGAAGGATATTAAAGAGGCGATGGTTTATGAATTCAAGGAGGAAGATATCGAGAAGATTATTCGAGAGAAGGAGAGATTTAAGCAAACTCCTTATAATTATGCTATGAAGAAGGCTAATTTGATGAGAGAAAGAGACGCGGCGAATTGTCGAGGTGATGACGAAGTGGCGACTCGATTGAATTCCGAACTCAATGAATTGGAGGAGAGAGCTTCGGAATTGGATAAAGCGAGAACTGCATCAATCTCGAGTATATCTTATATCAACGATCGAAATCGAAGGAGAAATGTGGCGGAGGCTGAAAAAGCAATTATGGTAGGAATTCTAGAATTTTTCACTATTATCAATGCCCCTAAAGTTTTTAACTTTCAACGAAACGAAAGCTATTTATTTCTTTTTTAATTTTCGTCTTAATAATATTGAGTCTAAAAGTAGTTTCGAATTTTTAATCAATATTATTTATTTTAATTTGTTAATTTGTTAAAACAGGGTTGCCACAGAACAGGGAAAAGTCAGGGAAATCAGGAAAACGTCAGTGATTTTTAGAAAAAGTACTGGAAAAAATTGAATTTTTAAAATTCATGAGAAAACTCTGAATTTTGATGTTTCTTTTGTTTGCCTCGTAAACTATGAAATTACCCCGAATTTTAATACAAAACCTTCAATTTTGTTCTATTTCTGACAATAATTTCTTTTTAAATAACTTAATTTTTCAAGAACTATCTGAAAATTATCACTTATAAATTATTTAATGAATAATTTTTACAATTTTCATAAATACTAGATTGATAGAAGAATTTTAGTTAAAAATAATAAATAAAATTTAATTTTTGAAAAGTTACAAATGATTCCAGAAATTGAATTATTTTCAAAAGTTATAAAAATTCTACTAAAAAAATAATATCTAATTAAATAATTATTTAAAAAAGAAGTTATTGATGTTTTTGAATAACTTTACTTTTAGAGAAATTTACAAATAAAAGTATAAAAGTATTAGAACATTTTTTTGAGTATCTAATAATTTTTAGAGTGAATCAGAATATTCTTTGGGTTCAGGAAAAAAGTCAAAATCAATCAGCAAAAAGTCTGGAAATCAGAGAAAAGTCAGGAAAAAATAAAATTGAATATTTGTGGCAACCTTGTAAAAATATTTCGTTCATTTGAACGTTGGAAATTTTTTAAACCTTATCTGTTTTTTGTACTCCTTGATAGTTTTATTAAATTTTACTTTAATTACAGGAAGAAATAAAAGCGACTAAAGGAAGAACAGTGGATGATCCATTTACAAGACGTAGTACAAAGCCGAGAATGGTTTACAAACCCGATGAAGTGGACGATCCTGAAGTTTTGCCTGAAGTAGCGACACATTCTGTTCGTCCTGCCGAAAAAATTTCCACATCCAACGAAAAGGAAAATAGTCAAAAAGTTCCTAAGAAGCAAAGTACTGAAGATTTATTCAGCGCTCACAATTTCGACATAACAATTGATTTAGAGGTGCCAATTCCAAGTAAGTATCAGTAACTTTCCATTTTCCTATTTTTTTTGTTTGTTTTTTTTGTTTTAATTTTTTTTTACTTCTTTGCAAGAATTTTTAACGACCGTTGTAAATTTTTACAGGTAACCCTGTTAGCATATTACCCAAGCCAATAAATAATATTAAGGACACAGGACCTCGCAGATCATTGAATTTAGAAGACTACAAGAAGAAACGTGGCCTCATCTAACACTTCGTAAATTATTACATTGTTTGAAAAATAACGCCACCTTTCTTTATTAAAAAAAAAACTTGTGCGAGAATAATCAAGAAAATTGCAGCAAAGGAAAAAGGCGTAATTTAAATTTAGATGTTTATGGTATTTATACTTTTAAGATGATTACGTTTGCTTCCATTTTTTTTCTCTACTGGAAGATTTAATTTAAACTTCAATGATTATAAATCGTGTAAGAAGGAAAAATAATTTTTTTTTGTAAACCTAATTTTTAATAGTGAATTATTGACATGCTCGCGGCAATTGTTTTCTCTAATATAAATTACAAGTCGGTAGTTCGTTCCTTGTTTATTTGTTATACATAAAATTAAAAGACGAAGTATCGTCATAATTGTCGTTCTGGGTCAGATGCAACTTGATGTAGTAATTAAACATAATAAATAAGTTAAGAATGCAAGAAAAAAAAAACTGAAAACTTTTGACATTTAAAAAGTGATCCTTTCAAAGAGTATTATTTTTGAGATTCTTATTTATACAATTCGCTTGAATTTTGTTTTTATTTTATTATTTTGATTATAATTTTACATTTGACTGAAAAAATGAGAAAAATTTTGACAAATATTTGACTTTGAGTTTCAATTACAAAAAATAATTTTAGACTTTTAATTTTCTTTTAATCAAAACCTCATTCAGATGCATCGACCAGTCGACGAAAATTATTTATTGTAGAAATAGAGAATATTCTAAAAGCTCAATCATACTCATTTTAAATGTATCTACACGAACTGAACAATGAATTAAATTTTTTAAAACTGATTTCATCAATGTAATAAATGAGAAATTCTGTATTAATAATATAACTGTTTCTCAATGAAATTATCAGTTTATAAGAATTAATCTTTGATGTGCTTAAATTTTTTCGAGTTAAGAATATTGAATATTCTTACCTGAATTCAATTTTAATTTTAACTATTAAATGAAATTATCAATATGAGTACAACTTTTATTCACACGTAAGATTTATGATTGTAATGAGTGTGTATTCAAGGAAGCGATGTTAAATATTTTCGATTAGATCACTAGTTGTTAGGGAATGTAAATCGCTTCATTGAAAAAGATAAGAGTGAAGGAATGAAGTAATTTATTTTTTTTATAGTTTATTTTCAAATTAAAAACATATTTAGTTTATAAAACAAGCATTTTTTTTTAATAGATAAATAACTTTTTTAACTTTGTAGATACTTAAAAAAATAGGAAAAAATGAAAGATTGAAAGAAATCGAATATTCAAATTTGAAGAAACTTCTAAAAAAAGAAAAGAAAAGGCTGTAAATAATTGCTAAGCAGAAATTAATAGAATTTTTTTTTCAGTATCATATTATTTATACTGTATGTTGAAAAAAATGATAAACCGATAAGAAGTATTTACAATTAATTGTAATCAATTCCGTACCATTAGGTTCGGTTATTATAAAATTAAATACGTTTGATATTAGTTCAAACATACATTGTAAAAAATAGTTATGTTTAATAAAATTAATTCTAAGAACAAATTTTATTTCTCGAGATTATTGTATATTCATGGAAATGTTCTAATTTATGTAAAATATTATAAATTATAAATTTACTTTAAAATAAGAAATGTAATCAAAAAGTTGAAAAAATTTCGAACTAAAAAAAACTTCATATTTCAATTATAATTATGGAATATACAAAAAAATAATTTCAATCAGTTTTATAATTAAGACGTTATCAATAAAAGACTTTATCAGTATATTGCAATGTTATTATAGATATTTGTTACTTCCTAACAAATAATTAAGTTCGATTCTACTGTTAAATTTTTAAATATTTTTATTTGTTTTGAATAAGTAAATTCCACCAAATTATTTCTAATCGTCGAGTTTATTTGGTGCTTGCCAATGACCATATAAGGCAATTTCCCCACACTCCTTCTGATGATTCGTTAAAATGACCGGCATATTTTAATTACAGAGTATAAAAAATTACATTATTGGAAAATAATAACTTTTTAATAAGTATTGTTATCAATAAATGTCGTTATCTGTTATCAATGTTATTATCTGTTGTTATTTTTGCTCCGCTCAAGATCAAATAATTAACTATATTTTCTTTTATATTATAAATATGTTTAAACAATATTATTGTTTTATTATAAATAAAATTTAATTCATTGTTTCTAATCACAATCGCATGCGCGCCTATCGTTTATTTCAGTTTATTTGCTGCATGCCAATGACCATATAAGGCAATTTCCCCACGCTCCGTCTAGTGATTGGTTGACATGACCGGCATTAATGACAATCGGTCCCAAACTATTAAAAATTTGAAAAAAAATATTTTTCCACTTAGGTGTAAATGGTGTAAATTAAAAAACTCCATTCTCGAATAAATTATCTATTCATTTTTTTAACAACTAATAAATTTTTGTCTATTAGAATATTTTTTCTTTCCTTATTTTTAAGTGACCGAATAACGCAAAACCCACGCGCAAAGAAATTTGCAATTTATTTTTGAAAATTAACTAAATCCCCCCTTCGATTTAAAGTAATTAATGAAACAATTTTTTGTAATATTAAAGCATTATTATTCGAATAAATATTTACAAAATTTTCCAATAATATTATTGATAAAAAATATTAAATAAATTCTAGCTGTTAATTCAGGTACGTGTCAAGGAACAACGACTCCCGGTTTGAAAAATTGGCGCTTTTTTCAAATTTCTTAATTGTAATTTCCAAGGGGAACAAAGAAATAGGATCAAATAAAGAAAGGAAATTATTTTTTCAATTTTGCAATAAAATTTATAGGATAAAAGTCAACTTTGAAGGATTTATACCATTTTGAGTAACAATAGTCAGGTATAATATCCAAGGGGCCTATTGATTTATTGCTACTTCGCGCTGTCTGAAATTTGTTTCAACCAATCAGAAATCGACAATAGTGCGCGCGCGCAAGCGTAGGAGTACAAGTTTTATGCAGAAAGCCAGGATCCTCCCTTCCCGTTGTTCGCGACCCCCGACTGAACTGTGAGGTCCAGTTAAAAGTTAACTCAGGCCTTGTGAAAGTGTCAATAGTATTTTAATTTTCGTGTCTTTTTGATACTGGATACAACTTTATAAAATGGTAAATATAAAATTTAACTTTCTACATGCAATGAATGCAATTAAATTAAAAACCGGCGTTCGACACTTTGTGGTTATACCGGACTAGACACGCCAGCCGCCATTTTCACCCCGGCAATAAATCCCAGAGGCCAATAATTTTTATCATATTACACACACTTGATGGCATTTTCTCCTGTATTATTTAAAAATGTATTACTTGTGGATATTTGATATTGAAAAATGTTATTTAAACATTCGCGAACTTGTATTTTTCAACGTAAGAAGAAAGGTTTACTTATGGATCAGTGGATTCAGGAAGCGGACGGATGAATCATTTTCAAGTTTGTGATACCGTGACGATACTGATTTCATGATTAGTCTCAAAAATACAAGAAGTCTGTGTCGAAAAAAGATGTAATATTTTTAAGATTTTCGAAAAATTGTTCTTTTTTCTAGGGCACACAGTGTTTTCGGTATTAAGTGCTTATCCTTTTTTTTTCTCGTAACAAACCGGCTGAAAAATATGTGTCGTGAATTTTCAGGATCGATATTACCCCAGCTATGTTTAAGCATCCTTCTATTCACATCTGTCAGAATAGCTTTAGTAATTATTTCCTAATTTGGAATATTTTTTTCGCCATTAAAAGACATGTGTCTCACCTTGAGTTTCACATGGATACTTTTGCTGCATTTTGGGATATGAATTTTAAATCTTCTGTTTTTCTCAGTTTCTAGAAGAATTTTTAAACACAGTTTTATTATTTTATTTTCAAACTAATTCCTGGATTTTTTAAAATCTTTTTTAATTATTTTTTATCGATTCCTCGTACGCTGATAGTTTTGTTCGATATTAAACAATTAAACAAGCGTTTATTTATTTAAAATTTTCATTCAATTCACTGAATTCTATTAGAAACACGTTAGATTTGGAGAAAATTCATAAAAGAGAGAAATGTTCTACTGAATTTATTTTACTATTGAGTTCCAGTTCTTTGGAGCATAAAGTCGTAACTTTTTTTTCGTATTTTCACAGTTATTAACGTCACAACAAAATAAAAACTATTTTCTTCTAAAAAAAATTTACAGTAAATAAATATTGAATTTTTATTAATTCTACCGTACTCGTTGAATTTCTTCAAATTAACTTTGATATTTTGCGAAATTTAATTCACAAACTTTTCCATTTTATGAATTATAATTTTTTCATAAAATTTTTTCTTCAGTTAAAAATCACTGTTTTCGATTATTTTTAATCACAATTAGCTACAAATATTGTTAAAAAGGGCTATATTTGAAATTTGAGAAGGTGTTCAGTCACCTTATGAAAATTGTGTGAGATACTTGATACTTGTTAAAATAATTTGATACAGAGAAGATTCTGTACTAACAAAAGGTTTCTTGTACTCAACACCGGTAGTTGTCGAGTAGTTTTGTCAGATAAATATTGTTTCAATTCTCTTAAAAAATGTTTAAATTTAAAAACATTGATTTGTTTTAAAGAATTGATTTTATTAAATTTATTATTTTGTTGAATTTATTTATAACATTTATTATTTCGTTGAATTTATTTATTAAATTTATTATTTCGTTGCATTTATTAAATTTATAATTTCGTTGAATTTATTTATTAAATTTCTTAATTAAATATACTTGAATTTACATTGCATATGGTGTGGAGTAAAAAATGATTCGTCTACAGATGTGCGTGTCAATGATCGATGCACACAACCGAGTTGGGATCTTCACTTTCCAGCTTCTAATTTTAATAATAACTAATCTCCCCCACCAAACATATGCACCGAACTTGTTCACACTTAAGGCTCTTTCATTCACAAAAAACATCAATTGTCACTAAACTGTAACAATTTATGACGGAATTCTCCTGCGGGAGCAATTTTAAATTCGGCTAAATTATCAAAGAAAATTATTTCGAAAAGCAGCAATAATTTTTTAGTTTTATATTATTTTAATCGAAAATAAATCAATTAATTACTTCGACAAATATGATCATTAAAGAACGTCAAGTATTTTTTCTGATTCACGGAATTTCTATATTTTTTATTTATATTATTATGATTTTGAGTAATAAATTCAGATTTTCAGAAGAATGATTCTGCAAATTCATATAACTATTTTTTATTGCTACGTCAATATTTTGCAAAATAAAATTCGACGTCATTACGTTTTCAATGGGAAACAAACATAAACTTTTGCCAAGTTATATGTGAGATAATATGATGTAAGTTCTTAAAAATACAGTTTATTGTTTTGGTTTATAATTTCGTAAATAATAAAAAAAAAAGAGATTTCTTTAAAAAAAATTATAACTTTTTGTCCCTTTTTCTATTTACCCCATAATATATCCAGATTTAAGAAGCAAACGTCAAGAGAAAATTATTAAATTTAATTTCCTTTTTTATTCGATATAAATTTCTTCTTTTTTCATTCAATAAATTAATCTATTTTCTTTGAATATGGTAGTGTGTTAACCCTCACTATGACGCATATATATACGCATCGTAATTACTTCCATTCCTGTAGAATGACGCATACTTTTATCATTTAAACAGAAAGCTCTTTTTTCGTATTTATATACCGAAAATAATTCCCTTTTTTAAATGGAAAATTAAACTATATAAAAATTATTCGCGCAATTTAAAATTAAAAGTTTTTCGATTTATGCAATTGGAAAAATCTTTTTATGCAAATTTTTTTGGAATGATACCCAGTCGCATTTATAATATATTTTGGCAGAGAAAATCAAAATAATGAGTGCAATATTTTGATTTAGGAGTAAGTAAATTTCGTGACATTTGATATTTTAGTGTTTTTATCATTTTTCATTCATAACAATTTTAATTTCAATTTATTTTTTAGAAAAGATTTTATTTAATTTATTTTATTATTTATTTTATTATATTATTATTATTTTTATTATATTATTATTATTTTTATTATTTTTATTATTATTCATTAAATATTTTTATTTTTAATGAAAATTCGTTTATTTTGAATGTATTCAAAAACTTAGATTATTAAAAATTGCAATGAGAGTAAAGTTTCTCGTAAATTGATTTATTGCTCTTTTGTTGTACATTATTCCAATCAATATTGAAGGGAAAAATCTTTAAAGTTTATTTTTCGGACAAACGCGAGGACATACAAAAATAAAATCTTCCCACGCACAAATTCGACACGAAAAGAGATTCCTCCATCTTATTCTAAAGTTATCTCATGTTCTTGGACACGTGGTGCGTTGCTCTATAATTTCAAATGAAAAGTGTCTGCGACTCTTTTATTTTTTTTACATATATTGGAATCTGGAAAATTGTTTTATTTTCACAAATTAATCATTTTGGCATTGTTAAATGACAAAATTATTCATTTGTGAAATAAAACAATTTTCCAGGCGAATCTGATTTTTTATTATGATTCTATCTTCAGTTTGATTGAAATTGACAATTTGCATAATATGATTAATGTCCCGTTCAATCGAAGGAAATATTTCCCCAAAATTACTATTCTGACATGAAAAATAAAATATTTGATGAAAAATTAATTTTTTATATTTCGTTCCAAATTTATTCGATTAAAAATTAATTTTCCAAATTTAAAAAACAATATTTTGTAATAGAATTCGAATTGAATAAAAATATTCGTTCATTTGAATGTTCAAAATTTTAGCTTGATTTTTATTCAAAATTCTCGCAGCAAAATTTCATTCTTGAAACTATATTAATTTGGAGATTTTTTTTATTCAATAAATATGTTAATTATTTTTTTAAAGTTTGGTGAAATAATTAAATAATTAAGCTGTGGTGAGAATTGATTTTTAGATTTAAAAAAAGTGTCGAACATGACCGTCAATATTTATTGAAGCGTATACAGGAGGAATAAAAAATGATATTATTTTCAGGCATCTGGAGTCACTGTGGCGGACGTTTGTAAGACAACTTACGAGGAAATAAAAAAAGATAAGAAACATCGGTATGTTATTTTTTATATTAAGGATGAGAAGCAGATCGATGTCGAAGTGATTGGACCTCGTGATGCAGCATATGACGCTTTTCTCGAAGATTTACAAAAGGGCGGAAGCGGGGAGTGCCGTTATGGTCTCTTCGACTTTGAATATACTCATCAATGCCAGGGTACATCTGAGGTGAGACAATTTCTTTTTCTTTTTTTTTGTTAAAGCAAAAACCAGATTTCTTGACTTGAAAATCCAATTCTAATCAAAATTATAATTATCAATAAGCTGTTTTCAATTTCAACAGTGACTAAAGTATTTTATTCTTAATTTCTTCTGTTTTTATTTTTTTTTTTTGAACTTTTTGAACCAAAATAGTTTGAAGATCTATTTGTCAATAAATCCTAACGATAAGTTTATAATTATATCGTTTTATTAACTACAATCCTTCTTTTTCAGGCTTCTAAAAAACAAAAGTTGTTCCTGATGTCGTGGTGTCCCGACACAGCGAAAGTGAAGAAGAAGATGTTATACTCTAGTTCTTTCGATGCATTGAAGAAATCATTAGTCGGTGTGCAAAAGTACATTCAAGCAACGGATCTTTCGGAGGCATCCGAAGAGGCTGTGGAAGAAAAACTCCGAGCCACTGACAGGAACTAAGCACAAACAAAAATAATAAGTATTCAATCAGTCCGATAATTATTATTAAAGGATAAAAAAAAAGAAACCTCAAGTGGTCAACAATACAGGAATCTTCTTCCTAAAGAATGCTCCGTACCGTCGCATCGGGGATTCAACTTTTTACATATTTTTCATCTTAAAGATGCTTTTATTGCTACATGTATTGAAAGGGGGTTTTAAATGGGATGGGAGGGCGGGGGGATAAATCAAGGAAAATGTTTAACACACAAAGAAAAAACAAAACACAAAAAACAATAGGGTTACATTTTTTCATGCTGCGGACGATGTGTGAATCTGTCTGATAAAATAATAAGAATACTATACTAATATAAATGGTATAAAAAAATGCTGATTGTAAAAACGTGTGCAGTTTATACAACCGGTCAAACAGTAAGAATGAGAGCATTACATTTTTGTCACAAGCTGTATAATGTTTAAATTAAATTCATTTCATAATGATATCTTTGTGGATTTTTTTCAATTTTTTCCTCTCCATTTCCTTTTCTAAAGATTTTAATTCAAAGCAATTTCTTTTTCACTTTTTGTCAGATTTTTTCCGATTCTTACTTAAAAATATAAATATTACAGGCTTCTGCAATTAGTATTTTCCACATTATTTTTTTTAGCACAGATAATAATAATTGTAAATTATAATTAAAATTTAAACTTATATAATATAAATTATAATTAATTTTAATTATAATTAGTTTTAATTATAATAATTAATTATAAAATTTTCAAAAACTTGTTTAGTCTTTAGCAAAAGTTTGCTAAAGACTAAAATTTTACAATTATAATAATGTAGAAATTGTAGAAAAAGTATTTTTAATCAAATAAGTTATCATTTTTATTTTAATTGAAATTTTTCAAAAAAACCACAAGTTTTGAAGTTTAAATTTTCAAAATCTGAACAGAAAGGAATCTTAAAAGTTAATGTACTCGAATATAAATATAAATTTTAAAACTTGAAAATTCGATTTTTAAAATTGTCTACTTATTTATTTTAAGAATTTCTTTTATTTCTATTAATATTTGTAGAATCGATTGCACAAGATTGAAAAAAACATATTTTCAGGAAACAATTTTTATTTATTAATATCATTCATATAATTATACAACTATACATATTTTTATTTTAGTTAATAATTTTAAAACAAAACATATTAAAAATAATAATATTAAAATAAAATAAATGGAAAAATTTAATTATTAATTAAATAATTAATTAGTTAAAAAATATCTATAAGTAATAATATAAATATAAATAAAATAAATAGAAAAACTCTAAAAGTATCAACATTTGGAGTTTTTCTATTTATTTTATTTATATTTTTTAATTAATCAATTATTTAATAATTAAATTTTTTTTTTAAATATTTAAAACACTTTAAAAAATAATATTTATGGATTTTTTGATTTTACTAAGTGTGGAGTATACTTACAGTAAAAATTCCTTTTTAAGAAAAAAAGTATTTTTTGAAAATTAAAGAACTGGCACCTTAATTATTAACTGCTTCCTACGCTCCTGAAGAATAGTTCCTTTAGTTTCCTGATTTCTCTCCGTCCACAGGGTCCACAGTCTGTGCTTACAGTTTTTGCACGATTTCTTCGGAGTACAGTATTAAACTTTACTTGTGTCTCACAACTGGAGCTGTCTATGTCGTTTAGAATTTATTATTTCAATTAAATTCTTATTCTTTCCAATTAATTTTACAAAAGTTTCACTATAATCTACCATGGAAGCCAGACAGCGTGTGTGCATTATCGGATCCGGAAATTGGTGAGTTTTTTTTACTATACAATTTGATTTCTTATCAAAAGTATTGATATTTTTCGTCTAATAGGTGTATGTATATTTTTTTCATTTAAAAAAATTTACAGAAACGTGTTTTATAAACATAAAATACTTTTACCTTTCTCGAATAAGTTGTATTTTTTTAATGATACATTATAAAACGGATGAGAGTTGATAGTTGAATTTAAATTGATTTTCTGGGAAATTTGTATTTGTTTTTAATTATTTGTGTATTCGAAAAATCGTTTTTTATTGACATACTTCAGATTAAAAATTGTTTTCACAAGTGCTTATACACTGACTAGGAGAAATTATGTAATACTTCATTTTCTATTTTTTCCAGCATTTTTTAAATAAAAATTTAAAAAGAAAAGTTGAACTGTAAATATTTGACTAAAACTGGTTTCGTTATCTCATTTTTTACAGATTCAAAATCCAAATCCAATGCACTTTGAAAATTGAATTTATTTTTATAAGTGAGTTTATAATTCGGAAAATGTAATTAATTCGGAATAATTTTTTTTTAATTAGAAATATTACGAATAATTTTTTTCCCTCTTCTTCGAAATGATTCTTTAATAATTAAAGTTGATTGTAATCGTTGTTAGTTAATTCGTAGAGAATTGAACGGAAATTATAACTGCAGTGTACGAAAATAAATTGAATTAAAACTTTTATGTTCTTCCTGCCATTCATCTTGCACTGTAAGAGCAGAAGATTGAATTAAATATTGAAAATATTAAATAAAAAATCATTTTTAATAAATAATTGGTTTTTTTTAAATTACTTTTTTTAATTTTAGGGGATCAGCAATCGCTAAAATTGTCGGAGACAATGCCAAAAATTTAGACACTTTCGAAGATGAAGTTACCATGTACGTTTTCGAAGAAATGGTCAACGGTAGAAAATTAACGGAAATCATCAATGAGACCCACGAAAATGTAAAATATCTCCCTGGCCACGAATTACCTCATAATGTTGTGAGTATTAATTGAATTTTTTTATTTTTACAAAAATCGTTTTCAAAAATGAATTTTCCGAAAGTAGATTCAAATGGACATTTTTTCGAATGAAATTTTAAGAGTTTCATTTTTAAAAGTAATTATTGAATTAAATTAAATTGTATAATAATTATTTTCCTTAATTACTTTCTTCTTTCATGGAATTCTTTTATCACCAAGTTGAAGTCCACAACGTTGATCAACGAAAAAAAATTGTTCACTAAGTAAATTAATTAAAAATTACGCAGCAATATTGACAAAAAAATATTTGGAAAAAAAGATTGATATTTATGTTTTGATAATAATTATTTTACAATTAAATATTAAATTAAAAATAATACTTGATTGAATTAAATAAATTTTTTTCGTTGATCAACGTTGTGGACTTCAACTTCGTCTTTTATCGTGAATTTTATAAATTCAAATACGAAGATTAAACTTTCCTATCAGTTTGTCGAATGAGAGTATAAAAATACTAATTTCAAATAGAATAATAATCATGAATATCGAGTAAAATATAATTTTAATTTTTAAATACAATTAAAGGTGAATTTAATTCAAAAGTAGAATTTTTTAGGAAAAATTTATTTTTGGTTATTGTCGCATTGCTCACCTAGACCTTCCTATTTAACAACCTTGACCTTAAAATAAACCAGGAGAGTATTGATTATTGTACACATTCTCATATTTTGCAAGTGCACACAAATACCTTTAATTTTAAAAGGATGTGCATTCATGATTCGATTATTTTTATACTAAAAATTAGTTTATTTATTTATTGATTTTATTTTTTAGTACCTACCTTTGCGTCTAGAACTGTTTATCGTTAATTGAAAAATAAGTTTACAAATAATAGAAACATGTTAATAAAAATCTTTTTTTTCGAAAGTTGTAAACTGCAATTTAGTACGTTATCTTAAAAATAACAAGATAAAAATAACTTTAAAAAAACAAATTTAAGAGTAATTTATCAAAGACCTTGAGGCAGAAGATTATGAGTGTAATTACGATTAAGGAAAGAATTATAAAATTAAAGAAATTTTTTATTTTCAATTTTTTTCCACGCTGAAAAAATCTGAAAGTATTTAAGAATATAAAGAATATTTTTTAAAGATATTTTTTTTCATTTGCAAGAATTTTTTCAGTGACTTTCTCAGGGCAAGAATAATTCTTTCTCTTTCCTTTCTCTTCCCCCTTATATTAAGTTATGAAAATTTTTCCTGTTATTAATAATTATTATAATAATGAATAATTAGCCAACAATAAAAAAAAGTGTTTCTTACAGAAATATGTTAATTTTGTCTTTTAAGTTGAAATATTATATTGCAGTGAGAATTACGCATATGGTCTTTAAAAATGAAAAAAATGCACAAGTGTTTCTCATATTACATCATTTCATATATTATACATTTTTCTTGTTATGTAATCCCTTTTGCTAACCGTTTAAAGACTTACAAAAAAAAAATATGACACGTTAAATGAGTAAAGAGACAAAAATGACAAAAATTCTTCGAAAAAAACTTTTTTTCTCTCTGAATAGAATTTCAATTAAAATTAATAATTAATAATTAAAATTCTCTCTGAATTTTTAAATATCGCAACAGATTAAAAATTATGGCAAAATAGTTTAACGTACTTTGTGCTTTGATCCCATTAATTAAGGTGTTCTATGATTCAGAAACTGACTTTTGTCCTCACCATTCTTACTTCCTTATTCATTTTGAACTTTAGCACATGGAAAGAAATAGTAAAAAAGAAAAAAGAAGTGATGGAGTCACGATAGAAATATTTTTTGTACAATTAATAATATTTGTAAATAATTTGTAATAATATTTGTAATAAAAGATAATAAGAAAAATTAAAATCCTAAATTAAATATTCAGAAACAATAATTTGTTTGAAACGTGACGCAAAATTATTGTAATTAACTTTTTATTTGGAGAAGAAATAAATAAATTTCGTTCATTTGAACGTTTGGAACTTTAGGAATATTTAAATAATATTTAACTTGAAAAATGATTAATTTAAATCAATTTCTATATTTTTTGATTATACAAAAATATATAATTTCAGGTTGCTGTTCCAGACGTCGTGGAGGCTGCGAAAGATGCCGATATTCTAATTTTTGTCGTTCCACATCAATTTATTCGTAAACTATGTGGTTCACTTTTAGGAAACATTAAATCAACGGCGGTTGGTTTATCTCTAATTAAAGTAAGTAGATACTTTTATATTGCAATTGCAATTTGTAATTATAATTGAAACTGTAATTTTCATTGTGTTTTTTAACTGCAATTATAATTAAAACTGTAATAATTGTAATTAATTATCGACACTAAATGTTCTCTTATTTGTAGGGTTTCGATCAGAAGGAAGGCGGAGGAATCGAATTAATTTCTCACATAATTTCCAAGGAGTTAAATATTCCTGTATCGGTGTTAATGGGAGCAAATCTCGCGTCTGAAGTTGCAGACGAAATGTTTTGTGAAACTACAATAGGTGAGTTTGTCAAATATGATTCTAAATAGAGATTTCATTATTATTTTAATATGTATCTAACTTTGTGATATTTCTTTATCGCAAATTTCAAGGTTCTCTATTTTTAACCACTTTTGAAATTATTTTTTTTTACTGTAGCACGAGTGTAAATATTTTTCTGAATGAAAATTGACAAAGTTTAGATAACTATTTGTATAAAGTTATGAATATGTTTTTCATATTATTCAAATGAAAAATGGCTCCGTTTATTTCTACTTCAATTTTCTTTTTTTCAATTTCAATTCAATTTTAATTTTTCTAACACAATATTTTATATTGAAAATAGTGTTAAAAAATAGCCCTATTTTTATTATTTTCCTTTCCTTTTTTATACTTTTTTATTTTCTCTTTTCTATTACATGTAGAAAATAGTTTAGCGTGTAAATAATAAAAATTGGCATAAAAGTTTTGTTCAAATCCGCGATATGTTAAAAAATTCATTTATCATCAATTTTTATCGAAAGTGGTGTTTAATGTAATAAAAATTAATAGTTTCATTGAATAAAAATAATCACTTTTATCTTCGTGCAAATAAATTGTGATAAAGATAAAAAAGAATATTAATGCTTCGAAATCGTTGGATCGGAAAAATATTTTTACACCTATTTCATAAAAAGAATTATTTCCTTTTTTGTACATTATTTAACTTTTATTTTCCAGGATGTAAAGATAAAAGTATTGGTCCTATTTTAAGGGATATTATCCAAACCTCGTATTTCAGAGTTGTGGTCGTCGAGGACGTTGACTCTGTCGAATGTTGTGGAGCTTTAAAAGTAATTACCAATTTTACTATTTTTATTTGGAAATATTTAATTTAATTTCTGTTTTTGTTTTTGTTTAGAAATATTCAATTTTATTTCTATTTTCATTTAGAAATATTTTATTTCTACTTTTCTTTAGAAATGTTTAATTTTATTTCTATTTTTGTTTAGAAATATTTCAATTTTTTTAGTACCTAATTAAATAAATATTCATTTTTGTTTAGAAAATAATAGAAAAATTTTTCCTTCACAGAATATAGTGGCTTGTGGAGCTGGTTTCGTTGACGGTCTTGGCTTAGGAGATAACACAAAAGCCGCCGTTATCAGACTGGGACTAATGGAAATGATAAAATTCGTGGATGTTTTCTTCCCTGGGGGAAAACTCACTACATTTTTCGAAAGCTGTGGAGTGGCAGATCTTATCACCACGTGTTATGGTGGAAGAAATCGTAAGGTTTCCGAAGCCTTTGTTAAAACTGGAAAGGTATTTTACTTTTTCTTTATAACTAATCACGTGACGCAGATGTCCCACTGTGACGAATTTTCAAGAAGCTTTTTTCTCGAATTGTTTTTCTTACATATGTAGATCGTATCTAAATTGACGAAGCCAAATATTTAATTAAAAAAAGTATCGAAAATTGTGCAATTTTCGATACTTTTTTTAATTAAATATTTGGCTATTAAATGATATTAAATGAAAGTAAATTTTAAAAAATTGTCACTGGATTACTTGTCTATTGTTAAAAATTAAAGAGCCAAATAATTTTTATTTGAATAAAATTTAATTCGGAACTATTTTAATTCGAATCGATTTGAATTCAAATCAATTTTAATTCAAAACTATTTTAATTCGAATCGAATTGAATTCAAATCAATTTTAATTCGAATCAGATTAAATTGTATTTGATTTGATAAAGTACGATTTAATTTCAAAAATAAAATAATAATAAATTGAATTAATAATAATAATTAAGTAAAATAATTTTTCATCGTGAACGAAATAATTGAATGATTGTACAATTTTTCAGCCGATCAGTGTCCTGGAGAAGGAAATGCTAAACGGTCAAAAATTACAAGGACCCTTCACAGCAGAAGAAGTAAATTACATGTTAAAAGCAAGAAATATGGAAGTACGATTTCCATTATTCACTGCAATTCACAAAATTTGCACCGAAGTACTAAAGCCAACGGATCTTATCGATTGCATTCGAAGCCATCCGGAACACATGTAAGCCTTACACATAAAATAACTTTACTAGCTCATTGCACTCTATTTAAAGAGTGTTGAAAATGCTCTAAATTCTCTTATGTACATTTTTCTTAACCAAAGATTTTTTTTTCTTTTTCTCTTCATAACTGGAAATTTTTTTCAGTAATCTAGGGTTATACGAATGTTATCAATTGTATATATATAAATATATATAAGAAATGTACATAAGCGTATAGTCATCATTTGTATATTATTAAATAATTGATGACATCGAATATTGTTGAAAAAATGAGAGTGTTGAATTATGCATTTGTTGATATTTTTACAGAATATTAACGCGTCCTGTTAAAATATATGTTTATTTTACTGTTGTTAGAGAAATTATTTTTTTAAACATGATTTTAATAGAAAATATCTATGCATTTGTTTAATTAGTGAATAGTCAGTCTTATAAGTCTCAATGACTTGAAATATTATAAGTAAAGATATTTAATATTATTAAATATTAAATAATCTCACTGAAAGTCAAATGTATAGTAGATAGTGCAAAAAACGTAATATATAAATCTAAAAGATATAAGCAAAAAAATACACTTTCACGGGAATTTATATATAAATCTAATTAATAACAATTTACAACCAAGTAAATAAATACATTAAATACTAAGCAAATTAAAAAAAAAATTAAATTTAAATAAGAAAATTGATCTTAACATTGAATCGAAAATACGAATGTAAATTTTTGATATTTTTAAAATAATTTTTAAGTATTTTAAGTCATGACTAGATTTAAAATTTTACGAGGCGAAATTATAAAGTTTAGATAGGAGAATAATTTCTATTTTTTAAAAATAATTTGCAAAATGTTCTGGATTTCATATCAGGAGATAGAAATTTGATTTATGGATTTTGGTAATTTAAAGATATAGTAGCTAGTAAAGCGAATTCGGTAATAATAATAATTATAGATTACTATAAATAATAGTCATTTCGAGAGAAAGGACGCTAACTCGCAGTGATAAGTACAAAGAAAATGCAGTCGATGCGCCAAAAATCACTTTTTATTTATTTTTACAAATTATAATTTTTATTTGTTAGTTTATTGTTTTATTTGTTATTTTTATTGTTATTTTCATTGTTTTTTTATAGTTACAATTAACAACAATTTTTAATTACCATTAATATTACAATTTTAATTATTTAACGAAATTATTTGTTTTAATTTGTTGTAATTTGTTTTTAAACAATTGCGTTGATTAATTTATTATTTTATCAAATTTGTAATTTTTAAGTTTTTTTTTGTAATCTTTAAGTTCAACTCGTGATAATGGCTGCATCCTGTATTTGTAGTTTAGCGCGCGCTACAAAAATATGTTGCTTCCTTTTTAGAATTTTCAACTATCTCAAATCTCCATAAATAATTTAATAGAAAGTTTACGCTTAAATGCTGTATTGTAGGTCACATTATTTATAATTATTATTAACAAAAAATAAGAGCACATTTTCAAAAGCACCAAAAATTAGAATAAAATCTTGTCATTTCAGTAGCTAGACAAAAAAAAGTAATGAAAAGTTATTATAAATCTAGAGAATATATTTTTAAATATGTACATGAAATATGGAGATTTTTATTTTTCTTTAAAAAGAAATTAAATTTAAAAAAATAAAAATAGACCAAAAAAAGTAATTAATGTGTGAAATCTATATAAAAATGTTATTACTAAAGAGTATAAAAAATTCTACAAGTCTCGTTGAACGGCGAATTTTAGTTTGTCTTCTATTCTGTAGAGTAAATAATGTTATTCTCTGTATAATTATGAATAGAAAATATACAAATATTAATTTTATCTTCTTATTAATTTTTTCCAAATGAGACTGAAAATTAATCATAAAACATTTATTCGTAATTCATTTTCATAATTCATCACAATCATATTGTCAATTTATTAATTTTACTTAAAGGAAAAAAAGAATTTTACTTAAAAGAAAAAGAATTTTAATAGCTACGAAAAATAGGATTTCTTTCTTTTGGAGTGCTTTACCTTTTCTTTTTCTTTTTGTTTCCGCTTGCCTGCTTTTTAATTTAAACAGTTTCGTTAATATATTATTATTACTTATTTTTTAATAATTGTATTGTTTTGAAATCATCTCACTAATCATATTCAATTCATTTCATATTTAGGGATGACGAAGACGACAAATTCCAGGATCAGGCTTCATCTCCACGATGTCATTTATGAAGAGAATTTGCTCAAAAGAAGGAAATAAGAATTTAGGATCAACTGAAAACTTATACATTCTTTCCAAGAGTGTAATACAAAGTTTATTTGCTAGATAATTTTCTTCTTCATTTTTTTTTTCATAAGTCTGAAAATCCGGAATTTTCTTTTTAAAAACGAATAAATTAATTTCTACGAGCGCAAAATTTTTAAGAAATTGTTACTTGTTACTTAAAAGACAATAATATAAAAAAAAATAACACGAATTTAAAGTCAAATTGAATTCGTTTTCGTTTTTAAAAATGTTTCGGAATTCAGACTTATTTTTACTTTTGTTTTTTTTTCAGAATGTTAACAATTAATGAGCGTTTGATAGTTAGGGAAAGATCTGGGAAAATAATTTGTATACACCGTCAACAGTCAATATTGAAAATACTAGTCGAATTCAGGTTTTATTGAAAAAGAAACAGAGAAGATTGTTTATCTTTATATTAGGCAAAAACGATGCCATATAAAATCCAGTGGAGAAATTTCGCTGGAATAGTCAAACTTTGTTTTTTGCGCATATTTACATTTTTTACTTTTTACACTTTTTACTCTTTTTACACACAATATAAAAATATCCTAAGAAGAAATTTTCACTAGAAACTCAGATTTTTTACGAAACGTTATTGCCTCGAAACTTTATTTGATTTTCAAGAATTTTCAAGAATTTTTATCAATTTTATACATTTTATACAAAGTCGATTTATAAAATTCGGGATTTGTTTCTAATTTACGAATAAGGCAGCAATATTATGAATTAATGAATTTTATACATTTTATACAAAGACAATTTATAAAATTTGGGATTTGTTTCTAATTTACGAATAAGGCAGAAATTATTATGAATTAATGAATTTTATAAATTCTAAACGATTAGTTTATAAAATTCGATATTTTGTTTTTAATTTACAAAATAAGTAAATTTAGAGATTGGCAGAAATGTTAAATTATTATTGTCGAATAACAATAATTACGTTATAATTGTTTGAAATCGTATAAACTAAACTTATGGAATTGGAGTGTAAATATAATTAGAAATGTTAATTAATAAATGGTATGTTTCGTTGCAAAAAAAATGTCAAACATTAACTGTATTAATTAACTATTAACTTAACTATATTTTTCTTTTTTGTGAGATTTTGAAGTTAACAATTTTATAAAAATTTTATCAACGATTTTTACTATTAATTAAGGGAAGAGAGGAGAGAATTTTGTCAATTATCAACAAGTTGTTAATTTTTAGGTCATTTCGACTAATTTTCGTGTTGACATATGTTTTGGATTGGCGATTATCCAGGAGTTGCGCGACAAGTTGTAAATTATGCAGGACCATCTCGAAGGTCAAGAAAGACCGAAGTGAGTTTAGTAAGTCAGTCGGTCGGTCATTTGGAATTTGGTCCCGCGACTTTTAAGTTTATCGGGAACAAGTGGACAGAAATTTTTCTTCATTTTCGGTACTGAAAAATAAGTGCCTTTTCCTTCTTTTCCATAAATAGAAGAAAAAAAACACAAAAATGTCTAAACCAAAGCAAAAAGTGTGCATTGTCGGAAGTGGAAATTGGTAAGTTTAAAACTTTTTTATTTCAAACTACAATTTTGATTCGATCTTCGTTATTCAAGACAAGTTTGATTGACCGAAGAATATTAAATTAATTTATGAAGACAGATGGGATAAATTTTTTTTTATGACTTTTTAAAGTCAATTTGTTGAGACAAGAAAAAAAAGTCACGTTTGGCACACAAGAGTCTTTAATAAGGCTGCTTGACGTCTATAGAATTCAAGGCTAACAACGAGGTGCCAATATAATGACAATCACAAAAATCTATTACACAAGAAAGAAGATGAAAAATTTTATATGCGAGATTTTCTCTTACATAACTTCTGATAGTACTTTTTTGAACTTTTCTTTTTTTTTCTTTTTTTTTCTTTTTTTTTCTTTGACAAAAAGATACACTTTGAATAAAATAAGATTTTAATTATCGGTAAAATAGGTGTAATTGGATAATAAATAAAATTAACGATTCAATGCAAATGAGAAGCAATTCTGCAAAAACATTTCTATTGATAAACACGTAATGCATCTCATTGTCTCCATACCTTGTTAAGCCAATAACTTAAATTATTCTACTTTAAACGCCTTTGAGATTTCAAGAAAAATACGTGATGCATTAATCACTGTACATTCTTAATTTTATTATTTTCAATACGACGTACGTTTTTACTTCAAACTCGCATTACTGAAACGCAGTAAAAAAAATGGTAAAAAAATTATCTTAATTTTCTCTCTCTTAACATTTTTTAAATTTCAACTTTAACTATTTTGTCTTAATAAATTAATTTGAAAATAGGTAATTTCGATTTTTATTTTTTTATTTTATTTTTCCTTATTATTGAATTTATTAAAAAAAAATATTAATTATTGAATTTATTGAGAAAAAATATTAAATTGAATTTATTGAAAAGAATATTAATTATTGAATTAGTTTTTCTTAGTTTCCTCAATTTCTACAAAATTGTCCCTAATTTTTTCGTTGATATTTTTAGGGGTTCGGCTATTGCAAAAATTATCGGAGCCAATGCGGTCAAGTTCAACAAAAAATTCGAAGAGACGGTCACCATGTACGTGTTCGAAGAAATGATTGATGGCAAAAAGTTGACGGAAATTATCAACGAACAACATGAAAATGTTAAATATCTTCCAGGACACAAACTTCCAGCGAATGTGGTAAGTTATTACTTTTTCATAGAAGAAATATTAGTTTTTTAGTGAATTAATTTTTAAATGACAGTCTTGTTAACTTCTGTTAATAATTAATTAATTTACTTTTTTTGTATTAAACTAAAAATCACAATTTTTAAAATTTACGAGAAAGTAGTGCTTAGAGAACATTGTTAATAGTCAGTAGTCGTACGAACATAAACTTTTCCCGATGGCATCGAAACTGTGTCCACTCCGCCTGGGAATAATTTAGGAAGATCCTCTTCTTTCACATCTGGCAGGATCATCACCTTTTCTCCGGGCTAGAATTTCGAAATATTTTAATTATTTTCAAAAATTAATCTTTGTTAACGAATTTAATTTAATTCCCTGAATTTAACAGTGACGCTGAGTGTCGAAAAATATTTTTTTCACGAAACCGAAATGAATAAAACAATTTTTTTTTTGTAATTGAAGTAAAAATCACGAATAATAGTTTTCGACGTTAACTTCAAGAACGCACAATTTTTCGAAACTAAATTTTTTTAATTATTATATTTCTATTTAAATATTTCTATTTCTTCAGAATTTGAAATTTTCCATTTTGATGACAATTTTGGGAATTAAATAAAACAAATTTGGAGTACTTACGACCCAATTGGCTGGGGTAGCAATTTGAGGTTTTCTGTCGACCAACTGAAGAGAGTCGATCACTCGTAACATTTCACTGTAAAAAAGGAAAATTATGGTTTTTTAAATTGAAATTAAGAACTGAAAAAAAATCTAAAATTTTGTATTTTTGCACTTACTCGACATTTCGACCGGTGGATTTTGGATAATGCATAGAGAGACGAACACGATGATCGGGACTGATGATATAAAGAGCCCGAACTGTATCTGCGTATTCTGGATCTTTCTGATTTTCTTGGTCCAACATTCCTAATTGCACAGACAAACTGCGGTCTCCATCGGCGATGATTGGATATGGAAAAGCCCCGGGAATATCTTGGCAATAAGATTTAATGTCCTGGAAAATAAAAAAATATTAGGAAAATAAAATAAAAAATTAAAATTAAATAAAAAATAAATTTTTCAATTTCAATTTTTTTTTTAGTTTATTTTTGCTTCCTCATAGAAGAAGAATTGTATTTAAATACTTTTTTATGATTTTTTTTAAATCTCGTTCTTCTATGAGGAAGCAAAAATAAATTTAAAAAAGAATTTAAATATTAAATAAAATAGTTTTATAATAATTCAGATTTAATTAAGTTTAATTCAATTATTTTTTCTATTCTATTATTTTCAAGTCAATAATGGTAATTATTTTTTTTTGGAGGAAAAGAGAATTAAAATTGAGACACTTACGTTCACCCAATCGACGTGATCTTTTAAATCGTCTACCGAATGTGCCAATAATTTTACATTTCGTCGATCAAAATGTGGCTGATGAACGGCAAGTCGACCGAGTTCGGTTGTGCAAACTGGAGTGAAATCAGCAGGATGTGAAAATATAACCACCCATCTAGATAATAAAAATGCATTAATAATTAATAATTCGAATTCCTTTAACAAAATTAAATAAGTTATTAATTTATTAAAATCTTTAATTATTGTGAATAAAGTTAATAATTAAAAAGTGACTGTCGCATAAAAAAATCAAAAAGATTGTAAAAATTCACTAAAATAAAAAAGAACTCTGTACAATAATAAAAAACACTATAATAAAGACGACACTATAATGAAAATTAAATTTCAAAGTAAATTCAAAATTAAATGAAAAAATAAATGAAAAATTGAATTGAAAATAAAATTTAAAAGTAGATTCAAAATTAAATTCAAATTTAAATGAAAAAATAAGTGGAAAATTAAATGCAAAATAAAATGAAAAAATAAGTGGAAAATTAAATGAAAAAATAGATGAAAAATAAAATGAAAAAATAGATGGGAAATAAAATGAAAAAATAGACGCAAAATAAAATGAACAAATATTTGGAAAATTAAATGTAAAAATACACTAAAATAAAAAAAAGAACTTTGTACAATAATAAAAAAAGGACACTATAATGAAAAAAAAGATGAACCGAAATCAAAATTAAAAAAAATGAAATTAAAATTACTCACGAATTTCCTTGCCACTCGTAAAATTCAATGGGTCCCTGAGTGGTCTCCGCCTTGAAATTCGGAACAATTGAGTTTAATCTCATTTTTCCTACACTCTTGAAACACAAATAATGTGGAGAAATAAAATATGATCCGATCTGAACCGCAGAAACTCGTTCTTTGTAAATTGCGAGTGGAGACAAGCAACTAAATACATGTTCAAGTCTCCCCTCTCTCTCCTTCAAAAAAAGAATTTGCTGATACTTTAATTAGTATTGAAAATTGCATCAAGTTACAAAAGAGGAAAAAGTTTACCACTTTCGAAGAATATTATCAAAAAAAAATCTTACACTCTCTGTGATCCATTTTCAAATACTAAATTCACATGAAATTAAATTTCTAACGATTTCTATTTGGTAATTGTCATTTTTTTCATTTTCTCGAAATAGGAATATACGGATTTATCAGATTTTGAAAACATTAAATTATTCTCTCTTTAGCAAAATTAGACATTGTAAAGTAAAAAAAAAATTCTCTTTTATAAGTGAATTGTACATTGGTGATAAAAATTAAAGTAGTGGTAAAAAATTTAAATAGAAAATATTTTTTATCTTTAATATAAAGAATATTATGTAATAATTACGGCAGAAATATTTTAATCAAAAAAAGAACATACTTATCACTGCACATTATTACAATAATTTTCCCTGTTACACCCAAGCAAATATCTTATCTTTGTTTATTCAATCTAAACTTGTTAAATTTACTGAAAATTACGTTTAGATTTAAAAAGAGAAAAATGGAAAAAAATATAAATTATTAATAAAAAATTAAAAAAGAAAAATGCGAGAAATTGAGAAAACAATTTTTTTTAATTGATTCGAAATACTTTATTCTTCACTGGTGTATAAATTTTTATAAAAGTTCTTTAAATACGTGTACACAATATTACAATTATTTTATTTCTAAAGAGTATGTAATTCAGAAGAAGAATTTTTTTTAGAGACGTAATTTATATATATTACTAATTATTAATTATTTAATATTTTAAAATTAAGTATTTAAGTATTTTAAGTTTTGATTTCGTTCACATCGTTCACATTAATATATTTGAGAAATTCAAAGAGAAACTTCCAAAAAGAAAAAAAACTCCCAATTTGTATATATTACACAATTTTTCGAATAGTATTAAAAATAAATTTTTTTTTAATTCACAGGTAGCTGTTCCAGATGTGGTAGAAGCTGCAAAAGATGCAGATATTCTTGTTTTTGTAATTCCTCATCAATTCATTCCACCGCTTTGCGCGAATTTACTTGGAAAAATTAAATCAACCGCAGTTGGCTTGTCCTTAATTAAGGTACTTTAATTTCGTATGTCACTTTTTAAGGGAAATTTAATCACTAATTTTGTATTTTCTTATATCAAAATACTTTCACTTTTCTAGGGCTTTGCAACCGGAGCCGATGGCAGTATTGAATTAATCTCGAAAATGATTGAGAAAAATTTGAAAATTCCTTGCTACGTATTGATGGGTGCAAATTTAGCGAATGAAGTAGCCGAGGAAAAGTTCTGCGAAACAACTATTGGTAATTTCACTAATTAATAAAAATATATACAAATTTAGACTTTGAATTTATAGATTAAAAATTAAATGAAAAATTCAGTTGAAAATTAAATTTCAAAGTAGATTCAAAATTTAATTCAAAATTAAATGAAAAATTCAGTTGAAAATTAAATTTCAAAGTAGATTCAAAATTCAATTGAAAATTAAATGAAAAATTCAATTGAAAATTAAGTTTCAAAGTGAATTCAAAATTAAATTTAAAATTCAATTAATTTTTCAGTTAAAAAATAAATTTCAAAGTAAATTCAAAATTCAATTACTTTTACAGTTGAAAAATAAATTTCAAAGTAAATTCCAAATTCAATTCAAAACTAAATGAAAAATTCAGTTGAAAATTAAATTTCAAAGTAAATTCAAAGATCAATTCAAAATGAAATTAAAAATTCAGTTGAAAACTAAATTTCAAAGTAAATTCAATTCAAAATTAAATGAAAAATTTAGTTGAAAATTAAATTTAAAAGTAAATTAAATATTGAATTCAAAATTAAATAAAAAATTAAATTGAAAACTGAATGTAAAAGTAAATTAAAAATGGAATTCAAAATAAAATAAAAAAATAGAATGAAAAATAAATTGAACAAATAGATGGAAAATGAAATGAAAAAATAGATGAAAAAATAGATGGAAAATTAAATGAAAAAATACATGAAAAATAAAATGATGAAAAAAGATGAAAAATAAAATGAAAAAATAGATGAAAAATTAAATTGAAAATTGAATTTAAAATGAAATTTAAATTTAGATTCGCAAATTTACTTTCGAGCGATAATTAAACAGTCTGCGTATGTTTGAACAGAACTGTCGAATAGAGTTCATAAATATTCAAAAAAAAGAAACGTAGATGCGATGAATATTAATGGAGATTGAAGATTTATGAAATTCCATTTAAAGACTGAATGAAACTTTACTAAAGGTAGATCAATGTCATTTTCTCAGGTTGCAAAGATAAACGTCTGGCACCACTTCTCAGGGACATCATTCAAACATCAGATTTCAGGGTCGTTGTGGTAGAGGATTGCGAAGCTGTCGAAGTCTGCGGTGCACTTAAGGTAACTTGAATATTACGTAATCCATCCTGTAACATTTTAACAAAATAGAATTATCATTAAAAATTGATTTCTAATTCTTTTGACAAATTTGCATTTCTCTTGGGAACAAGAGTTTGCAATTTTTACAATTTTCACATTTTTTATTATTTACATAATTCAAAATTGATTCTAATTCAAATATTGAAATTTTCAGAATATTGTGGCGTGTGCTGCGGGATTCGTGAGTGGTCTAGGATTAGGTGACAACACCAAAGCTGCTGTGATAAGACTTGGTCTTATGGAAATGGTGAAATTTGTCGACACATTTTACGGTGGTTCCAAATTGTCCACATTTTTCGAAAGCTGTGGTGTTGCCGATCTTATTACCACTTGCTACGGAGGAAGAAATCGTAGAGTTTGCGAGGAATTTGTGAAATCTGACAAGGTATAAAAATTCTCAGCTTAAAAAGGTGTTTTCTCTTAATAGTTACTTTATATTTTTATCTCAATATTATAGAAACTAATTTCGAAATTTTATTTACAAAAAAAAAAGAAAAATTAGATTATTTAATAATAAAAATTTAATGAGATTTAAATTTTATTTTCCAGTCAATAAAGCAATTGGAAGACGAACTTCTGGGTGGACAGAAATTGCAAGGTCCAGCTACCGCAGACGAAGTGAATGGAATGTTGAAACTTAAAAACATGACTGATAAATTTCCATTATTTACCGCTGTTCATCGTATTTGCACTAAAGAAATTAAACCTACAGAATTAATAAATCAAATTCGCAATCATCCAGAACATGTGTTAGTATTCTGTAAAATAATAAGAAATTATTGCTTTTGCTTCAATAAATTTCCGTGTGTTTTAATAATCTTTCCTGACTTCAGTGAAAACCACATTTTTTATGGACGAAAAAATTACTAATTACTCAAAAAAAATCTTTTAATCTAATTAATCATTTTTACAAGTTAATAATAATTAATAGTAATTATTTTATTGTCATTAATCGAAATAATCAAAATTTATTTCCCCTAATTTTTTTCTGCATTTTGTAATTTGTTCTGCATTTAAAATTTTCGTTTTATTCCATTTTATTTTTTCCTCCTGAACCTTTGACATTTTTTTGATTAATCTTTAACTTTGTTAAATTGTGTGACCTCATTTCAGTAAAATCATGAATATACTAATCATTAACAAACCGGTAAGTCCAATTTTTTTTATCTTAAATTTCAATAACAACGAATGTGTTATAAAATTTCTTGTGTATTTTTTTGAATAATTTTCATTGTAAATTGTAAAAGAAAAAAAAATAATTACTGTAAATCAACAAGATTTTTTATCTTATCATTGGCAGACATCAATTTATTCGTCGAATTATATAAAAAGACAGTGAAAGAAATTAATATAATTAAATAGATTTTAACTTTCAGAATGCGAATGGAGGGAGTCATTGAAGATCCAGATAATTAGAAATCAACATTATGTGTTCATTGCACATTCGTTCAAAATAACTGCTGTTCATGCTTATCAAAACATGTACGGATTAGTACGATAAATATTAATATTGTAAATACATTTGTGTTTTCATAAAAAGTTTAGAAAAAATTAAAGTATATTTTATCAGATAACAAGTTTATTTATTTAAATATTTATTCAGTGAGAGTCTAATTAAAAAATACTAACAAGTTTACGAGCAAAAAATAAATCTGCTTCCATTAAACAGATTTTATATTTTTAATTCAGTTTTCTTCTAAATTCTTCTAAATTTTAATTATTCATTTGGAGAGTAAATTAAATTTTGATTTTTAATTTAATTTTAATTTAATTTAATTTTTGCAAGTTTATATTATTCTATAATACAGATTTATTCAAATATGAATAAATATAATTATAAACTGTACAAATATTACATAAATACCTGGATGGACACTAAAGATTTTTTTTAGGAGCACTATTACAAGTTTTGGTAGATAAATTGCAACTAAAAGCTGCTGAATCGGGCATTGCAGAGTTGTCGATTAAATTGTCTTTTTTTACTCGAACCTCTGTAAAAAAGATTAATTAATACGCAGGTAAATAAAATTACTAAATGGTAAAAAAGAAGAGCAATAAAATACGATTTTCTCCAAGAAAATACGAAGAGTATATTATAAATTTTCTCTCAAGGTCGCAGAGGCAAAAGTAAGATATTAACTTTAACTACGCAAAATACTTATTTTTATATTGTTCGCTTCTATATTAACAACCTGAAGCATACTTTCAAAATTGTTCTTTCTTTTAATGATTTTAATTAAATATTCACTACAAATATAAAATTAAATTCAGTAGAAATTTAAAATATTAAATTCATTAGAAATAAAATTAGATTCATTGTAAATAAAATTGAATTCATTGTAAATAAAATGAAATATTCATTAATAAAGCGTAATTACCGAATTTTCCTGGTTCTTTTTGAACGGCTTGTATTATTTTAGTTCTTACTTCCTTTTCCACAGCCAAAGCAGTTTCATTCAACTGGAGAAGAAAGAAATTTTTAAATATTCACAATAACAATATGTTTATTGTTAAGAACGAGAAATTCACCTGTTTAATGGTTTCAGTATCTCCTATATTCATATTCTTCCGGTATTCGTCATTTATCTTCTTCCTCACAACTAAATACGAATTATAAATTGTTTTTATTTTATAATTTCATTACTTAGAAGTTTAATAATTTTTAAAATCTTCTTAACATTCGGAATCAATTTATAATAAATAAGAATTTACCTTGAAGTGCGTGTTCATCGTTTTGAAACGTGTTCAATCTGGTCCTGTGTAATGTTTTGAATATTTTAAGTACCTGCAATTTTTTGTATTTTTAAATCTCTAAAAACCGAATTCAAGGCATTTTTATAATTTAAAAAAAGTTATATATTGAAGCTTCCATGGAATATAAATTTTATTTATTTTATTTAATTGAAATTTACATACGTGAATTTACAATAAAAAATTAATAGAAATATAAAATAAACTCTAAACCGAAAATTGAGAATTTTGATATTTTATAGTTTAGATTTCATTGTAAAAATTTAATCCAAATACAATAAAAATTACCTCTTTTCGCAGATTTCCACTCATTTTATGTAAATATTGTATAAATATTTCAAATTTTGCCTGTTTGGCAAATGAAATTCGAGTATTTCGATTGAAGCACACACTACATTTAATTTAAAAATATTAATACGTGGTCATTGACCGTTTATTATGACTTTATCTAATATGGAAATAAAATAAAAATAAAAATTACTTGAATGTTTTCATAAAAACGACAAAACTTTTTTTTTATTCGTATTCGTGTGTATACATATATTTGACTTTGTCGTCTGCTAGATCAGCTGTTCGCCAATCAGATGTCAGATGACTGCCTTTCTAAAATCTTGTTGTAAAGGTTTTCTACGAAAAAAGTTAATAATAAGAACAAGTTTTATTGAGAAAGTGACTCACATTGTTTCGGGTTAATTGTTCCAATGTTTATTGAAATGGACTGTTTTTCTTAATATAGTAAATTTGTCGTAAGTATAATTAAAATGAGTGAAATGAGTTTTAGGAATACGAACATAACCTATAAATCTATGGTATCAATATATACACTTTGTTTATATGTTTTTAAAAGTTATTTATTATTGCTATTATTTACACGTTATTAATTTATAATCCAATTATATTCTTGTATTTACTCTATAAAAAAATATATCTTATTATTTTGCATTATTAAATCTTAATAACGTTCGACATTTTCTTATCTTCTTTCGATTTTTTATTTTTCTTTAATTTTAAATATAAAGTTAGAAAAAAATTATAATTCGTTTTTATTTTTAATATGACCGTTTTTATAAGTATTTTGAATTATATTTTTATTATTTCAGAAAATTATTTCTTATTTTAAATTATAATGTTTAAATTATGACTTTCGATTGTACTTAGGTATATTCTTTTTACTGTTTGTTAATTTTTCGTTTCTTTCAAAAAAGGTTATTGAAATAATGGCAAAAGAATGTCCAAATTGTGGGAAATTGACAAACACTACCCAAACAAGACTTGTAAAAGATTCTTGTGGTCATACAAAATGTCGAATGTGTTTATTGCACGAGGAGTATGGTTGTAAATCTTGTGACAGCGAGAAACAGTTCCAGCAAATTGGTAGTTTTGGTAAGAAGTAATTTTTAAGTAAAACCTATTTCATACAAAAAAAAACAAAAAGAAATACAAAAAAATATATAACTTGATCTACATTAAAAAGAATGCAAGAAAATTATGTAAATAACAATAAACTTTTAATTTGCTCTAGATTATCCAGTTCGACGTCTTTCGAAACCAAATAAAACAGAAATTGAAAATTCAGAGTCATCGAATAGTAATACGTCAACGAAACATGAAAATCTTTTAGTCAATAAATTAATAAACTACGAATTTACACCCTGCGATCTCTCGACTGAAAAAGAGAAACCAAATTTTACAGTAAATACCGAGACAGTTTCCTATGCAATTGAAAACGACTCTGTAGAAATTGACGATTGGAGTTTAAAAATTGATGAGGAAAGTAAAAGTGATGAGACTGAAGTTTTAGCCCTCACGAAGGATAATGTACGGTTCATTCTCAATTTACTCGTAAATTCATATCTTTCGCGTTATTTTATTTAAATTGGATTAAAAATAATTTAATTCATGCAAAAAATTTTAGTATTTATAAAATAGTTGAATTGTTTTGAATAATTTAATAAATTACTAAAATTTTGAAATTCCTTTTTGCAGAATCCAGATAATGAAGATAGTGGGAAGGAGAAGGCTTTAAAAAATAGGCGTAAATTCGTTGATCGAAGTCATATATCAATATTACCTGGTTCCCCGGAAAGATATAAATGTGACGCATGTGGAAAAATTTTTCGAAGCAAAAAAGGAACTTGCTATCATGATTCCTGTGTAACAGGAATTCGACCATATCAATGCACTCTGTGTAACAGAAGTTTTGTAAAACGATCTCATTTTGAATATCACGAGAGAACTCACACTGGATACAAACCATTCAAATGCACTCTTTGCGACAAAGCTTTTATCCAAAATAATAAACTCAATCGACACATGCTATCGCATAGTAGTATGTTGACTTTGCTAAAAATTATTATTTTTAATATTAATACATTTTATTTTATTTATTTTAGTATTTAATACTAAAGTAAATTAATAAAATATATTAATAAATTAATAATACATTTTATTAAAATAAATTAATAAGATGTATTAATAATACATTTTATTAATTCAATAATTTTGAAAGCCATAAATTGTATAAATAAAAGATGTTTAAATTCCTTCGTCTGGCCTAATGGCCAAACAAATGAATTTAAACATCTTTTATTTATATTTTATTATATTTTACTTCAGAATAATATCGATATTATTTCCTTTTTACAGAATTGAAACCGTTTACATGCAACAATTGTGGAAACTCTTATCGAAAGAAGGACGATCTTAAATATCACATGACTATTCATTCCTCAACGGCACCGACTCCTTTTCAGTGTAAAATATGCGGAAAGACATTCAGAGTTTCATCAAATTTAAAACGACATGTTCTCATTCACTCCAGTAAGTTTTATTAACTCTGTTAATTATCCATTTGACGTTCATAGAAAAAAGAACTCAATTTATTTTCTTTTCAGACGATAGACCTCACGTTTGTGATCAGTGTAATAAAGGCTTTAAAGATAAATCTTTACTGAAACGGCATGAAAGAATTCATGAGAAAGAACGACCGTTTTCCTGCGCTCACTGCTCAAGATTTTTCTTATCCAAATCGGAATTAAGACGACATATGACAACACATTCAAGTAAATTTTCATCTTTTAAATCTTCAGTTTTCTTCTTTTTTAATTTTTTAATACGGGGTTACCGTATTAAGAAATTATGTAATTGTATTTTGGAGAAGTTGCAAATTAGTGCAAAAATTCAATTATTTTCAAAAGTTATAAAATTCTTCGACAAAATTGAATTATTATCAAAATTTTTTTTAAACTCTTGTTTAAATTTCAAGTATCTTTATAAATAATAAAATTCTTCTCTGACATTCAATTCAATTATTTTCACAAATAAAGAAAATTCTTTTGAGGAATTCAATTATTTTAAAAAATTTTAATAGATTTGTTCGCAAGAATTAAATTATTTTCAAAAACAACAAAATTCATCACAGAATTTTAATTATTTAATACAATTTTAATAAAATTTTTCATAAAAATTTAATTATTTTCATAAATAATAAAATTCTTGTCAGAAATTCAATTATTTTTAGAAATTTTAATAAAATTCTTATCAGGAATTCAATTATTTTCATAAATAATAAAATTCTTCTTTGGAATTAAATTATTTCAACAAATAAAAAAAATTCTTGTGAGGAATTCAATTATTTAAAAAAAATTTAATATATTTGTTCGCAAGAATTCAATTATTTTCATAAACAACAAAAGTTATCACAGAATTTTAATTATTTAATATAATTTTTAATGAATCTTTCGAAAAATGCAATTATTCTTAAAAATTTTGTTAAAATTCTTTGCAAAAATTCAGCTTATTATTATTTTATAAATAATAAAATTTTTATCAGGACTTCAATTATTTGTATAATTAATACATTTCATCGCAGAATTTAAAGTATTCTAAAAAATTTAATTAAAATTCGTCAAAAGATTACAATTATTTGAAAATTTGTTGATGTGTTTAAATAGTTAAATTCTTGTATAATTTTCTAATTAAAATTGATTAATAATGAATTTCAGTTTAACTACATTATAATAATCGTAAGTTTCCTTTCCGTTAGCAAATTATCTGCATTCATTTGTTTGTTTTAAAAATTAAATTTTGTGGGTTAAGTATTGGCATTTTTTATATATTTTTTAATGTCAAACTTTTTAATGTGGAAAATACTTTACTTATTAAATTGTCTCGACTCTTTGGTAAAAAATCTAAAATTATCAAAAATTCAAAAATCCGTTTTTCTTAAAATTCAACATTTTTTCCTCTCTTTTATGGGATTTAGCTTCATTATTTTTGTGCTTTTGGAAAATGCTTTACTTATTAAATTGTCTCGACTCTTTGGTAAAAAATCTAAAATTATCAAAAATTCGAAAAAATTCAAAAATCCGATTTTTTTAAAATTCAACATTTTTTCTTCTCTTTTATGGGATTTAGCTTCATTATTTTTGTGCTTTTGGAAAATACTTTACTTATTAAATTGTCTCGACTCTTTGGTAAAAAATCTAAAATTATCGAAAATTATCAAAAATTCAAAAATCCGAATTTCTTAAAATTCAACATTTTTTCCTCTCTTTTATAGGATTTAGCTTCATTATTTTTGTGCTTTTGGAAAATGCTTTACTTATTAAATTGTCTCGACTCTTTGGTAAAAAATCTAAAATTATCAAAAATTCGAAAAATTTCAAAAATCCGTTTTTCTTAAAATTCAACATTTTTTCCTCTCTTTTATGGGATTTAGCTTCATTATTTTTGTGCTTTTGGAAAATGCTTTACTTATTTAATAGTCTCCACCCTTTGGAAAAAAATCAAAAATTATAAAAAATCTGAAAAATCGAATTTCTTAAAATTCAACATTTTTTCTTCTCTTTTATGCCATTTAGCTTTTTTATTATTTGAATTTCTATTCAAGAGAAAAAATGGAAAACTGAAAAAATTTAGAAACTTTTAAAAATTCCAGGCCTTTTCCATGATTTCCCTGATTTCCAGAAGCCTTTTAAAAATTCCATACCATTTCCATGATTTCCAGAAGCCTTTTAAAAATTCTATACCATTTCCATGATTTCCATGATTTCCAGATTCTGTAGGAACCCTGCTTTTGTCTGACTTTCTTCTAAATTATCGAATTCAGTGATTTCTGGGGTGAATTTGGTTAAGTCGTAAAATGGTTAATTTCTATTTGAATTCGTTTTTTTTGAATGTAGAAAATCTGATGTTAATTTAATTCTTTTTTCGTTATGCACGGCAAAAAATATTTAGCTGGATGAACTACAGATTTCACTTTAGTAGCGAAATTTTTCAGTGCTTCAATTAATACTTTTGTTATTCTAGAGAAACTTATCGCTCTTTCAAGTAAAACTTTTTTCAGTGTGTAATAATTATTATTTCTTTAAAAAGTATTTAATTTAAAATGGCTTTATAAAATAAGCAATGCAAAAGATGACCCAGATACTAATTGTAATTGTTCTAGCCATAGTTTAAGTCTAGTAATGTAAATTCTATTTAAATTGAGACCATTGGGTGAAATTATTTGAATTTTAGTTAGTTAAATCTCTTTGTTAGGTTATAATAATTATTTCTTTAAAATTTTTTAAATTGTTTAAAATAAGCAGCCCTATACAACATTCCCGCGCGCTTGCGCGCGGATAGTTTGGCTAGTTTTAGATAATAATTGAATATTAAAATATTGTAGCGTGGATTTTTAGAAATAATTGAATTTTGAAAAGGCTTTCAATTAAAATCTTTGAATATCTGAATTTTTCATGCTTTTAACTAATAATTTTGTAGAATTGATTTTTTTGAAAAAGATTAATTGAATTTTTTTTTAGAAATTATTTTATGTTTCTAGTTTTTAATATATATTTAATTTTTACATTTTTCTTAAATTTCTATATATTTCGTACTTTAATTTTCATTACAGGTGAAAAACCATTTTCGTGTCGATTCTGCAAAACAGATTTTCGACGAAAAGATAATTTAAATCGACACATAAGACACCATCATTCGGAAGAGAGTGTCTCGTGTGAAAATACTTCATCGATATTGAGTACAGAAACCATGCATAAGAATTCTCTGAAACAAAAATCGAAGAAATCGAAAAAATCCTCGACAATTGCTTCTTCAAATTCGAAAACATTAAAAAAAGACTCTTCAGACTTTACAAATTCATTAAATCAAATTAATTCCCGACTCGATTCGATGGGAAATATTACTCCAGTTATCAGAACTACTGGCGAACTTAGCAACGCAGTCCCCGTAATCAATGGACCAATTAGCATAAAGAAATTTGTGGAAAACACAGAAACTCGGAAGAAAACTTTCACCTATATTGAGCCAATACCACTTGCCGAGGCTGTGGTTATAAACAAAAGAATCGAGGAAAAATTATATCAACAAAATACAACTAATTATTTTTTTCGTAATTATTCCACTTCAAGTAGATCTAATTTAGCCAACAGTTCGAATTTTCACTCAAAAAGTGATTCTGAAAAATTATCGTCCAATCAGACTGATAAAAATTGTGTAAAATTAAAAACTAAGGATTCAAACGTCAATGGTGTTGAATTTAAAATTTCTAATTTAGAGAAGGAAAAAATTAGTTCTGAACAAAATTTGTCGCAGACATTTAATAGAAATTCTGGCGATTCACAAAATGCAACATTTTGCAATGAAAAAGTCTCGAATTCAAGGCATGAAAACGAGCAGTCAAATTATGTGTCAACAATAAAGCACATCGTTCATCCGGAGAGTGAGATTGAATCCAGCTCTGACGTGAAAGAGTTGCAAAAAACGTACAGCAAACATTGGAGACGCAGAACTGCTGAAACGTTAAAACCAAATTCTAAATAGAGAGTTACATTTAGAAAAAGAGCGAAAAGAGTAACTCTAGGACTTTAAACTATTTGAATTTAATATTTTAAATTCATACAATTGTAAGAAATCGACTTTTAAATTATTTACTTTTTAAAGGTATATTTAAATACTATTACTACCTATTTATTATTTAATTAATATTATATTAAATTATATTAATTATATTAATTATATTCAATTAACAGGGTTGCTATATAGGTTTTCAATTATTTTCATAAATAATAAAACTCATCGGAGAATTTCAATTATTTTTAATACAATTTTAATGAAATTTCTCGAAAAATGTAATTATTCTTAAAAATTTTATTAAAATTCGTCGAAAGAATTTAATTATTTAAAAATTTGTTGATAATACTTTTTATCAGAAATTAATTTTTTCTTAAAAATATTAAAAATTTGTCACGAGAAATCGAGAATTCAATTATTTAAAAAAATTTTAATAAAATTCTTCGTAAAAATTCAATTATTTTTAGAAATTTTAATAAATTTCTTCGCAAGAATTCAATTATTTTCATAAATAATGAAAATCTTGTCAGTCATTCAATTATTTTCATAAATAATAAAATTCTTGTCAGGAATTCAATTGTTTTTAGAAATTTTAATAAATTTCTTCTCAAGAATTCAATAATTTTCGTAAATCATAAAATTCTTCTTAGGAATTCAATTATTTTTAAAAACTTTAATAAATTTCTTCCCTAGAAATCAATTATTTTCATAAGTAAAAAAATTCTTCTTATGAATTTATATATTTTTAAAAACTTTAATAAATTTCTTCCCAAAAATTCAATTATTTTCATAAATAATAAAATTCTTGTTAGGAATTCAATTATTTTTCAAAACTTTAATAAATTTCTTCCCAGAAATTCAATTATTTTCATAAGTAAAAAAATTCTTCTTAGGAATTTATATATTTTTAAAAACTTTAATAAATTTCTTCTCTAAAATTCAATTATTTTCATAAATAATAAAATTCTTGTCAGGAATTCAATTATTTTTAGAAATTTAAATAAATTTCTTTCCAAGGATTCAATTATTTTCGTAAATCATAAAATTCTTCTTAGGAATTCAATTATTTTTAAAAACTTTAATAAATTTTTTACCAAGAATTCAATTATTTTCATAAATTTTGAAATGTTAGTGAGGAATTCAATTATTTTTAAATAATTGAAATTAAAATAATTAAATAATTGAAATAATTGAATTTTGTAAAGGTTTGAAATTATAATCTTTGAAAGTTTGAATTTTTTCTATGTTTAACTAAAAATTGTGAGGATTCAATTTTTTAAACAAAGTTTAATGAAATTTTTTTGAAATTATTTATTTTCTAATATATATCGGTTTCTTCGTGTTTTATAACCTTTTTTTTTTTAATTGTTAAATTTCAAAATAGTTTGAATTTAAATGTTTTGAAGAATTTTAATTTCAATAAAAAAATAATAATGATTAAATATTTATTTAAAAAAGAAGCAAAAGCGTGGCAACTCTGTAAATTAATGAATATACATTGTTTGCTATTTGAAATATATTATTTATATTTTAAGTCACATTTTGTGTAGAATTTTATAAAATGTACTTTTTATATAGTGAAGTGTATATAAATTTTAAAATCTCACAAGACAAGTAATTTTTTACTGCAATTAAAAATTGTTTAATGTTGAAAAAGTTCTTTTGTTGAATTATTAAAATTCATTTCCCGGATCATTATTAAAAATTCCTCCTGGAAAAATGGAAAGAAGAGGAGATTAATTTATTTTATTAGGAAAGAATTTTTCAAAAACTAGAGGGAAAATTAAAAACTTGTCATTTATTACAAGTAATTTTATCGTTTTATATTTATTTCACTTCATCATCATTCGGGATTACATTGTGACATTGATATGAATATGAGAAGTGTAGATGTAAACTCATAAGTGCTCGTGCTGTTTAATCGCATTATTAATACTAATTTCTACATATATATCTAATTGTAGGCATCATGACAAAAGTTCTTTTCAATTTTTTTTTTTTTTTTTGTAATAAAAAGTCTGTAACGGCAGTGAAAACATTTCGCTTAAGTTGTACAATATATCAAATCGATCACTTTTATTTTCTTCGAATTTAAAGAATTATTAATTATTATCTTGCACAACATGTTTCAAGTGTTCCGCATTTTTTTTTCTATTTAAATTCACTTTTTTTTATGTACATTCGATAAAATTAGCTAAACCTTTTTACGTAAAACTAAACTACCGAATTCTAATCGCAAAAAGGGATTTTTAAGAATTTTTTAATTTTTCTTTTTCTCTGGTTTGACATATTAAAAAAATAATAAGCACTGATTATACATTTAAAGCTACAATTTCTTACATAGAGATGCAGCTACAAAAGAAGCAGATCTTTCGAAATATATCAGACTTGAATATAATGGAAAAATTCTCGAATATAGAAATATTGTCGATTAACAAAATTTTCACGTAGAGAAAAATTTAAAAAAGTAAAATTGTGAAAAGTTTTCGTTTAGTAAGAAAATTCAAAAAAAAATACTAGACAAATTTTTTGTATTATTTTGTTTACTAAAAGTACTTTAACAAATAGAATTTTTATTTATAAAAAAACGACCTTTCTTTTCTTCGAAAATAAAAATATAAAGAAAAATTAATTTTTGTATTAACTACAAAAAGCATGAAATAGTTTTTTTAAAAAAATGATAATTTTGTTTTTTTTTTAATGAGAATGTACAAATGAAAATCATTACCATGAATTTAAATACATTTTACGATAACTACGTTGTTGTCATTGCATCAAATTTAGTATATTACACAATTTTCAATAAAATCTCTCGCGTATTATATTTTATATACAATTTTAGTATTTATGATCACTTAAAATTAAATATCGCCATTAAAATGTTAACGTTTTTTGAATTAAATCTCTTTATTGGTTTTTTTTATTCTCTGTGTATAAGTGTATATAAGAATTTTTTTTCGTGAATACGATTCGTGTGCGCGTGTTAATTATTTACAAAATAACATCTCATTTCGGTACCAAACTCTCGTTAAAAGTATTTTTCTATTTACAAGCTCCCTCAGTCTTGTTTGGAGTTTCGAGTATGACTTTATTAACATTTGCCCCGATCATGAGAATTATTTTCGAGAAGATCAGATAATTCGGAGATCAAGTTTTTTTCTTTTTTGTATCTTATAAGAAAATTTCTGCAAAGTTAGTTTTAATTTTGATTTTTTCCAACTTTTCCATCTTTTCCTATTTTCGCCTTGTTTTTTTTAAATATTTATTTTAAAATTAAGAATAGAAATTGGAAATTTTAGAAAAATAATATCATTTCCGAAAATTTGTAAAAAAATAGGATATAAATTCCAACGACTGATGAACAATTTACAATCATAATTATAATTTCAAATAAAATTAATTTCTAGATTTTGAAAAAAATCCATCATTTACAATTATTTGAATTCAGTTACGTATATAATAATTGGTATACACGGTGTGTGAAGAAAAGTTCAAATTTTCGGAAAAGAGAATCTTTGACAGTTTTCCCGTAAAGATTATTCTCTATAGTCAATTATTTGATAATTTGTTAATTGCTCGAAATCTCTGAGATTTCTAATCTTCATTCATCAAATGTTAAAATATTGAAACATTTTTGCAAATTTTAAATTCTGGAAAAATCTCAGAGAATTGAGTCGAAACTTACAACTAAAGAATTAAATTCTAAAAATCTCGTTTTCTTTAACCACAATATCGAATTGACTTGAGAATATTGAAAATATAACAGAGAGTAGAAAAAAATCGAGAACATATAAATCTCATTTTTTGTATACATAAATCGTATAAATCATAAAAAAATAAATGTAGAATATGATCTATAAGCTATAAAAAATTGTAAAAATATTACATATCACTATAAAAGAGAACGATACTTTCTCAATTGCATCGTACAGAAGACTTCCTTTACAGAAATTATTTAAAGAGACATCGAAAGCTTTCGGAAGAGAGGCGAGGGGGAAGTATTTCTTATAAAGTTAATTTATACATCAAAATAATCTCTCTCCTTTTTTTCAGAAAAAACTGAAATTCTTTTTTTTAAAATAATACGCTTATGTAAAAAATAATAATCTACCTTTTCTTTTTTATTTACAATATGAAATACATCGCATTGGCACAGCATATTGCGTGCCCGGACTGCCACCAACGGTGAATAAATTTTTTATTATCATTTTTAAAAACTTAAAAATTAAAAATTTAGAGAAAATAAACTTTACGAAAAATTCAGATCAATAAAATCTAAATATTAAAAGTTTGATAAATTCATAAAAAACGAATTATGGAATTAATTTTTATAAAATTAAATTCAAATTCTTTCAATAGAAAGAAAATTTTCTAAAAAAGATTCTCTAATAAAATTTGTCTACAGTTGAAAAAATAATTTTGAGACAAGAAAATGAATTTTTTTCCTCTTAAATAGTGTTTTGTCGATAAAAATTATTTACAAGGTATTAAAAGGGGAATTTAATTAAAAACGCGATAACTGGAAATGTTAATTGTGTTTTTTTTATGTCAAATTGTAATAATACATTTCATTATTTCATTCTAATCGAAGTAGACTAAATTGTATGTTTCACGATAAATTTATACATGCTTAATTCATTTAATATTAACTATCTACAAATTTCTCTAGAATCGATAAACTTGAACATTTTATGAGATGCTACCGCAGTATAATTATGGTTGGCAGTCCTGGCTTTTAATGGAATGTCATAATCTCATATATATCGTTTATAAGACCTATTTCATTAACGAAATTACTTACATCAGTAAACACATTCCCTATACTACAATGTGTAAAATATGTACTCTTTCAAGTGACTCGTTTTAAAACCAATTCAAAGCTAATCGAGAAAATAAATAGTAAATTTTTATTTTCACTCGAGTAAGTAAATTAATTTTTTCCATACAGGATTTTCGATTTAATACTTGACAAAGCATTTGCGAAATGATAAATGATATAATCGAAGATCAATTTGAAATATTTTCAAT